CGTGCGTGCGACCGGAACCCGGAACTGGCAAACGACAATCCAACACTTTGGGATTGGAATAGATGAGTCGAGAAAAGGCAAAGAAGGCCCTCACAGGAGAAGATCTGGGGAAGGGAGTGGGATGCCCGCTCTTGCTTTCCTTCCCCACAGTAATAAGACTAATAATATTCATGTCGATATCTCTCGGCCCTGAGAGCCGTGTCAGGCGTTTTTTCCGGATTGCAGGTAAGCATCTTTTCCCAAGCAAGGCCCGAAACTGGCTCAAAGAAGCAAAGCGAAAGAAAAAGGGAAAAAAAGAAATTTAAACACATGAATCCTTGTTTGGAGAAACGAACAAGAAAGAGGAGAGCAGAGTTGTTGAGGGGAGGAGAAAATGCGGCGGCGGGGATTGGCCCCGGAGGCTTTTGTGGGCAAGGGTCTGAAAAGACGGGACGGGGATCGGCGGGTGGACGGCGATCCGACATTTGCCAAACCGAATCGATTCCCGTGAGCCTCTTTGGTGGGAATGGGCTAGGATCCCCCTTCCTGCCCTTCCTCCCTTGCCTTCGTTTGTGATATTTCATTGTTCCCTTGCTGTTCCTGTCTATGTGATTGGCCTTGAAAAGAAACTCGCTTCGATTCCCCCTTTCGTCTTACTTCTTTTCTTTCGGTCAGACCTGATGATAAACCAGTCACGCTTTCTAGCCGTTTGGGTGGAAAAAGGGGCGAGTGAGCAAGGAAAGAAGAAATATGGGTAGGATTGATAGATCTATCCATGAACTACGAGGCTTTGCTCCCATCAGCTCCGGCCACAGGCTCCGAGATGCGATGTAACGATGATCCAACTCCGACCCCGGTTTCCCCTTGACTCCAAGATGCTGCAGATTCTGAAGACCAAACCAAACCAAGAAAAAGAAAAAAAAAAAAAGAAGAAGAAAAACTAAGAGGAGCGGTCAAAGAGGAAGGACAGGAATAAGCTGTCCATAAGCAGAAACGGACGGGATCTCGAATCGAGGGAAGCGGCACCCACAAGTTGAACCTTGGCCCGGGTTTTGACAGCGGCCCAGACGCACTTCACCCACGAGCCGACCAAAAGAATAAGACATAGAGATAGAACGACACTCGACCTCTCTGCCGTCTCAAAACCTCGCCAGCTTCCCTTGTCGTCTGTCAGACACTCCCTCCCGCCAGACTAGAAAAGAGAGCGGAGAGAGGTCTTTTACAATGACACTTACATCGTAGCTTGTGTGGAAACGTCACCTCGTTCGCACGTCCCTTTTCTTCGAGGGTTGGTGAGCGAGCCCTCTCCCCGCAGGCAACGCATCGTCTCGGATAGAGAAACTTTTGGGACGAGATGCCTCATGCTGGAACCTTTGCTTCTCTTCGGGTTGCCTCTTTTCCCCCTCCCTAAAAGAGGGGAGGGGAAAGGGCCGCCGGGGAGGCAAGGTGATGTCGACGATGATCCTGGGGAAGCTCATCTCGAGACGTAAAGAGATGATAGAGACGGAGGTGGAAAGAGAAGATAAGTCGGATATGCGCGACATCCGACACATCGCCGTCTGATATGGTCAATTTCTGTGATCGATCGTCGCTCATCTTTTTTCTCTTCTCACATCATTTAATGTTTCTTGGTGGTGGGCCTCTTTCATGCCTACACGAGGGAGTCATCGAAGAAGAGGTTTGAATTCACACTTCCACCAAGAGGGAAACGGAAAGAAGAAGTGTGGCTGCCATCTTTTTCTCTTCTGCGCGGACCCTAGTCCATGTCGTTTTTCCTTTCTCTCCGACACAAACGTCGAAGATCTCGGCATCTGGTTGTCCCCCTCCCTCTCGAGCGCGCCCTCGTGGGGCCCCGCGGTCCGGGGTGTGTTTCCGCCATGCATTGCCACGCCAAAAACCCCTCTCTCCCTTGCACTCGTGGTGTCGCACCCCTTGCGCATCCTCAATGGACCTCAAGCAAGCGTTTGGTCTTTTTATCTCCCCTCCCTTACTTTATGGGGGAATGCGTTCTTTTTTTCTTTTTCTTTTTTTGTTCTCATCTTATCATGGAAGATCGCCGCGAGGGTTCAGGCATCCAGGGGGCAACGCACGGAAGAGGCCGGTTTCTTGTAATCTTTCTCCTCTTACAAGGAGAGGCCTTGGAGATGTATTAGGGAAAAAGGATAAGACAAAGGAAGGGGCGGGAAAAGAGGCATCACAGTGAGGGTGCAACGGGACATATCCTGGGGCCAAACGAGTCCCCTGCCTTCGTTGTATCAGTAGTCTTCCTTTGGGACCCCGCCGTCTTCGCGAAACCCCCGCTCGTGAATTCTAGGGCCTCGATGAGAGAGAGCTGTCTGTGGTCCAGGAGATAAGGGGAAGGAAAGATTTACCTATCCCCCGTTTTTCTCGATTTCTCCTCCGCATCTATGGATAAGGGGCTTTTGTTCGACCTCATTCTCCACATCTTTATATGGCCCCGGAAGTGGCCCCAGCTCCGACGTGTAGTACCGGAGGCTCCCGAAGCGGAAGGGGTCCCCGATGACCTCTTCTTTTCTGTTCTTTCTTTCAAAGATAGTTCTTGACATATTTGCGCGCGTCTGGCTTTTCGTGGGAGGATGGGTCTGGGCTTATACCCGTCCCTGAGAGCTCTTGTTTGATCCTTTGGCGGCGGGCCTTTTTCAGGTACGCTCGATCATACCAACCTAACCTAACCAGACCAGAGGAGGCTTTTGTTTCCCTGGAAGGGCTGCCTCGCCTACGGGGAGTGCATAGACGAGAAAGTCATCATGAACCGGGAAACACGAAATAAACGATGTAATTCCCTTCCCTACCCTAGCATTCCCAAGGAAAAGCCGACGACGGGAATCGCAGACTTCGTTTTTGATGGTTGCGAGGGCTTGTGCTCGTTTCTGGATCGGCGGTGGGTAGATCACATGGAGGAAGACGCGGAAAAGTCAACACTAAGAAGAAGAAAAGATAGAGTAAGAGAGAGATAATGTGGAATGAGCATTGACGCCGTGACAAGAAACCGGCGCCGCTGGGAAGCATTGCGGAAACAAGACGGCAGAGAGAGATCCCGAGCAAAACCAATGCCATATTTCTTGTCTGCCCGGTACCACAGAAACCCAAAACAAACAAAGAAAGAGGAAAGCAAACGATCGCCTGCCCTGAAGAAACCGAAAATGAGGATGTTGAAAACAAGTTTGAAAAAAAAAAAGAGCGGAAGAGAGGAAAAGGTACGGTAAAGGAGCTGCGAAACTGTTTCTCGCCCTTGCCCATGGGACCGCCCGCTACCGAACACGCCCACGCCTCGGTGCCGGGCAAGCACCCGTCACCCAATTTTTTTCTTCTCGCTTCCCTTCCGCTTCTCTGACGCGCCCTCGGGCGAGGCTGCCGAAGCCCAAGCCCAGCCCTGGTCCCCTCCCGGATCCTTTGCTAAGAAGACCTGGTTCAGAGGTTGCTGCTGCACCAGCCCGTCAACCGGACCGCGTCTTGATCGTCTATCAATCCTGTTTTACCGTTCCTTCTTTTCTTTGTTCACGATTCCCTGGTTTGAGAGGGGAGCGGTAGGACGGACGGTCCTTTGGGAGGAGCTGAACCTGGATCTCGAGAGGGGGTCCACAAACGATTTTTAGTTTCAAGGTTTCAATATCTCTAGGGCACGTAGGAAAAGAAACATGGGCATCGTAGGGACCAAGATGAGCATGACTTGACGATCCTCTCCTCTTTCCCCAGGTGAAATCTAGACGTGGGTTAGACAAGAGCTCGCTTCGACCCGCTTGCTGCTCCCTGGTCTCTGTCGTAGCTCACCGGTATGCTCACGGCGACGAAGCCGAGCGCGACAAGGCCTAGCGGGAACAAGTGTCCATAGCGGTGCGAGCAGCGCGTGGAAAGGGTTCTTGGTGCTGCGTCGGCGCCCACTTGAACGATGGGCCATGTCCAAGGCGCCGGCGAGAAAGGGGATTAAGCCAATGACGTCCGTGTTCGCAGAATGACGCTCATCTCCCTCCCTCCCTGCTCTCTCTCTCTCTCTGTGCGGTGTGCGGCACAAGCAATGACCCCTTTCCTTTCATCTCCCATCCTCTTTCGGTCTTTGAAAAGGCCTTCCTCAGAAAGGAGGCGGTTTTTGTGTTCCCTCCAAGAGCAGCTTTGGTAGTCTACCGCTCCACGTTGTACCTCTAGCCTCTAGCCTTCTCAAGTATTGTCGGAGACCTATCTGCCAGCCGTATCCGTGAGCATGTGTTGGGCTGGTATGGCCACTATCACCAGAGGCCACCTGTTAGGAAAAATTGGTACTCTATGACCTCGACATCAAGCTACGCCGCCACGTAACTGGCCCTTGTCACGCCCCTTCAACCTCAAGCCCAAGTGAACATTTATGGAGATCATAGGAGGGAGAGTTCGAGCCCTTGCTTGCAGACACATGTCGGGTGGTGATGTTAAACGGGCCATGGCGTCAAATGCATCGATAAATGGATGATATCTAACAACACTAGAGCTAGATAAGGGGTTCTTAATGCAAACAGAGACGAGAACCCTATACTCGCCTACCATGCTAGTCTCGCATCTGCCATCTTCCGCTGGCCGGCCGAAACCCGGCAGCTTCCTCACCTGATGCCTCGTAATCACTCGTCGGCAAAGGTCCTTGCTTCGTAAGATAGGGACCCGTCGTACGTAAAGGGCCAAGGTATGATTTCCTCCTCTCTCCTCTTTAATCACATGTATTTCTAGGGATGGGACAATCGGTTTACGGGGGAGGGAGTGGATTTTCTTGTACATGGAGGGTGGGCGGTGGCATGGCAGGAAACACAGGGGCGAGGGGAAAAAGAAGACAATGGAATCCGGGGTGCAGGGAGGACGCCCCGGGATGGATTTGTCCCTTCTTCTTTTTCGTTTAACAAGAGTTTATCATTCCGTCGTCCCCTGTCGGAGAGATCATAAAACGAGGTACAGTCATGAGAGGTGGGCAACTCGGTCCGCCGTGTGTATTTGTCTTTAGACACAACTGCATTTTCTGACCGCTGGGGGTATTATAGTCATTACAGGAAGTAGTCGGGGGTTCCTGCAGCGCGTTAGATGTGTCTCGTTGTGAAGAGAGGGGAGAGGAGAGAGAGAGCACACTCCCCACTCGAGATGGGTTGTAAGAACTTACGTCGAGAGACCATGGGTTCGCCGGCACGCGGGCAGGGATCGAATTGCAGGCTGGAAAGAGGGGATCATATAGTTAGTTGCTGGGAGGGCATCATAGACCACAAGAGGCCAAAGGAAGAGACGGGAGATGGGCAAGGTAGAAGAAGAAAAGAAAGCGAGGGCAAGGAACATACAAGGTATACTTGAGATGCTCATCAATCTCCATGATGGCAGCTTGGTTACCACATCTGTAGCAGTAATTGGGGGCTGTGGCAGAACAAAAGAAGCTGGTTAGCAAAAAGACTTGTCGGTTGGAATCAAGGAATGAGGAAAGCCATACCAGAGAAGATGGTCACCACGTGGCGATCTTGGGACCAGTTATATCCCTCCATGACCAGTTGGTGAGCTCGTGCGATGAGTGTAAGGCCGTTGTTGTGGTTGAAAGCTTCCGAAATGTCCTGGCCAAAAGTGTAGCCAGCACCTCGGGGGAGATGCCCCAGCCGCAGCGGTCGTCGGGGTCGGACCAGAGCAGGTCGCACATGGGGCCTTCGTGGGGCACCTCTTGAATTCGGTCGAGGGCGCGGATGTTGTCGAGGGTGTCGATGCTGGGCGACAGTCCGCCGTGGAGGCAGAAGATCTGGTTCTCGATGAGGGCGGTGAGGGGAGGTAGTCAAAGAGGTCGGTAAAGGACTTCCAGACGTTGGCGTTGCCGTACTTCCTCAAGCACTCATCGTAGAAGCCGTATACTTGTGTGATTTGGCGCGACTCGTGGTTGCCGCGGAGAATGGTGATGCGAGAAGGATAGCGAATCTTGAGTGCTACAAGGAGCGTGACGGTCTCGACGGAGTAGTATCCTCGATCGACGTAATCGCCTGCACCGGAAACGATCCTTCGTTAGCTTGACGAATTGTTCTCGTTTGCGCCATGTCTGCTCAGCGCTGGGGCTTTCTCAAGCTCTGCGCCCACGTGCTCAAGGGCGCTCTATCTCTTGGACTGGCCCAGACCTCGACACCTGGCCCGCGGTCTACCCATCTCTCTCTCTCCTCCGTGGGTATATGCAGGGGCACGCGTGGTTCTACATTGAATTTCAACGGCAAGACGTACCCATGAAGAGGTAGTTGGTATCGGGGTTGGGACCGCCAATTTTGAAAAGCTCCATGAGGTCGTGGAACTGGCCATGGATGTCGCCGCACACAGTTACGGGGCATTTCTACCAGCAGCTTGGGTCAGCTCAGGTCCCTTCAAATATCCGCAGTGATGTTTGCCCCATCCTCCGATCAGGTTGTCGCTCCGCGTTTTGATTATTGCTAGTCTGCGGGGATTTCGCACCATGACGGCGGAGTGAATGAGGGGGTGGGGAGGGGAGCTGGCAATGTGGGATGGAAGCACGAGGGTGGGAAACAATGAATGGAAATGGCATCGACATACGACTGGTTGTACGTTTGACTCTTCCTGAAGAACCTCTCGCGCCTATTTTTGATTTCTCGTTAGCAGATGAAGACGCAAAGATGATGAAAACAAAACATGGACCCGGCATGGCCACTTGGTATGACTGTAAAGGCCCCCGGCCCCCTCTTCCGTCGCGCTCCTGATTTAAAAAAGGCTTGCGACCTCAACCAAACAATCCATCGGCTCAGAAAGAATCATGGAACGACGGTCGTGAACCCAAGTAAAGATAAAAAAGGCAGAGGTGGTTCCGAGATGATGGCGCAACAGGGGAACCTCGCTTGCGGGGGCTGCGTTGCAAGAAGACGCCCGAGGCCTAACCTCAGTCGCCCACCATCTTGCCCTCTCCCATCGGATACAATCGGCCGAGTATGTGCAGCTCTTTTGAGGGAAGGCGATCAAAAGAGAGCGAAAGATGAAGAGGAGCGGGGAAAAGGAAAAAAAAGAGGTAAAGTCGACAAACCTTATCGCAGAGTCTTGAGACGTCAAGTTCGGATAGCTGCTTGCAGTTCATCAAGCTCTCAATCCAGCCATCGAGCGTGGGGACCGTCGCGGGCTCGACGTTTGCGAGGGGCGAGATGTCAGCGGGTACACGCCCAACATCCTCCATAGCGGTGTCCATCACAGGTGGGCGAGAGCTGGGAGGTTAAGAGGCGAGGAGGAGGGGAGCGAAAGGGATTCCAAGGTAGCACAAAGAGAAGGGGAAGGATAGAGTTGGGTGTGGGGTGCTTTTTGGGTCGATGTCGGTGAGGAGGGGCTTTTTTGGTGTTCGAGTTCGCCTTCGCCGTCGACCGGAGGGGAGGGAGGGAGGGGAGAGGGGGAAAGTCGCGTGTCGAGTAAAGGTTTTTGCGTCGTTTATCTATTAGGTGATATTCGTCGCTATCGTCGGTTGATGAGAGAGGATGGAATTGCGGAAATTTTGACGTCCACCTAGGGTGATGTTGCCGTCGATAAGTTTCGCTATGTGTGGGGGAGGGAGAGGGAGGGAGGGAGGATGGGAACTTGTTGGCTTGCGAGCTTTTGCGGATTGGGTTTGCGGGTTTCGCGTTGAAATTGTATTGGAAATTGGGGGTAGGGGAGGCGATTGGTAGCACGAGCAAGGTCTTGCTTTGGTCTGTCCCACACGAAAAAGGTAAGGATGCCGTGCGGGATGGGATTGATGGGATGGGATGGGGAGTTAAGTTGGGATTTTGGGGGTACCTTGCCTTTTTGCCTTTTTCCATTGTGTTAGGCCAGTGAAGCAGCAACTTTTATTGGGGAAGGGGCGGAGAGGAAACTGGAGGCGAGAATTTGCCCCCGTGCTCATGGATCGATCGAATGGGCCAATTGGTGTAAGCTGGAGCCTACATGTACAATTGATCCATTATCCATAGATGTATGTGCTCAGCCAACATTGAAGGAAACATTTACGAAGTACGATTGAATCCAGCAACCAAGCAACACTCGTCTGCCATATCAAAGATCTCCCTCCTTCATTCATCAACGGATCCCAATTCGATTCAATCGATGGGGGAGAGCTTGCCTTCTCGGATATGATGCCAGTGCGCTTGGACCACCAGCAAGGTACATAGCGTGCGCCAGTCTCAAAGCATGGGCCCGCTCTCTATAGTTGATCAGAGGCCAGAGGAAAAAGGGCAACATTTGCCTGGCCCGGGTAGCGCTCAGGCGCTATACTTGGTGTGTGTTAATGGTTCTAATTTCACAGAGATGTCGTCCCCAGTCCATCAGATATCAATTGGAAAATGTGCCGCTCCTTCTCTCTTGTGCACGAGACTTCTTCTTTCTTTTGGCCTCCCCTGCTTCTTCTTTCACGACGGATCCCAATGCTTTAAGAGGGTAATTGATGTCCAAAAGACTAGCTATCCACCTCGAGGATCCTCGGTACCTGAGTCGCTAGGACTTGGGGTTATGCAGTACCTAGTAAAGAACAAGACAGTGGACGACTAGATGCAGCGCTGAGGGAACAGGCAGGTCAGACACGCAGGGTCACGTGTGTGCACTAAACACTCTTTCTGATGTGGTCCATCATCGGAGCTGGTGGCAAAGCCCGGATCATTCGAACTGACTCGGGGCGAGCTAGCGAGTACCTGCTTTTGGCCCGTTACAATCCATTTTGAACCAGAGGGGTAGTCTGTGGCATTGACAGTGTTAATGATCCCCGAGGCCCCCGTCCCAAGCTCGACAAGCGGGCCCACTAGAATGGATCTCGGTGATGTGATGTTAAGAAAGAGCTCTACCACTTTTGCCTCATGGAGGGTCAAAACCCCCGCCCCGGGCTGGTCCATCCATAGCTTAGCTGTACATCACTCGAAGAGTTTCTGAACTAAACACAATTGGGGTTTACTATCTCTTCCTTTAAAGCTCGAAAATGCAATGACGCTTTCGCTCTCCTACGATGCAGTACATCCTCGGCCCAAGTACAAGTAAGGAGGGAAAAACAAAAGAAAAGAAATAGAAAAAAAGAGACGTGATTACTTGAGGCCCAGCCCTGCAGGGCTGCTGGCTCCCTTGGCACCTTGCTTGAGTTCCTTGCCCACGAGGTTGCGGAAGTCGAGCCCGACCTCGGACAGCAGCCTCGCGTGCTCGTGCGCCCTCTCCATGCACTCCTTCCACACCGGGCTATCGCGTTCCGTCCCGCTGAGCTGCCTAGCCAGAATCACGTTGAAGGCCTCCACCTCCGTCTTGGCCCACTTGACGCACGCGCTCATCATGGACGGCGGGAAGCACGCCTGGAAGCAGAGGACCGTGTTGCGGATGATTTGGAAGTACACGTAGGACACCTCCCAGATGTAGAGGTGCAGATCGCCCTGGAAGATGCATTGCCTGGAAATTGTGTGTTATCCCTGGTTAGCTTACTTGGATCTTGCTACGGTAGGTTTGGAATGCACGGAAAGGAAAGGAGTCAAGATAAAATAGAGGGGTAGGGGTAGGGTTAGGGTTAGTATATAAAAAAAAATCACATACCTCGAACGCTTTTGGATAATATCGCTTCGCGCCGTAAGATACGCCTCCCTCGCCCCGTCCTCGAAGCCGAGGCGGGTCAGCCAGTCGACGTTGCGTCGCGTCTTGGACTGCTCATTGTGCGAAGCCTCGAGCTCCCGCGTGATGAGCGCCGACAGCCGCGCGCACCGCTCCTCGACCTTGAAGTTGATAAAGTCCTGGGCCACGGCATTGTTCTTGAGGCTCCGGGACAGGTTCTTGAGCTTCTCCACCCGGGCCACGGCCGGCTCGAGATTCTGGAGGGCGATGTCGATGTCGAGCTCGTCCATCTGGCTCTCGACCCACCGCAGGTTCTGCTGCTTCCCGTCCACCTCGATGAGCATGTCCTTGATGTCGGACAGCGTCTCCAGGAGCTCCGTCTTTTGCAGGAGGCCCGGGTCGCGCGAGGCAAAGTAGTTGATGGTCTCCTTGGCCTTGTTGTTGGCCTCCATCTCGGAGCGCAGGCTCTTCTTGAGCTCCTCGACCGCCTTTCGAATGTTGAGGAGTAGGCTTCCTTTCTCCGGGTCCTCGGGCTTCTCCGTCCGGTAGATGAAGGAGTCCTGGCCCATGCCCCGGACCATGATGGTGTCGGCGAGCTTGGTCCGGCTCGTCGACGAGTCCCCAGACCCGGCCATGTCCACAATCTCAATGTCCAGCAGCGGCCAGCACCGGTCCGCCACTAGCTTGACCACGGGCCCGCGGTTGTCCACGCCGCCTCCTTCCGTCTTCCTCTTCTTGCGCGACGCGATCAGGAGATGGTCGTTGAGGAGGAAAATTTGCATGGCGCGCCGGGACTTGTAGGTTGCGTTGTCCAGCTCGATCCACGGGCCCGCGTTTTGGATGACGTGCCGGCCCGACGCGTTGGGAAGGAACTTTTGCGACCCTTCCACGTTCTTGTACAGAGCTTGCATCTGCGAGTTCCATAGCGCGCTCCTATCGGCCACGGAACTCCGCTTGTCGCGCTTGCTCATCGTCGACGTCAGCTCCCCGTCGAGCGCCAGGTCCCCGCCTGCCGCAGCCGTCGTTGAGCTGGTGCGGAGCGCTGTCGTGTTGGCCTTGAGCTCCGCCATCAGGTTCCTCAGCGTCCTCATCTCCCCCTTGAGTTTCTCTGCCTCCTTGCTGATCTTGATGAACTGCGTACGGTTCTGGAGAACGTTTTGCTGGAGATCAGTAGCGGCGCGTTGTTTGAGCTTCTGGAGAGTATCCTCAAAGTCTCGAATCTGATCTTCGTCCACGTCTGCGAGCGCTTCAGAAACATCTAAAAAGAAAGAAAGAGTGGTTCAAGTTAGTCTCACACATATCTCACGCTTCCAACGAGTATCACGGAATTGGTGGTATTGGCGGGAAACAAAGATTGGCCGCAAAACTAACATTGCTCGGCATTGAACTTGGGGTCCCGCAGGTCCTTTAGGTCAACCGCGGGCACATTGCCTCCACCGCGGGAAGGGGGTGGCCGGCGCTCCCTGTCCCGATCTCCACCACGCTCCCTCGTGCGCGATCGCTCTCGATTGCGAGACCTGTCTCTATCCTGCGGCCTGTATCCGTCAAAAGCGCTCGCATTAGGCATGGGCGGCGTGCTCAGGTCAAAGTTGATGGGCTGATTGTTGTTGAATCGAGTCGAGTAGCGGCGCTTGACGAGGTCGAAGTCTGTTCAACCCCACGAGGCGGGGGGATAGGATTAGAAACATGGAGACCCTAATAGCGGGAATGACCAAGGAACGCGAGAAAAAGCTTCCCCTTCCCTTACAAAGGGAACAAGTTCTTCGCGCACGGAGGCCATCTCGATCAACTCACCTTGCCGCCCTGGGGCGCAGGCCGACGGCGAGCATCGGGAGCAAGATCGGCACTGGGCCTCGGTGGAGGACCTCCTGGACCGGGAGGTGGCCCCCGCTGCGATATCCCGGCATCTTGAGCGATTGGGGCCGAGATTTGCTTCGGATTGATTCGACCCTGCCTCTTGGGGCCACTGCGAAGGGAGGACATGGTCGAGGGTGTGTGCGCGAAAGGGTGGCGGCGGAGCTTCGACGTGGAATTGGCGAGGTCGCCAAAAACAAGATGCAGGTTGCGATTTCCAGAAACCCGCAACCTTTTCCTGCTTCTTTTTCGGCTCTAGGGCGTACTATTAAAACGAATTGGAAATTGCCATTTGCTGGTGCCTAGAGGAGAGCTCGCAGGATCGCTTCTCGCCCGGCCAGAATAGACTGGGAGCTCTGATTACTAGGAGGTGTGTTCCTAGATGTGTCGTGGTGTCTCATCTCGAAGCATCATGTGACCAGCATTTGGTCCCAACTGTTCGCCAACTGTCCAGTTTTTGTACTTCGAGCTGGTCTGCGAGAACGAGAGAAATTGCCCCACTTGAAGCTCCAGCGTCATCAGTCTGTGCGTGCTCCATCTTGCTGTGCGGTTCACAGGACGCGGCTGAATCCCGGAATCCAGCGAGGAAAAAGAGAAAAAAAAGAAAAAGAAAAAGAAAAATTAGGCCTGCTTGGATAGGCTCACGGCTATTATTGTCAACCCAGCTGCTAGTCTTGAGTGGCCCAGTCCTAGCCCATCAACCAAAGCTTTGCTAATCCTTTCGGGCGAAAAAAATTACGAGGGCGTAAAAAAACCGGTTCGACCCTTTTTCCCTTCTCTATCAAACATCGAAGCATTCATCATACCTTTGTGCTAGCTTCTTCTTCAGTGGACGGAACCATTGAGGGCCCTTTTTTCTTTTTTCGTCCTTTGTAATATTTCTGCTCAGTCCTTCTACTTCTTCTCTTTCCCTCCCGCCCCTATCTGCGTCGCGTGCTCTAGCTCGGCTTGTTCCTATTCTCCCTCCGCGACTTTCCTGACTATCACCACCCCTAATCCATCCTCTCTTCCCCCTCAGACCATCCACAACCATGGTGCAGACATCGACTGTCGTGACGGCTTCGGTCGCTACCGTCATTACTGGCGCTCTCGGTATGATTATCCTGCCCCTCGCCCTTTTCCCGTGTTTTTCCTCCAGCCCATAAAGAGCTCCCACCCAGCGTCGGTGCTAGCCTGTACCTTCAAACAATCATATGTCACGCTTTGCTTCCATCCCCCGGAGCTCCCCTAATTTTCCCCCTTCCTTTCTCCCCGTCCTTGGCCGTGACCTTCCGCCCCTTGGCAACTCTTACTCACACGTTCTTCCGTTCTCCGGGTTTCTAGCCTACGCCGCCTACTTCGACTACAAGCGTCGAGCCGAGCCCGAGTTCCGCCGCAACCTCCGTCGCAACGAGCGCCAAAGGCTCGCGCCGAGAAGGAGGACGAGAAGGCAGAGCCAGCTCCAACGCCAAAAGACCCGCGAGGCCGTCGCCAACGCCATCGAGGAGGGCTTCCCCGCGACCCCTCCGAGAGGGAAATGTACTTTATGGAACAAGTTTCCAAGGGCGAGGTTCTCGGTGCTGATCGTAAGTCGTGTCACCCAACTACTTCCTTCTCAAATACACAGACATGAACCGGGGAAACCGAGATGGAGAAAGTCTCTACCCCGAAGTTCCTCATCTTCTGGCGAGAAGACCTCTAGAAGAAATCAAACTTTTTCTGGGCGCAGATTTGCTGACTTTTGGGCCCGTTCCTTTGCGCGCGCGTATAGCCAACACGCTGTTTGAAGCCGCGCTCGCTTTCTACAAGGCCCTCAAGGTCTACCCTTCTCCCGGTGATCTCATCGGCATCTATGACCAGACCGTCTCCAAGGTACGTTGACCACCGCGAACCGCGCCCTTGTCGGCCTGCGCTCGTAGCCAACTCGATGGAAACACGTTACTGACTCCCTTCCTCTCCAACCACACAGCAAGTACTAGACATCCTCGCCGAGCTCATCGCCGCCGACCCCACCCTCAAGATCGGCACCAACGCCGAAGGCGAGTCGGTACCCGTAATGCCCCTACCGTCGGCCTCGACTAAATCGTTGCGTGGCGACGCCGAGTTGCGTTCCTCCTCCCTCGCAACCGACCTACCAAGAATCTCGAAGCGGTGAAAACAGCACTTGTTTCTAACCGTCGAGGGAAAAAAAAAAGGAGGAGCTATATATAAAGAACGGCCACATCTAACGAAGAAACTCCAAATGGGTCAAACGAAGTGAACGCAGTCGGAAGGCTAGATGACAAAAACAGCAGCAACGGACGGAACTCGCCTCTGCTCCCCGTCACCCTACTCAAGCCTTTGAACGGACATTAGCAACACGCGCAGCTCTTGTTTTCTCTCCCCTTGCCTACTCTGCCCATCCGCAATTCTCTCTTGGACATGGCTATGGACTTGGAGACATTTTTTCTTTCCTTTTCCTCTCGTTTACCACCCTCTCTCCTCCATTTTTTTCTTCTTCCTCGCGACGACATCTTGGTTCCTTTTTCCGGATGGTTGACGAGCGAGAAGAGAAACGACATGTGTACATTATCTTGTTTCTTTAATTTCCTTTTTTTGGTTCCTTTTGGGCTGAGGCTAATAAGGGAGGGAAGTACAAAAGGGCTGTCTTTTTACGTTATTTTTGTTCTCTACCTTGTTTTTATCCCTTAAAACTATAGAGTTGCGTAGAGGAATGAAATGTACTATCTCTGGTATCCATGCCTATATGACCCATTGTCCCTAGTTTGCTCTCAAGGATAAAACAGCCTCGTTGAGAATGATGGCACAAAAGCATGAGACCCCCTATGACGAATGGTATCGGGTATTTTTCCTTGTCATTTTTCACTCTCTTAATCTTTCCCCCGGTTCTCTTCGCCTTCTCTTTTGCTCTAGATTTCTATCTTGCGACCTTTCCTATCCACCCTCTCGTCCCTAGGATCGAACCCGCCATTGCCCCAAGTCGCCCACTCGGGCGTCTCCTCGCCCATGTACTCCTCGGGAGTCCAGTCGCCGTCGGCGCCCCTCTCCTCGAGGAGCTGGAAGAAGCGCTCGTAGTCAATCTTGGTATGCCACTTGCCGTCGACGCGGAAGCGGTCGCTGGCAATGAGGACGCAGCAGCTGTGGGCGTGCTCGGCGGCGATGCCGTAGCCGAGGCCGCGCTCGCCGAGGCGACGCTCGAGGGCGCGGACAAACTCGCACACCTCCCAGTAAAATGGCACGTTGGTCATGCGCAGGCCGTGGTTGGCCGAGGTGGAGGTGCCGCAAAGGTGACGCCCTTGATCTCGACGAAGCAGGGGAGGCCGCGCTCGACGAGGTCGGCGTAGCCCTCGACCTCGTCGTCAATGTTGAAGCCCTTGACGAGGGTGAGGCGGAAGACGGTGCGGTGCTTGAACCGCTTCTCGCGCAGTATGTCGAGGCAGCGTTGGAAGCGCTCCCAAAAGTCGCGGTGGAGGGGCCGGTCGATGCGCCGCAGCGATTCCTTGTTGGACGCGTCGATGGACACGTAGAGCTGCGTCACGGCCTTGAGGGCCGCGAGCTGGTCCGGGTGCTGGGCGTTGCACACAAGGAAGGACGAGATGCGGTCGCCGTGCAAGAGGGCGAGAAACTCGTTAATGTGCGGGTAAAAGATGGGCTCGCCGACCAGCGAGAGGGCGCAGTGGCGGATGCGCATGGCCTCGGCGTACCGCTCCGCACGCACGCCCGCCATGCCGCGGAGCACCTTGATCTTTTGGTAGTGGTTGGCCTTGATGCCGTTGAAGATGAGGTCCGGCGGGTCCACGACCCAGCGCCACGTCGTGCCCACCGGGTTCGTGCCGTGCCGCCAGCAAAACACGCACTTGTTAGAGCACGACAGCGACGGCGTCGACTCCATGCACTGGTGCGAATTGATGCCGTAAAAGGAATATTTGTAGCAGGACCCGCGGCCACGCAGGGCCGACTTGGTCCACCGGCAAATCTTGACACCCGAGTGGGACCCGACAATGGCATATCCTTGCTTCGTCAGGGAGGCGTACGTGGGCGAGTTCTTGGGCACCATTTCTTTGGGCACCGCCTGCGCGGCCGCCCTCTTGCGGAGGGGCACGACGGACTTGCCGTAGTTGGTAAAGTCGACGGCGAGTGGCGCCTCCGCCGCCGCCGCTTCCTTGGCCTCCTTGGGGATGCCCTCGACAATCTTACCAAGGTCCTCGACGTCGCCTAGATCGCCAGATGCGCTTCCCGACCCAGAGTCGACAAGGGTCTCGCCGTCATCGTATTCCTCGTCAACGTCGCTGCCCGACTCGTCGTCACTCTCGACGGCGCTGCCGCTACCAGGTAGGCCCTCGCCGAGGTTGCCCGTCCTCGCAACCTGGCCGAGAATCTCGGTGACGCCGCTTGTCCACTCGGCCATGCGCTCCCGGTAGTCAATCTTGATGTCACCCATGCCGACAGGGTATGCCCTCTTGCGACCGGTCAGCCTGGCCATCCACTTGTCCACCTCCTTGGCTTGGAAGCAGTAGCCCTCGTTCTCGTCGGGCCAGCCCTCCCTGTCACCAAACCCAAAGACCGAGTAGCCCAAAAGGGCGGAGAGGGAGCCCGTGTCTATCCTGAAGTCGTAGTGAGTTTCCTTAAGGTGCTCGAGGAAGGTATCGTTGATGGTGTCGATGTTGTAGCTAGGCAGCAAGATCATGTAGAAGAGGTCCACTCCCTTCTTGGAGGCGGGAGGCGCGATAAAGTAGTCATCAAAGTCGATCTCGGCAAGGTCGAGCACTTCGGCGTCGAGAAACTTGGAATCAGGGAGGTCAGGCAACGCCTTGATGGCTGCGTCCAAATTGGCCTTGAACTCGTTGGCGATGCGCCCCGTGTTGGTGGTGATGGAGGAGTAGAAGATCAAGACTTGCGCCTCTCGGTTGAGCGACCCGCCGTCCGTCGGTCCCGCAGGCGCCGTTGTAGAAGACACGGCCGCAGCCTTGGCCTTGTTGACGCCTCCTTTTATCCGTCTAGGCCCCGTCCTTCGCGGTGCTTCCTTGGCCGTGCCGGGAGTGGGATTTTTCTTGGGCTGTTCCGCCACCGCAGCGGGCGTTATCGTAGCCGGTGTCGTCGTCGTCGTTGCGGGTTTCGTTTCCGGTATGGGCTTCTTGTGGTCTGCTTCCGCCCTCGTACCGGCGGGTCCCTTTGCTCGTACAACTTTGGAAGCGCGACAAGGTCTTCGTGCTCCTCTGTAGCGTGGAGGTACACTCTCAGCCCAACGAGCGAAACGAAAGCGCCTAGTAGGATAGGAGTCCTATAACTATACCATAGTTCGAGGACATCTGGGTAATCCCATAGGAGTTAGCCATAAATATAACCGCCGCGCCTGGCCAGGACGATGGAGAGCCAGTGGTTACCCTGGCGGGGAGGGAGGGTTTCTATACAAGGCACCTACCATTAGACACTTGGTCCATGGACGAACCAGACCCGGGAATCCAGCTCTGAGGCCCCATGGTGGATGTTTGAAGTAGAGAAGAGAAGGAAAAAAGGAAGTTGGCGGGGGGGAAGTAGTAGGCTGCTCAATCGCTAAATAGCCGTTTGCGGCGGTTCTCACGACGAGCGAACACGAAGAGCTGGGAACGAGACGAAGCCCAGTCCAAGTCAAAGAAGGGGACGTTTAGCGAGGGGAAAGAAAATAAAATAAAAAAGAAAAGGGCAGAGGGAGACTCGGTCCGTTGGATTCTACAGAGAGCACGAGCACGAGCACTTGTCCAGAACAAAAGGGTTCCTGGAAATGGGCGGCTGGCGATGGGTTTCAAGGAATTTACTTTCAGTTTGTCAATGGAGAAATTTGCCCCGCGATTTTGCAAAGAGTGCGGCATGCATAGTGCGTCTGTGCAACGATGTACTGTGTCGCAGTAGGAAACTTTCAAAGCTGAAGAAGGCGCGGCACACGCACATGCTTCAGGTGCTTTTTGAGACTTGTAAAGAGGGGCGCATCGCCAAGCTTGAAATATGTCTGCAGTGATTCGACAGTTTCAACGCTCCGCCCTGTTAAGCTTCCCGAACGACAGTTGCCCTCAAGATACGAACAACGGTCACAAGCAACTGTTTTCTTGTGATGATTAAAACAGGGCCTTAGGATACATGGAGTCATGATTCAACAAATGACTGCCAAATTACACACTTGACTTGCCCTGGACATACAAAGATTCAAGATTAATAAACGCCCATTTAAACGCAACGGCTTGCTGTATTCATTGCTGACTTTGCTTCGCTAGTCGCTTCATGAGAATCGACAAATTTCTAACTAAGGGGTTGGGCAGCGCGCGGAAGAGAGGGGGAAACCAAAAGACGAGAATGAAAGTAGAGAAAAGGGAAGCAGGGAAGTAGGGAAGAGACGAGGAGTGATTATGAAAAGCTCTCCATGGGAGATTACGGAACTGCACGATGGAAGAGCAAGGGAAGACGACAATGTAACAAATAGTTACTCCATGGATGGAAGCATTGCAGAGAACATGGAAACATCCAAAACAAGGCGCAAAAGTTCAATCAGCAGAAATCAAATCCAATCAGTATAAATGCATCAAGATTATCGCCAGAGAGAGCAACCGCAGTTTGCCTTGGAAAAAAAGAGTAACAAAGATGTAAAGAGACATTTCCCTGTATGAGTGTGTGATGTGGATGAGTATCAATGTTTGTGAGTGTTAGATGTGTATGTGTGTGTGTGTGTGTGTACGCGCGTGTAATGGTCCCTCGCAGCTATATCCAGAAAAAAAAAGAAATGAACAAAAAAGGGAAAATTCTTTTAGCTTCTCAAAAGAAGAGACGAGTACAAAAAACACCAAAATGAGTGATTAGATAAAAGTAGTCTAGAGTTGTCCGGAAAGAATGGCTTCGGTGGCTATTGTGGAGAAAAAAACAACTGTTAGTACGAGTTTCTCGAGGGAGAAAGGGTGAGAGAGAGAGAGTGTGTGTGTGTGTGGGTGGGTGATTCAAACATACCGCTGTTAATGTAGGCCTTCTTGGCGTCGAGAGGAACGCCAAACCTCTTCTCAAGTTCCTGCTTGACGCCCTTCTTCGTCACCGTCATCAGATCCGCCGTCCTCAGGATTTCGCGGATCTCGGCTAATATCTCGTCATCGCTAGGCAGGCCAACCATGTCTTCGGGCGTGAAGAATTGAGAGCCGCCAAAGGTGCTCTGCCTGTTGCCCATGACGTCCGAGCCCGCGTACGAGAGCCTCGAGACGGGGAGACCGGGCATCGGTGGGTAGACACCCAGCGTCGAGCCGGGCCGCGAGTTGGGGTAGCCATACTCCGACATGGCCTGGTTGGCCTTGGTGGCGTAGCTATAGCCCGAGATCTCGGAGCGGGCATCCTCGCGCGAGGTCTGCACCTCCCAGAGCTCCGCCTGGTACTCCTCCCATCGCTTGCGGGGATCGAGGACGGGTCAAACTTGCCCTCGTCGCTAATGACCACCTTCTTGCCTTTCTCACCGGCAACCACACGCGTGTTACCCCAGTTGAAGTCGTCCATGTGCCAGAACGAGTAGAGAGGAAGACCAAACGAGAAGACGGGGATGGCGAGCACGTAAAGAATCATCCAACCAATCATTTCCCACTTGCGCCTGAGAATGAAAATGATGGCCTGAAGACCGTAAATGGCAGCCAGCAGCACGAAAGCAGTGACGGGCACAACCGTCTTCTTGTCCGCGACCATGTAAATGAGGTAGGCAATGTAAGCAACCGTGACGGGCTGCACAATGGTACTGAGCAGATCGACAAACACAATGAAGCGCATAGAGAAGCAGCAGAAACCGCAAAGCTGGTTCATCGGGATGAGTTCCATGAGGTTGTGCACGGTAGAGTTGATCCATCGTCGACGCTGCGAAAGGAACACCTGCCACGAGTCGGGGGCAATGGTCCAGGCGTGCGCCTCAAAGATGTACTTGGTCTTGTACTTGCTGTGGAACTTGAGGAGCAGCGTCGTCAGATAACGATCCTCACCAAGGTGGAGCAGGTTCTTCATGTGCAGCGTGTCGACGCGAATGGTCGAGTAAGCCTCCACGACCTCGCGGCTGACAAAGAGCGGCTTGCCCGTCTCCGCGGCCCGGATGCGGTACATGGAGAAACAACCGGGAAGACAGGTGACGGATCCGAACAAGCTCTCAAAGGCCTTGGACAGATTGTGCGAGATGTAGTATTCGTAGACCTGAATCATGGTGATGAACGACGACTTGGCGTTGGTCAGCGCCGTCTCACCGCACACGGCAATGAGGCGGGTATCGTGCAAGAACGCAGACACCATGCGAGTGGCGGAATCGGCGGCAACCACGGTATCGGCATCGATCTGGAGCATGAACTCGTAGAACGTCGGGTTGACACCAATGATGTTGCGGATCTGGTGGTACATTTCAAGCTCCAGAGGGCTCATGGGAAGGTTGTAGTGAACACGGTTGAGGAAGCGCATGATAATCATCTGCGAGTCACGCTTGCCACGGTTACCAGGACGGGCCACCTCAGAAGGCTTGCCAACCTTGACAATGACCAAGAAGGGGACGATGTGGCCCTGCACCTCGTAGAGACCCGAGTAGACCTTGCCCATGTTGTGCTGCTTGAGACCCTCACCAAGGGATTCGAAGCTGAGGGCTTCGGGGTCCACCGACTCGGACACGCCGAGAATATCGAGTACGATGCGCGGGGTGGGACGATCGTTGCCCTGACCGATAATCATGCCGTCGCAGACAATCACCAAGAGTTTGCGCTTATCGTCGTACTTCATGCGAGCAGCCGAGTCAATGGCACGGCGCAGAGAGTCCTCGTCTTCCGTGTAGGCAGGGATCTGGCACATGACAAACTTGTCAATGTTCTCGGGAACGTTCTTGGTGCCAAACTGGAGAGCGGCGAAGAACTTGAAGCAGATGACGGACGCGAGGAGAATGGAGACAGCGAGGACGAGGTATTCCGCAAAGAGACAGCGCGTCGAGCGACGGGTATCCACGTCACCAACGAAGAACAGGTTGTTCAGGCAGGCCATCATGCGCTTCTTGGCGGCGGCGCTCAAAGCCAGGTTCTCCCAGAGCTCCGTGAGGTCTTCGCCGGAGCGGACTTCAAACAGTCTGGTAAGGTCGGGCTCCATGAAGTTGGTCAGCTCGAGATCGGTCGGCGGGTCCTCCTCGTCGGGGAAAGCGACGAGCCTACGGCCTCCCTTGAGGTACTCGGTCAAGTCGTAGACGCGGCTACCAATAATGGCAATGTTTCGCTTGCCCGATTCGAGACCCGAGAGCTTCTGGACATACTGGGCCGAGTAACCGACGGCTCCCTTGAGGAAACCTCCCGGAGCATCGTCATCTGCTCATAGTACCAGTCAGGGCGGCTATCTCCACCTTCGCTGAAGGCGCGGAAGTCGTGATACTGCGCGTTGAAGTCCCGCGAGTCGATGAGAAGAGGAGAGCCAGAGATGTTGGTAGACTTGTAGTCGAGGGTGACGTGTTCATCGACGGTGCCGTCCTTGCCTTGGCAAAGCGCCGAGACCTGGATGGGGAAGAGGTTGCTAATGTCAAGACCAGCATAGTTGAGCAGTGTCTTACGGTCAACGACTGGGGGCGGAGGGTAGTGGTGCGACGCGTATTCCTCAAGATCAAAGACGTAGCCTCGAATGGAGACGTAGGCGCCGTCGGAGCCCTTCTTGCCGTTGAACGACGAAAGCTCTGCAGGGCTGTAGACGTGCTGCTTGGGGCAAATGAGCTGGGGGAAGATGACGATAAAGAAGGCGGCCAAGAGACAGAAGAACCAGATGAGCAAGTTGATGGCAAACTTTTCCTCCAAGCGGTGCGAACATCCTTGCGAGGCATTTTACCCAGCCACTTGATGAGGAAGTCGGGAATAGGCCAGGTGAGGAAGTAGACGAGGAAGACCCATCGCTTGCGCCCAGGGCTGTCGCGATACTCCTCGACCTCGACCATGTCCTTTTCGTTGCTGCGCTCCGCCATTTGTTCGACGGTGTCCATGTTCTTGAACATGTCACCGCCACCATAGGCAGAGACGCCCGCCTCGGAGCGGGTATCGTCGTTTCCAAAGTACCCACTCTTGCCCTTCTCGCCGTAGCCCATGGGGGTGGGAGTACCCGTCGACAAGAGACGCTCTTTGGAGGCAGCGTACGATACCTGGTCCCCGGGAGTAATGCCATCGCCTGCCTCGGAGGGGCCGAAGCCGCCCGAAGCAGAATACGTGTCGCCAAGCTGGGAGATTTCCATCCAGCATCGCTCGCTTAGGAAGACACCGGTGGAGCCAACCTTGACCTCATTGCTGGGCCACCTCTTCTCCTCGACGACGAGTTCGACCCGCTCCCTCTCCGTGCCAATGAGCATGGTGTCGCTGTCAGCGAGACCAAGGAACTCTCAAAGGGAAGGAACAAGCTAAAGTCCGCAGACCGAAGTCGCTGGCTGATTTCGGCAATACCAAAGGTCTGGACCTGCGTGCGTACACACTTGCTGTCAAACTGGTTCGAGATCCGCCTGTCATTGGGCTTGAGGCAGAAGACGAAGTAGGCGTTGGTGGTGGGGTCAGCAACAGCCTTGGTGACGTTCTCGAGCGAAGAGAGGAATTGGCCCGAGGCGCCGTGGGTGATTTGGAGCTTGGATCCCTTTCGCGATTCGCCCGCCTCGCTGAGGGCATCTAGCTCCTCCTGCTGTTGGCGGCGCTCGAAGCGGCTGGGGCGAGCGCTCCTCGTCGTCTTCCTCGACATGACGCTGGGCGCGCGCATAGGCTTGGAGCTGATGGTGGCCTGCATCACCGTCGTCTTTTCCTTGGGGTGGTGCACGGTCTGGAGCGCTTCTTGGCCAAAGAGACGGGCCACGAAGTCATTCTTGGTGCGGCCAAACATGCTGAGAAGATCGCCAGAGATGACCTCGCTGTTCTCCTCGATGAGGCCCTTGACGGGGTAGTCTACCTCTCCGGCAAAATGCTTCACGGTGAAGGTGGCAGCGGTGTTTTCGGTGGCAAAGTTGCTGCCGGGGAGCTTGGCAGTGGCCGCGCCGACGTTGATGGAGGGTTCTTGCCCTCGAAGCGCTTGCGAAGGGACTCCAGAAGCTGCATGTCGGTACGACCACGGCGGGTCTGGTCATCAAGAATGCTCAAGAGACCGTTGCCAGACTTGAGCAGGCCCTTGACTGCGTCCGAGTTGTCAAAGTAGCTGGTGGCCGAGACGGCAACCTCTTCCGACTCAAGCATGTCAGCCTTGCGATCAAAGAAGTTCTGCAGGGTAAGGTTGTAGAGGGCTTCGCAGGCGGCGTTGCTCAGGAGCTGATCAAGAGTGGACTTGGTATGGGCCTGCTGGGAGAAGCCGGGGAAATCGATGATGGACACCGTGTTGGCAATCGACTCCTCGGGAGCGCAAAGCTTCTGGTTCATGCTCTCCACCACATAGGCGACGAAAAGCGAATACAAGGTCCTCGCAAGCTCGCCGGCGTGCGACCGAGCACCCTCAGGGTCAAGCATGACCGTGACCCTCTCCTTGTGGATCATCTTGGTCTTGTAGCCGAGGGTGGTCTGCAGATCCCCGGCACTTACGCCGAGGAAGGCTGCAATGAGGTTGAGGGTGTCCTTGTTCTTGACAGCCGTGATGGTCTGGCCACCTTCGTGGGAGAAACCGCCACTGTCATCACCCGTCACGGTGGTATCGGAGGTAGTTTCAAATTCGAGCTGACCAATGTGGAGGATACTGGCAAGAACCTGGCACATTTCTGCGATCTCGCTGCGAGGGAACTCGAGCTTCCGGAGAGCGTTCTTGAAGAGAGTGAAGCCTTCGGCATCGTTGATGCCAACCTTGAGCTGGGTGGGATGGCCGAGATACCTCCATCGCTTCTGGGTGTTGCCATGGGTGTCAAAACCGAGATGGGCCTTTTCGGCAGCGGTGGTCCCCGCGAGAAGATAGTAGAGCACGTGGAAGTTTCTCTCGCCAGTGGGAACGTCGGCAATTCGGCTGCGCTCGAGGCGATGGTCGAGAAGCTTACCACCGAGGAGGATTGGGTTGGTAGAGGTGGCCGTGTCGTACTGGAGCTCGTAGAACAGACCAGCCTTGGAGGCGGTTGGGGTGGTGGAGGTCTTGGTGGTGGTGAGGGTGTCGAAAACGTAGGCGGCAAGAGAGAGCTTGGTGGACAGAGGGTGGAAGTCTTGTTGAGCAGCGAGGTCAACAAGTGGCTTCGAAGGGTGGATTTGCCCGAGCCAGATTCGCCCCTAATTTGGAAAATTTGCTGTTAGTGATATGGACTGGATTACACGAAATGCATTACCCGCCCCCAGAGCCCCCAACTCCGATGCTTGAACTAGAGGGGATAGGGTATGAATAGGGACAAAACTTACAAAAATACAACGGCTTGGTTTTCGGAGCGGTGTCCCAACCTGAGCCACGCGCGATCAGCCATTTCCTCAGCGCCGGCCATGGCGCTACCCTCTCGACCTCCATCAATGCCCTTGGCGGAAGAGGAATAGTTGTTGATGGACACGAGGGCGTGGGAGGAGAGACGGGCAGTCGGGGAGCCAGCATGGAATCGGCTGGCCAGGTGAGCCGTCAACTGGGTATCGGACTGGAGGTGAGCGGGCAACGCAGGCAGAGAAGCCTGCGTCTGGGCCCCGCTGCCTCCGCCCAGAGGTGGAAGGCTCATGATGGGCGTTGAAGCCTAGGAGGATGGCCTTCCAGGCAGCGTGTCGGCAAGATCAAAAGACGTGGTCCTTCAGTAACGATGGGGCGGCAAACGACGGGTTCGTAACGAGCGGTTTCGATTCTCTCAGATCGTGATCGTGACGGAGAAAAGGTGAAAGGGGTGGGTTGTTTGGAAATTAGGTGCTCGCGTCGTTGGAAAGAAGGGAAGAACGGCACAGGGGAATTAGGAAGTAGTAATAAGAAATGATAATACAATAAAAGGCAGTATCCTTGGAAAGGAAATGGAAGTGAAGGTGAAGGAGAAAAACCACTACTATGGAAGCCAAAAAAGCGAATGTCGTCCTTTGGGGGAGAGAAAGAAGGATGAAGAAGAGCCAGATTCGGAGTGTTTCTTCGAAAAGGTCGCGGGCACTCAGCACAAAATGAGGAAAATGGTGTGGATGGGAATGTTTGGCTCAGTCGTCCTTGGGTCCTTTGCTGGGCTTGGGCCAGGCACAACCAGCGGAAGGAAGATGGAGGTACCGCCGAAGTGCGTAAAGTACCAACAGGAGAAAGGCGAGCGCGACGGATCAGTTCCACGAAGCAGATTCTCGGGAACGGTCGAGTGGACACTGGGTGCCAAATCAAGGGCGTTTTGGAGGAACGATTGGTTGGCCAAACGCGGTTTCCGTTGGGGGACCGGGGTTCATACCGTTCAAGAATAGGGGGATGGTGGACGCTACTTGTAAAAGTATCAATTCCTGCTCAGGTACCTTTTCTGCGCTTCCTTCTTTTTCCCTCCCACTTCCGCTCCCATGCAGATGCACTGTTCCACACTGTCTAACATGGCGCAGTCCAACCTCAAGTCACTTGGAAAAGCAGTCCACACAGCATAGATCCGCACCTGCTGACCTGACCTGACCTCCGGATGTACCTGCTCCGTGGAATGTGCCCTTTCTTTCTGCTTCTTTGCCTCCAGTTCTCCGAGCTCTCTCTCCATTGCTGCTGAGGTGAGCTTCACACGCCTGGGCAAGACAAAGGTCGTCAGGGCAATCCCCGTCGACTCCACCGCTCGCATCTGCGGGAACATGAGACGCAGGGCAGTCCACGCTAGCAATCACTGCCCGTAGCGGTTGGAGACATATCGTCATGTATCTTGACAGTTGGCTAGAACTGGCCTGATGGCCTTGCTGCTGGGATACGGGCTTTTCTTCTTTGTGCGTGTGCCACCTCCGGATTCATTGGCTGCATTGGCTCCGACGGGGGACTTTGCGCTAGAGTCGGGCCAAGGAGAGAGGGTCCTGAAGGCTCTGGCGCTTCATTCTGGCGGCGCCCGCGCTCATCTCCTGCATCTGTGGCTGGCCGGAGATGTCCTGGGCGTGCCTGTCCATACATTCGCCTTGGACGCCCTGTGATTCTATTCTTTTTTTTTCTCTTGACTTTTTTCTTCTTATTTCTCTCCTCCTGCTCTTCTCTGGCATGATGACGGAGGTACTTCAATGTAAATTAAAAAGCACTGAGCTGGAGCCCAGTGCAGCGGGCTGGCCCAGCTGGGACCACCCCTCGTTCGGATCCTGCACTGATCAAATCTGTTCAAGCACGATGGAGATCTCTAATTTGTGCTTGGTCCACCACTTCCCCGAAATGACGGTCACTTCCCGGTCGCCCTCTTACTGGCGACAATTTTGGGATGCTGTAATGTCCGTTCCAATCATGCACTGTGGTTGTCGACGGACCCCGAGGAACGTGTCCCGTCCCAGCTCTGCGGTGAGACTGGGTTGCGGATGGTCAACGAGAGCATTGAAGATTGAAATCTCCAAACGGGTGATGGCCTAATAGCCAAGAGGGAGGAGGGCACTAATAGAGGGCCACTAACCTCACTCATCAATCATTGCGGGCCAAGACCCTTCCAAGTACGGCCGAGCTATTAGCACGCTGTTCAAAGGCAAGTCGTGGAAGAAATAAACGGCACCGCAAAACCAATCTACCCTATCAAGTCTGGCAAAAAGCTGTGGTAACCACTAATAATACAGCTTTCCAGACCTGAAGAACTCAGTTGACAGGGAGCTAGAAGTATAATATCTATCAGATTTGGTAGGTAGTGACATACGAATCCACCGTGGCAAGGTAGATCGGTTTTGCAGTATCGCTTTTTTCTTTCACGACTTGAAAGGGTCCACGAGAGACCGTTTCCGTAGAGATCTCATTCCGCTTTCCAGGCGTTCACCACGTTGCCAGGGCTCTATTCTTCAAGGTTCCTCAGGCTTGCAGAGGTTTGCCATGGCGCTGAGACAGGGCGGCTCGCTCGTCGCGCTAGTAGCCTAGGAATCCTGGAGCTTGGGGAATTGCAAAAATCGCCGACTCAGGCTCCCGCGAGAAAGAAAGAAAAGAAAAACCAAGGTCTCGCCTCTATTACACTAGTGTCAAGCATTGTCCCTCTCAAGCCTTTGTCGCGCCAAGCCCTGTGTGTGGCGGACAATGTCCCTACTGAATAGGTTCGGCCGGGCCACGATCGCCGAAACAAGAAGACGGGCTGGCCATGATGGGAGTGCGAAGCAAGAAAACGCGATCAGCGCTAAGCGACACGCTCATCCCGTTTCGATTCCCAGGCACAGGAGCATCACCTCTTACAAAGTTGGGAACAGGCCGCGTTGCGTGCGGGCTTGGAGAAGCTGGAACACGGCCAACTCCAGGTTCGCCTCTGTTGTCTCAGGACGAGCCCTTTCGGCCTCCCGCCTCCAAACGTCTGCTAAAGCCCGAAACGATTGCGGGCGAGGGACGATGGCGCGGGCCGGGGGAGATTCAATCGTGATCACTCCGTGCCGTGTACCACAGCAAGGAGGGCACCATAGATGGCTTGCTTTCCGATGGTCGGATTTCACTTCACCTTTCTCTGATCGAAAAGCCAAAAGCCGTCAATGACTACGTTGATTCCTGTGAGCCCCGGCTGGCTTGCATGGCTCGGAATGGGGCTAATAATTCGAGCTTGTGTCCCTTCATTCATCGGATCAATCAACGGTGGTTTGATCAGTGGGTACAAAATGTACCAACGAAAAAGACGGTGATTAAAATGGGTGTCCTCTAGAAAGAGCACACTGTGTACTTGTTGATCAGGTAGGGAACTTTGGGGAAGTTCAGCAGATCAGTTTCCATCATCCTTGAGAGGCAAAGGCCCATACGAGGAGGGACGGAAAAAAAGATAAGGAAGAAGACAAGAAAAAAGAAAAAGAAGAAAAAAAGAAGAAGAAAAAGAAACAGGGACCAGGCGGATCGGCTAGTAGTGTATGGTGTTGGGATGTCAATTCAACTCTGAGCTTGATCAGCCGAGCGGAATCATCCATACGAGAAAGTCCAGCGCTTGTCAAGCAGGGCAATCATATCGCCACTGGTCGCTCGTGTTCGAGCTTAATTGATGGCTCGAAAGCCAATTCGGGAAAGAGAAGAGCAACCACTCCACTTCAAAGATAGAGGAAGAGTGTGAAATCTGTTTGTCATCCACAAGGGCACGCCGAGCCTTTTCTCACAGATGCGATACCCACAACGCCCCTTCCTTTCTTTTCTTCGCCCCCTTCCTTATTCCCTGCAGTTCTTTCCCACTCCAATTAGCGCCAATGCCTTCACAAGGCTTCGGCTTGTGCGAAGTAGGTCTGGTCTTCAGGGTTCACACCATCAAGATCGCCAAGTAGGAAAGCGAAGGGGGAGGATCGAGTTTACCAGCGCAAATATCGGCAACTATACCCACCCACTTGCTGGAACCGTGCACACAAGCCAATATCTGAACTGAGCCTCGAACTCCCTTGCTGCTCGTCACTATGGGTGGTTCTTCACGGCACCTCCCAAACAGCATTCGTCCAATATCTTTTTGCTCACACACTTTACTGTCGTGGATGTATCGTTTGGGCAGGTGGGAGATGCTCGTAACGTTGTAAAGCACGGCAGATAGTGAACTTGAGAAAGGTTGGTGTTTGCAATTTGTTTTATCCAGCATTTGGCTGTTGAGTCCAATCTTGAAAAGAACATGTTCAAGATTAGTAATATCTATGGATGGTCGATGTCTTGATATTGCAGAGGCCTCTTGTCTCTTCAGTCGCACCAGAATCAAGGAAGATGAGCGAGGCGCGGCGGGAAGACTGCCCAAGACGGCTTCCTAGGGCAAGGAAGGATGGTGCCGAAATAGACCAACAAGGCTCCTTCCCCCTGTCGCCATTTAGCATGCCAGCGGGCCGAGTCATTCGAAGGGGAAGAGAAGGGGGCAAAGTGCTCGTGGGGGAGAGCCCGCTTGGTTCAATGCTACATGGACAAATGCTCACACTTGAGAATCAAGGCCATCAATGATTCTCGCTTTAACGGACAGGGGGCTTGAATGGGCCTGGTCTGGAGCATTGAGCATTGATGGACAGCACTTCCTTGATTCCAAAGATTACCCATTGAACAAATTGGAACGAGTGCGTTCAAGGTCGCATTGAAGAGACATCCCCGCCTCCTCCGACCAAGGCAGGAGGCAAAGAGAGCAAGAAGAAAAAAATGAATATCAAAAAGCAATTATTACTGGGGCTGGGATTCACTTTTTTTCATCCATCGGAGGCACAGAGTCTCAAAACGCTGCTCGAAAGAGGCACATTGAACTCGGAATCTTCAGACACGTGCCGTGCTCCGCCGCAGAATCTGAGTCTGATCGAGGGATGTGGAGGATGTGGAGGGAGTGAATGTGGAGTAGTTATGGATCGCGTTCGGACAACATGGGCGAGTGAAGTCTGAGGCTAATATCTCGACGAAGCAAAGGTGGGTGAGGAAAGAAAAACAATACGATATTGTATGGGTGCACCTGATTGCCTGTGCATCGAACCGAATGGCCAGACCACTCAACGAGTTCCTCGTGCAAATATGGTCGGGGAGGCAACCCAGCCGAAATCCACACCACACACGAGTTGGCTGGCAACTGGTCATGCAGGAATTCATGTCGTGTCTGAAGAGGGTGGGCTGCGTGGGGCTACGAACCGTGGAGTTCACGTTGAGGGTGGGAGAGCGAGGAAAATGCCCACCCAAAGAAATAATCAATACGAAGTAAATAAACCAAGCTTCCGTTTGGTTCCTTGGTAGCGGGTCGCCTATTCCATCCACACAACTCGCGGGCATTACATTACATTTGGCACCATATCGACAAGTCCAAAAGGCCCATCTCAACATAGATACCTTTTCGTGCAACTCTCGTCTGCTGCCGCGCAATATATGCTCTCCTACGTCTACGACGTGCACGACGACCATTCTCTTTTTATTTTCTGCTGTTCTTGCGCCGGAGTCCCCATCTCTCTGCATGGCTGGATATTATTTACTGTTATTAACTGACACGACCCCGAACGACTTGCAGCTGCGGCGTCAGCCACGGCGGGGTGTATCATAGCAACCAGCCATTGTTGACGGGGATATTGTCTGTTATTTCCTTGCTCTCGCCCTCAGGCGAAGCTGCAACGCCCCAGGAAATAGAATGAGGGGCTTCTCATAGGAAATGGGAACACGCTGATCGAATTAATGAGGCCAATGTCAATCGCGATATACCTTATCGCCGTAGGAGAGGCTAAATAAAGTTGGGCCTTTGGTCGACGTGAAAACCTATGCTGTATGACGGCGGCTGTCACACGAATGGGGAATACTACCCTGTTCGGAGGCACACGTTAGGAAAGAAAATTTTTTCCCTTCTCTTTCCCCCAACCAGGCCAGGAGGAGGCTGTGAGGTTCATGGATCGTTCCTGGTACTGAATGACGCCCAACGAAAATCTCACATGCAGCGTTGTAGCGTCCGATTTACGCTCTGGGCTGGAGCCGGATGCATGCGCATCAATCCACCAAGAGTACAGTACGAATTCCTGGCTCACCAAGGCGTCCAAGGGGCACCGTCGAGGGTCCGACGGATTGATGCTCCGTTATCCCTGAACCACGCTTGGAGGAAGGCGCAAGCACCGTGGAATGCACCAAGACTTTGTACCGTGTGCAGACACGAACTAATTTTCTCGTACCTGGGTGGCTTGCCCCTATTCTTTGCACGCTCCACCAAACTAAAAATACCCCCAATCGTCGGATTAGTCCACGACAAGGAAGGAAGGGCAATTCCACACTAAATAAACAGAGAATCATGCACATTCATTGGGTGAGCCCCATTGGCTCTTCAGCGCACCAAGTGGGGAGATGGGGCGCCGCCTTTCCCCCTTGGCCTGACAGGCTGAGTCCGTCCCTTCCACTTCACGGATGGACAATGGGAAGTCGCGCTCAACCACGTCCGCGTGCTGTCCTCCCACGCAAGTCTTCTTCCTCCTCACGGGGAGGGGACTTTGAAGCATCAGGCCAGCTCCCTTCAATGTTCTACCTCACACCTCCAAAACACTGGAGTTCTTAGTGTACCTCAGGTGAGGGCAGGCCGTCGCGCGACGGTGAATCGAAAGGGGGCACGATAATTCAAACACCCGTGATACCCCGGAAATTTGCAAGTTAGAGTGGGTTTGGTCTTGGGAAGGGTACTTTGAATCAGAAACTGGCCGTGGCCGGATCTAGCGATGGACGGACTGAAATGATACATGCAGGTCCTCACGACCCAACATGTTCTTGGAAAAGGGGATCTCCGTAACGATCGACGTATTGGCCACCCCCTTCTTGACCACTGAACCAAACCGTATATCCCAGTCCTCCTGAACCTGCACCAAACGCTTCATGGGTGGCTCCAAGTACCTCGATACATTGTCCCTTCGCAGCCTAACCAGGTACTCCGGCGTTTTTTTCTCCTTCACCAGTCGTCTTTCCAGTGCTGCTGCACCATTGGTATTACTCCCTGAAGTTCAAAGCTGAGAGAGCGCGCACAGTAAGTACCAGCACAACACACCAAACGCCAAACCTCCCACTCCTCATGGCCTGTTGATGCATTCTCCTTGTCCCATTGAGTTCTTCCCATTGCATCGTCCTCTCCTTCGATCCTGGTCGAACACCATTCTGCACTCTTCTTCACCATCCTCATTCGTTCCGGATGGCTTCTTAGTATTCATTCGTTCTTAATCTTGTTTAATACTCCCTTTTACCTTTCTCCCTTCCGCAGTTTGCTCGCTTCTTGACGCGGACAAGCGCTCTCGCCCTATAACTCTTTTTTGTGTAATCTGCCACTGTCGTCTCCTTTGCCAACATCTCGACATTTAGATTGTTTGGGATCACTCGCTTACCCACAGCAACCAAGCTCGTCCGTGAGCCTCGAATGCGGTATTGAACTTCGTCTTCTCTGTAGCCCACGCGTCTCCCGATCCTACCCAATCTTTTCGAGTCCCACGAGAGAGAACGGCCACTCGTCGCCAGAGCGATTCGCCCTCGGCCTTCCGAACCGAATAGTAATACGCAAGTGACCGGCGTGTGTGTCCATTGCGGACATCACGATCCCGCACCCAAAGCCAAAGATGGCTGGTTCACGGTTATCCATGTATTCACTCGCGTCCGAGTCTCCCGGTGCCCCCGAGGAGCCGGACAGCAGTCTTCTCAGGTGTCCACCACCACCCTGCTGAATGCCATCCACAACAGCTACCTCTCGTCCCAGCCCTATGCCCTCGATGCGGGATCTAGTGTAGTGGTCAACACGTGGCTCACCGCCGCCCAGGCGGGCCCTGACGGAAAAGTTGGAGGCACTGTCGACCGCAACCTCGCCGCTCGCGCTTGGGAACACGCTAGGCGCAGGGCCGAGGATGGCTGCATCATTCTTGGGTAAGTTGAGATGCCTATAGAGGAGCCTCACCCTCCAAGGAACGAGTGGGGACCAAGACTAACGCAGCAGTGTCTAGATCTCTCCACACATCCTCTCCCTCGCTTCTATCTCCCTTCCTTCAGGCTCTGCCCATCTCTATCCCCGCTACCCTCTTCACAGCTTTGGACGCTATCCAACCATTCCTCCGCTGCGTGACGCCATACAACCCCTCGACACCGCGCCAGGTCGCCTTGGGAGTTACTCTTACCCTGAACCTCACCGGCACCTCGCCGGTGCGAGCGTCTCCTTGTCCCAGGGAGGTATCGACACAGCCAAGGGTCTCCTAAACATCCCCGCAGAGGCCGGCTATCGTGCCTTTGATGTGTTCTACTACCTCCTCACCACCGCCTCGACGCCTGCGGAGCGAGAGTTCTTGGGTCTCAAGGCCGCCTCTAACTATACGCTGCTTTCTCGCTCTGGAACCTATAGCCCTCCATCCTACCTTCCCACCGCCGACGACGCGGCCGCCGCCGATGACTTCCGTGCCGCGCTCAAGGAGATTGGGATCAAGGGTTCCGCGCATCGCAACCTTATTTCTACGCTGGCGGGTTTGCTGAAGCTTGGCAACGTGCTTGACTACGGCCTCGATTCTGACGAGTTGGATGATATTATCGAGGATGTTAGCGGTCTCCTCGGCGTCGAGCCTGACGTTCTGGCTCGCCAATGCTCAACCGAAGACCGCCAGACTTTTGTTGGCGGTCTTTACGAGGCCCTCGTGGATTGGGTAATCTCCAAGGCCAACGAAGCCATCGCCGCTCAAATGCTGACGCTCCGTGATACGGCCTCGGTCGATGGCCGGATGCCCTCGCCTGCCATCGCCGGTGACAGCGGCGACACCGTCTGCATCACTGTCGTCGACATCCCTGATCCGACTCTTGGAAAGGCCATCGCCATGAGGAACATCTTTGACGATACCCAAGGCATCAATCAAGAGATGATCCAGGACGGCATCGAGATCGCGGGCGCTGGATCCTCGGTCATTCGAGAGATGCAGAACGCGGTGACAGAGGCCGGCCCAGATTTGGGCATCATGACCGGACCCGTCGGCCGGGACCGCCATCACGAGCTGGAGAAGCGTGAAGTCATCCTTGAAAAGGTTGCGCATGCTGCTGATAATGATGGCTTCCTTAAGAAGCTTCTCTTCCCCGTCGCTGGCGAGGGCATTAACCTCGGCCGCGCTGGCCGGATCGATCTCGCGGCTCTTCTCTCTGCCAGCCGATCTTGGTTCCACCTCTCGGTTCACCCAACCGATGACTCCCCTCTGGTCTTGCTGCCTTGCCATCAATCACCTCGGCGTGGTCTGCCGGCACCGTATCGCGCCAGCTCCGTGCCTGGCGCCTGCCGGAGTGGGCTAACCGTCGCAACCGTCATCTCGATTTCACCGCCGATTTCGACATTGAGGAGTTTGTCCAAAGGTTCTCGGCTCTCGGTTGCAAGGAGGGCCGTGAAGGCATCGAGACCTGGATCCTTGAGCGCGGCTGGAGCAACGGCGAGGTTGTTGTTGGCAAGGAACGTGTCTGGATTCGCGAGAATGCTTGGTGGGAAGCTGAGAGCATGCTTGACCTGAAGCCCATGGGTGGCGTCATACCCATGCCCACCGCGATGCCGAGCAATCCGTTTGAAACCAGCTACTCCGCTGGGGGCAGCGGCTACTTCCCTGCGGGCCTTGACGGCTCCATCAACAGCAGCCGGGACCAGCTTGTTGGCCACCAGCGAACATTTAGCCAGGGCAACATGAGCCAAATCACGCTCAGCCAAAACAACCGCGCACCCTCGGTCGCGGCCACCCCTGAGAAACGTCAGCAACGGCGACTACGGCCTCGGCGCCAAGGGCGATACGTACAAGGGCCAGGTCTACTACAATAATGATGGCGAATTCGTCGGCAACATCGACCCGGAGCTTGCGGACGGCAAGAAGATCGAGACTAGGCCTCAAACGACTCGTCGTCGCCTGTGGGTTGCCCTAGTGTGGGCCCTCACTTTCTGGATACCGTCGCCCCTTCTCAGGTATGTCGGTCGTATGAGGCGCCCCGACGTCCGCATGGCTTGGCGTGAAAAGGTGGTCCTGGTCTTCCTCATCTTCCTCATCAATGCCTGCGTCGTCTTCTGGATTATCGGTTTCGGAAAAGTTCTGTGCCCCAACAAGGAAAAGGCCTGGAGCCGAGTCGACGTGTCAAACCACCCTGGCGGCGATGACTTCTGGGTCAGTATCCATGGCAAGGTCTACGACATCACCAAATTCTGGAAACAGCAGCACAGCGATATCCCCATCAAGACCACCCAGGACCGCATGGAGCCCTTTGGCGGTCTGGATCTGACGATCTACTTCCCCATCCCCTTTGCTATCAGCTGCCGTGGTCTCGGCATTGGTGAGAGGTTCGTGCTCCTCAACAATGTGACGGCGGAGTACCCCGACGCCGTCCACAGCTCTGGCAAGTACACGCCTTACACCTCCTCTGAACTCGCCAACGAGGACTGGTACACTGCGCAATTCCTCCCCAAGATCAAGGAGTACTTCAAGGGAGACCTCGTCTGGGACCCCAAGGACGTGAAGGACGACGGCGAGAACAACCAGCACATGTGGTTCACGTATGACGGCAAGATCTTTGATATGACGGACTATTTCTACTCCCTGACCTCACGGAGGGCAACCAACTCTACTCTTTCCTCAATTCAGACGTGACCGATATCGTCAAGCAGAACCCCGGCGGGGATATCACCGAGCTCTGGGATGACCTTCTCCTCAAGTCTAAGAACACAGACGACGAATCTGAGATCGCCAACAGCATGAACTGCATCAAGAACCATTTCTACCAAGGTATTCCTGATTTCCGACTCACCGCCCGGTGCCAGGTCAACGGCTACATTCTGCTCGCCTTTACCATCATTATTTGCAGCGTTATCCTCGTCAAGTTCTTGGCTGCCCTGCAATTCGGTTCGAAGAGACGTCCGGCTCCCCAAGAAAAGTTTGTCATTTGCCAGGTTCCCGCGTATACCGAAGGTGAAGATTCTCTTCGCAAGGCTATCGACTCGCTTACGGCCCTCCAGTACGACAACAAGAGGAAGCTCATTTGCGTCATTTGCGACGGCATCATCGTTGGTCAGGGCAATGACAGGCCCACTCCCAAGATTATTCTTGACATCCTCGGCGTCGACCCCAAGATTGACCCCCTGCCCTCCCCTTCAAGTCCCTCGGCACCGGCTCGGAACAGCTCAACTACGGCAAGGTTTACTCTGGTCTCTACGAATTCGAGGGCAACGTCGTCCCCTACCTCGTCGTTGTCAAGGTCGGCAAGGAGTCGGAGCAGTCTGGTGTCAAGCCCGGTAACCGTGGTAAGCGTGACTCGCAGATTCTCCTCATGAGCTTCCTCAACCGCGTCCACCACCGATCCCCAATGAACCCTCTTGAGCTGGAGATGTTCCACCAGATCAACAACGTCATTGGCGTCGACCCTGAGCTTTACGAGTACCTCTTCATGGTCGATGCCGATACTGCGGTCAGGGAAGACTCGCTCAACCGTCTCGTCGCCGCGTGTGCCAACGATGCCAGGATTGCTGGTATCTGCGGTGAGACTGGCCTGCAAAACGATGAAAAGTCTTGGTGGACCATGATTCAGGTTTACGAGTACTTCATTTCCCATCACTTGGCCAAGGCCTTCGAGTCGCTTTTCGGCAGTGTCACTTGTTTGCCCGGATGGTATGTTTAACCCCCTCCCTCCTTGCCGCGTGAGCTTTTGTAGTAGGTTTTTGTTTGCCCAACAATAGTTGCTAATCTCATCCACGCCCTCTAGTTTCTCCATGTACCGCCTTCGCACCGTCGACAAGGGTAAGCCGCTCATTATCTCAGATGATGTTATCAAGGACTATGCCATTTGCGACGTCGATACTCTGCACAAGAAGAACCTTTTGTCTCTGGGTGAAGATCGTTATCTCACCACGCTCATGACCAAGTACTTCCCCTACATGACGTACAAGTTCATTCCGGATGCCTACTGCCAGACCGCCGCGCCTGAATCGTGGAGCGTTCTTCTCTCGCAACGTCGTCGCTGGATCAACTCGACCATTCACAACCTCGTGGAATTGCTCCGTCTCAAGGAGATGTGTGGATTCTGCTGCTTCTCCATGCGATTCGTCGTCTTCCTTGATCTCTGCTCCACCATTATTCTGCCCGCTACCTGCGTCTACCTCGGCTGGCTCATTTACACCGTCGCCTCGGGCACCGGCCAGTTCCCCTGTTCTCGATTGTCATGTTGGGTGCCGTCTACGGTCTTCAGGCGTTGATCTTCATCCTCAAGCGACAGTGGCAGCACATTGGCTGGATGATCATTTACATCCTCGCGTTCCCCATCTACTCATTCGTCCTCCCCATCTACTCGTTCTGGAACCAGGACAACTTCTCGTGGGGTAACACGCGTATTGTCGTGGGTGAGAAGGGTGACAAGAAGATCGTCGCTGTCGATGACGTTGGCTTTGATCCCCGCAGCATCCCTCTTCAGCGCTGGGACGACTACGCTTTTGCCAACAACCTCCCCGGCCGCCGTGGTGGTCCCGCCGAGCGCGAGTACCTCGGCGATGAGCAGTACGAGATGGACGAGGTTAGGAGCGTCTACTCCTCGGCTCCTCAGGGTTCCCTCCACGCCGGCATGGCCGGCCGCCCTGCCTTCATGCCCCCGTCGCCCACCAATCTCGGCGCCGCGCAGCGCCAGTCCAGCTTCCCCTACGGCGACAGCGCGCTGAACCGTCAGTCCATGGCTTCTTTCGGAGGTGATATCTCGCGCCGCCCCTCGCCTTACCAAGATGGTCGCGCTAGCGCCGCCAACTTCCGTAGCGGCAGCAACCTCTCGCCGGCCATGGGCGTTGGTGTGAACCGCTCGTCGGCCGTCCTTGGTTACTCGGGCGGTACTCGCACTCCCTTGTCCGGAACCGACGCCATGCGCTCCACCACGTCATTCGACTTCCAGCGCGGCCATGTTGGCCCCGATGACGCCGTGGTCATTGAAGCCATTCAGAGCGTTCTCCGAGAGGTCGACCTCGACACCGTCACCAAGAAACAGGTCCGCGCTCTCGTAGAGCAAAGGCTTCAGACGGAGCTATCGGGCGAGAGGAGAACGTTTATGGATAGGCAGATTGACCAGGAGCTGGCCAACATGTAAGAAGACAAAGAGAGGAAAAAGAAGACAATAATTGTATGCAAGAGGGGGCTTCCGGTCTAGACTGGAAAGAAGATGTACGGAGGGAAGAAGAGAAAAAGTTGCGCGCATACCTTTTCTTACTATCTACATTTTGATGATTTACTATTTTCTTTTATTCTTGTCCGTCTTTTCATTCTTATTTCATTAGATTTTGGGGGCTTCTACAGGGCTATCTCGCTGCTTATGCTTGGGCATGTTAAACACAGCTGTCTTTCCGTTTAACTTTTCATAATTCTCAATCTCGTTTCAGACGCAAACAGACACTCATACTTCCACACACACATACACTCGTCATCTCCTTGTCCTGTCGGCCTTTGTTTCTTTCCCTTGTCTTCTGGCTTTTTTATTTTTTGGTCATGGGAAAAGGAGTTCGTCTGTGAGGGACGACTCTCGCTCTCCAGCATTTAGTTTCCCGAGTCATGGCGTCCCGAAGCTTGGCTTGCTGCTCTCTTGTCTTGCTTTACCGTCCGACTCGAATGCTTGTTGGTTTTTGGTCTCGTGCCACTGTTTTTGTCAGTTTTCTTTTTGTTTTTGCTTCGTTCGCACTTTAGGTTCCAGAGGCTATACATAACATATCCTAATCTTGACAACATTATGGTTGTAACCATGAAATTCAATGTTCCGTGTCAAACCAATAGATGATCTGTAGTCGTTGCGTCCTATGATAGGTGTTGCCAAGGACTAATGAGGCGTAGCTCTCTCTACATGCGGTTTCGTTTTTAATAAAAATCGTCTTTTTGCAAGAGGTTGTGCAAGTTTATTTTGTATGTATCTACTCAAAAACGATGATGCTACACTATTTCCGCCTTTACAAAAGGAATGGAACGAAAGACATGATAATCAAAGGAGGCGGAAGCAAGAGACAGTCCCAAAAAGGGTATGTCAGTTGCGTATAGAATTGCTTCCTCGCTCGCTTCTCCCTCCACCCTTGGATCCTTGTTTTTTTCTTCCTCCTTGTTTGAACTTGCCAAGATTCTCCCGTCTCCCCTCTCCTCTCTCTTCCCCGTCTCGTATGCCAACGGACTATGCTTGAAAATGAAAATAATGATTGAAAAACGCCTTTCGCCGGGACCCCTCCGTCTCCGATCTTTGCCGCCCCTAACCTCATCCTACCAACTAGGGGGTTCGAAAAGCCCCAGAGATTAAAAGAAAGAACACAGAGACGATATATAAAAAAGGGTGAAGACCAGCAAAAATATAGAGATAAGAAGAGAGAATGAGAGAGACTGAGAGAAACGGTGGACAAGCTAGAACTTTCTTCTTCTAGATCATGAGGCAATCTTGCCGACACCCTTGAGCCGGAGGTAAACGTCGGTACCCCAGCCGTAGAGAGACTGCAGAGCAATTCCACCACCAAAGTACTCGGCGTACGCGCGACTGAGGGGCAGGCCGTAGCCGAGACCGGCGAGAGAGCTAGCACCGGGGCCGGCGGAGGAGAGAGCGGCGAGACCATCGCTGTTGCCAGAGGAGCCGGGGAGTTCGTCGTCGGCGGAAAAGGTGGTGAAGGAGTAGGACCAGATCTTATCGAGGAGGGAGGGGATATGCCGCCGCCGCGATCGCGGATGCGGATGGTGACTCCCGAGGCGTTTTCGTCGAGGGGAGGATGTCGTGGGGGAGGAAGAGGCCGGGGAGGCGCCAGCGCCGGCGGGGGTGGTGGCCGAGGTAGGGAGGAGGTCGGCCTCGGGAGGGTCGTCGTGCTCCCCGAGGCTGTACTCGGGGGTGGGGGAGGCGGGGTCCTACGGCGCGGGGCGGAGAGGCTGGCGGGTTCGGGGGCGACGGTGATGACGATGGGCTCGGAGGCCATGCGATTCTCGAGGGTGGCGCGGAAGGCGTTCTTGAGGAGCTCTGTGACGATGTACTCGAGGTGCATGGGGACAAAGGCAAAGGTGGTGTCGGGCTCGCCGTTGATGACGACCTTGGGGCGGATGCCGTAGCGCAGCTCGCAAATGTCGGCGACCCAGTCGGCGCACAGCTCGACGGTGGTGGCGGGGCGGAGGGCGGTGTCGATGGCGCCGACGTAGCTGGGGCGCTCAATGTACTGGGGCCCGCCGTGGCCCTTGCCACCGTGGGCCTGGCTGCTGTAGTGGAGGGCGATGTGCTGCTCGGCGATGAGGCGGGTGCCGATGCGGACGCGGAGGTGCTCGTCGAGGAAGCGGGTGACGTCCTGGGGGTATGTAGCGGCGGCACTCGAGAAAGCCGCGGGCGAGGATGGGGATGGTGTCCTGGTGGGTGGCGACGAGCTCGGCGAGGGCCGACGTGAAGGCGACCTCGTCCTCGAGGGTCTGGATGGCCGGGGTGTGGGCGGAGTGGTTCGCGTACCAGGGGAGAAGGGTGGAGAGGGAGTGGACGTAGTTGTTGTAGATTTTGTTGATGTTGGGGTTGGAGACGACGATGTAGGGGAGGTTGCGGAGGGCTTGGATGCGGGAGGCGAGGCGGACGGGGATGAGGGAGAGGGTGAAGTTGGCGGAGGAGAGGAGGGCGGATTCGGAGAGCGGAGGGCGGCCGTGGCTACGAGAGAGAGAGAGAGAGAGAGAGAGTTAGCATACAAAAGGGTGGTTTAAGGGCAAAGGGTGAAGGGCGAGGAGACTTGGGAGAATGGCGGCATGGCGGCATGAGGGGGAGGACGCCATGGGGAGTTGGTACGACATACGAGATAAGGTCGGCAAGGCTTAGAGGGTGCAGCTCGTGCCGCGCCAGGGCGGCAATCTCATGGTCGGTGACGGGCCGCGGCGTGGGCGGGGACCGCGTCCCGAAGATGAAGCCGCTCCGTGGGGTGGACGATATCCGCCGCCGCGCGATCGGGGCCGATAATCTGGAAGAGGAGGAGCAGAGGGGCGGCTGCGGCAACGCAGGGACCGTATCGGAGTAGGCATGGCTTTCATGGTGGCATTGCGAACCCCAAGGGACGGAAGGCGGGGCAGGGGGAAGGGAGGAGGGAGGAGGAGAGGAAGGAAATCAAAGGGCGAGCTAGACGGTTTTTTTCTTTCTTTTTTCCTTTCCCCTCTTGTTCAGCTTAGAGGGAGAAAGGGTACCGGGGGAGGGCGGAGGGAAAGGTAGGGGAAAACGGTGGTGATGATTCAGCGGGCGAGCAACACCGATGACCGACGGTTAACGGGTCGGGCCAAAGCTGGGAGAGACTGGGGTTTTGTTATGCCGAAAATGGGTGCAGGAAATTCGGGGTGTCACATTGGCACATTGGCGCATTGGGGGTCGGAGGGTCGGGGCCCCAGGCGTGTGGTTCGGTTTTCGGTTAGTTGGTTCCAGTGAGGGACGTGCTGTTTGCAATTGCTTGCGCGGTGGAGACCAGACGTGCTCGCTCAGCCAACACTGCACGGCGCTCACACTCTCGGGACCACACTAGATACAAGTAATACAGGCGCACCGGTAATAACGGAGAGAAGGGAGCGAGAGAGAGAGAGAGCGAGAGGGGCCCTTTGGAACATTGAAGCGTCAATGGGAAGGAAGAGAGAGTGGGAGCCAGCTGCCCCTCAACGTGGGGCAATACTGGGGTCGGCAAGTCACGGTTGGTCGGCTTGAGGGCACGCAGCGCTATTGGCAAGTCCGGCACTCGTTGGAACGCACCCCTGGTCTAGAGATTTCCAACCTGGACCGATTACAAAGCCCGGAAGGTGGACGGAAAAGCGGACTCGACGAGGAAAAAGACAAACAAATGGAGGGAAAAAAAAGAAAAAAAGAGGGACTCAGGGCTAAGAGAATGACTGCTAGCATTAATAATGGAAGATGGCTTTCAATTTCTGTTTTTGATTTGGGGTTGTTTCCCCCTTTGCTTCTAAAGAGGGAGCACAAGCACCAGCAGGTTTTCAGTATGTGGGACGGATATTATGTTCCAAACCAATCTCGGGGCTCTTCGGGGTATTGAAGAGTCGAATTGCCGTCCTTTGTTCCCATTGACCAAAAGTGCAGTGCAGTCAGCACGCAGTCAGTGGATGCAGTGTGTGCGCTGGCGGCTGTTCCTTGTGCCCATTTACCGTGTGGCCAGACCCAGTACAAGCAGCTCGCCATCGCTTCAACATCAATTGGTCTCTTGATCAGTCATCTGCGACATCGAGTACCTGTGGAACATGGCGCGATTCGATGTACTTTTTCGGAGTGTATCGTTTTACACCAGCGATTATCTCCCCGGCACCAATCCTACAATTTCTCAAGTCGTGCGTGACCCTGGGCCATCTAAGCTTTCGAATAAAAGAGGGAAAAAGGCAAGGGACAACAAACCCAATGAAAATACTTGACGAAACCCCAAACAATTATGATAGAGGAATAAAAAGAAGTCTTCAAAACTATGCAGATCAGTTTTCTGCGAGAATTGAAGCCTCGAACAAAAAACGAGCTTCCCTACCAAGGGTCGAACTTGAATCTTCCGATGTATGCTACTAGGAGTAACAGTCGGACGCCTTAACCATTTGGCCATAGAGAATATTTGGAAACTTGCTTGACGAGTTGCGCCTCTGTTTCGTCTTATGGACGGAAATCCCCCTTCTCCCCGCTCTCTCTCCTCCACACCTCCACGCACCGTGTCCAGAGTGGATCGATCTGGAATCCTGCTCTTGAATTTCCTGTTTCAGTTGCATCAGGTCGAGAGGCGCGCCAACGCATGGTCCGAGCTGACTGCCGCTGGCTAAAATGCATTGGGTTTTGATCCATGCATTTAGTTGCCGTCCGTGTTCAAGTGTGCGGTGTTGAGCAGACGGAGATATCATTGCTTGCTCGAACGAAAGCATCAGATGGATTTGGCTTTGTTGACGCTACATATGTACAAGTGGAAATGCTAAGGCAACGGGGTAGAAGACCGGTAAGATATGCCATGAGCGATAGAGAATACCAATTTAGAAAGATAGAGGAGGAAAAATATCAATTATATTATTCTTGCTTGGCATAAAAGATGCGAGCGTTTAATGCGAAAGCAGGTTATCCGCTTTCATCGGAGGCTGAAGGAGATGGATAGCGCTCTTTCCCCTTCAGCACGTCCGTTGTTTCCGGGTCCCGAACGAGGTGAAGTACGTCTTCGGTAGTCTACATCTCATATCTACTGCGTCCTCACCTCCTGGTCCTCCTCAACATGTTCGACGTGCTCGTGCTTCTCGAGAGTGCTGACGGAGCCCTCGGGGAATGAAACGCTGTTCGTCATGTCAGTGGTTAGCAGGCTTGTTCGCTAACTGGTGTCGGGGGTGGGGAAGGATGGAGGTCTTACGAGAAGCCCTTGATCAAGGCGTATTCGTGGCCAATCTTTCCGCCCTTGGAAACGGCGTCATCCTTGGCCCTGCGCAGATATTAGTACCTATTGCCATCGGGCGGTAACGTAATAGTAGAAAAAGAAAAGAAAAAGAAAACTCACGCCTGGACCTGGTCGGGGGTGGCATCCGACTTGCAAGTGACCTATATCGGTGCAATAGATCTGGTTAGTTAAACGTTGAAAGGTTTCGGGTGACGTCGCGTCGCTAAAGAACGGCATCCTTGGCCGTAGGCAGCCCGCGAGAATATTTGGAGTTGTAAACACTCACAATGTAGGTAGGCATGTTGAAAGGTTTGAGAGTCTGAAACTGTCGACGAGAGAGGTGGGTATTAGATGGTGCAAGGGGTAATGGCGAGAATGCTAATAGTAATGGTGGTGGTGATGATGGTGATGGTGATGACGATGACGAGAGGGAGCTGCGGGGATGGTAGGACGTCTGATGCTCTTTATACATGTCGCTCGAACGGCCGGGCCAGAAGCGGCCATTTTCTCCCCTTTCCCTCCCACCTTGCGGATGTGGGTAATCGCGGGAAATCGAGGGGAAACGGGGGTTGGAGGGAGGGTGGGAAGATTTGATAATACGGCGTCCGGCGCCTGCCTACCCTCCCAAGTAAAAGTATCTCTTCGCTTGGGCGAGGTTCCTTTGCTCCCTCCTTCCTTGCGCCGAGCTCTGAAAACGTTACGTCGTAACTACGGGGGCGATGAGGGCGACGTCAGCTACAAAGTCGCGCTCGTCTTTTGCTCCGTAAAACGACTTCAAGTTGGTAAAGCGGCTTAGTGTGGTGTGTGTGAGTTGTGTGAGTGCGTGAGTGCGTGTGTGCGTGTGCTTGCCGTCGAGGTCGGCCCAAGTACGTCATCTCCCGTGCTCTCTCCTGGTCGCGCGATTTGCCCCAATTTTAGTGCGCCTGCTTGCCTTGCAAGACACGAGCGGGTAATAATGGAATCTAGGCAAGTTCCAGGATTTTACACTTTGAATCCCTCAACTATCGTTGCCATAGCGTGGAAATCAGGAACCTCTCGGCTTGCCTTGCTTGTCTCTTCAAGGGAGGGAGGGAGGCGTGGACACCTTCCTTTTTCTTCCTCTTTCTTCTCCTGCGCTGACGAGAAAATAGGGGAGAAGAACAGAAAAGAAAAAAAGGCCGCGAATGGGTTTCCCTTCATGCGACTCTACGCTGCGAGCTCTCAGCTCATGCAGGGAAAATCAAACCTTCAAAAGTCCCTTGAGAGGTTGACGTTGAGCGTAATATCAGGCAGCCATTTTTGTCGCCCTCGAGGTTCTTTCGCACACTGCGGGGCAGATACGCTTGTGAGACCAAGTGTCTATCATTGAATCTATCAAAATGAGGGACTGTATGAGCAGTCTCTATCGTAAAAACCTGCACAGATCAATCCACCTCTTGTTCCTTTAAGGCGGGTGGTGCTTGAAAGCAGGTGAAACTTGTTCGATAACTTGGAGGTGGGAGGAGGGGTCGTTCTTTGGCTTGGTGGGGTCATCAACGATAATCGAGCGGCGTTGGCGTGGGCGCCACAATTGCTTATCGATAAGCCGATAAGATAAGCCCAGTATGAAATTTTTGGGCAGGGGCCTTCCCGAAGAGCTTGAACGCAGCCTTTTCGTTGGATATTTTCGAGGGTCGGTTTTTTTTTTTTTTTGGACGATACAGATTCTGTGCTTGTGGTTGATTGCTCTTGACGACCAACCCGCGCAGCCATGGAGTCCCAAGTACACAAGCCTCATCGGAAGGCCAAGGAGAAGAAGCAGCATACTGGAGGTATGTCTAGTTTCCCATTTATCTGCCTCTTTTCACCCTTTACCCAAAGGCTGACTGACCTCGCATCATAGACAAAAATCCAAAGGCTTTTGCTTTTGCGAACCCTGGCAAGCTTCAACGGGCCGCTGCCCGCTCCCACGATGTACGTTGATTGGCATTGCGCCCCTTCCCTCTTTTTCCCTCGCTGCGCTTTCACCGGCGGCATACTGACTCGGATTTGCTACAGATCAAAGAAAAGCGCCTGCACGTTCCCCAGATCGATCGCCTGCCCGATGAGCCCCCGCCGAGACTTGTTGCCGTTGTTGGCCCCCTGGCGTCGGAAAGACCACCCTGCTCAAATCTCTCGTCCGCCGATATGCCAAAGAGACGCTCTCTGAGCCTCAGGGCCCAATTACCGTTGTGACGTCCAAGAAGCAGAGGCTTACCTTTTGGAGTGCCCAAACGAGCTGGAAGCCATGGTCGACGTGGCCAAGATCGCCGACATCGTTCTCCTCATGATTGACGGCAACTACGGCTTCGAGATGGAGACGATGGAATTCCTCAACGTCCTTGCCGCCACCGGTATGCCGGGCAACGTATTCGGCATCCTGACCCATCTGGATCTCTTCCGCAAACCCCAGGCTCTCAAGGACGCCAAGAAGAGGTTAAAGCGGAGGCTATGGACGGAATTGTACCAGGGCGCCCACCTCTTCTATCTTTCCGGTGTGATGAATGGCAGATATCCCGATCGCGAGATTCACAACTTGTCGCGTTTCCTTTCCGTCATGAAGAACCCCCGCCCCCTCATCTGGCGAAACACCCACCCGTACTCCGTCATTGATAGCTTCCGCGACATCACCCACCCTACCAAGGTTGAGGAAGACCCCATGTGCGACCGCTCCATCGTCGTTTCTGGATATCTCCGCGGAACCAATTTTGCCTCGAGCGGCCAGCGCATACACGTCCCTGGTCTTGGCGACTTCACCGTCGCCGCGATCGAGGGCTTGCCCGATCCGTGCCCTACCCCCGCCATGGAACAGGCAGCCGCCAAGATTACGGGCAAGAAGGGCCGTAGGCGTCTCGACGAAAAGGATAAGAAGCTGCACGCTCCCATGTCTGACAGGAGCGGTCTCAAGGTCGATGGCGATGCGGTGTGGATCACGAGGGAAAAGGGCTTTACCTTTTCCAAGGAAGATGACGAAGAGGACCGCGAATTGGGCGAGGGCGAGGAGCTCATCATGGGCTTGCACGAGGAGCGGAGGCTGCTCGGCCACACCGAAGAGGGCGTGAGACTCTTTAGCGGGGGCGAAAAGATCAACAAGGATACGTTGGAGGTGGATGACGAAAGGCAATCCGGCCGAAGGACCCACCGTCAGCCCAGGCTTGCGGCGCGGAATGACGACGACGACGACTCTGACCTGGATGCCGTCCCCGACGATGAAGGCTTCGTCAGCGGCGAAGAGGGCGGTGACTCGGACGTCGAGGAGGAGTTTCACGAAGGCAGACTCGGCAAGCTGTTCAAGGGCGGCCGCGACGACAAGAATGGCCAAGACGATGTTGCCTTTGCCGACAGCGACTCTGACCTTGGCTCTCTTTCGTCTATGGATGAGGCCGATGGCGATGACGATGACGATGACGACGACGACGACGAGGATGACTCGGACGAAGAGGCGGCGGCTGCGCGGTGGAAAGACAACATGTCTGCTGTAGCCAAGAAAATGCACGGCAAACGTAAACCCTTCCGCACTGCCGACTTTGCCAGGTACCTGTACGACGACTCCATGACCCCACGAGACATGCTCCGCAAGTGGCGCGGCGAGGATGACGAAGATGAGGATAAAGAGGAGAACATTGAAGACGACGAAGACGAGTTTTTCAAAAGGCGAAACATGAGGAAGGCGAGATTGTCGAGGACCGCCAGATTCCCATTTTCGATTATGACGAACTGGCTACCCGGTGGTCTCAGGAAGACATCATTGACTCGATCCGCGAAAGGTTCGCCACCGCGACTTCGCGCCGAGGACGAGGAGGGGTGGCGGCGATGACGATGATGATGACGAGGATGGTGATGGTGAGGGTTTCGACGGCTTCGGCGAGGACGACGATGAGGATGGCGATGAAGACGGTGACGAGGATGGCGACGAGGAGAGCGACGATGAGGGCGGATTCGAGGATCTCGAAACCGGCGAGGTCCATGGAAAGATGGATCGGGATGAGCTGGTGGAGGATCTCGAGGCCGAGCGTGAAAAGAATGCCCGCAAGAAGGAAGAGCTCAAGATGCGCTTCGAGGAAGAAGACCGCGAGGGTTTCTTGAACGACAAGGCCAACGCCCGAAGGAAGCGGGCACGACGGCGGACGAGTTTGGCGAGGACGACTGGTACGACGCGCAAAAGGCCATGATCCAGAAGCAGCTCGACATCAACAAGGCCGAGTTTGAGCAGCTGGACGAGAGGCAGCGGGTGGCCGTGGAGGGCTACAAGGCGGGCAAGTACGCGAAAATCATCTTGGAGGGCGTGCCGGCCGAGTTTGTGCAAAAGTTTGACGCTAAGACGCCCATCATCCTGGGCGGCCTCACGCCCACGGAGGAGCGCTTCGGCTTCGTGCAGGTGCGCATCAAGAGGCACAGGTGGCACAAGAAGATCCTCAAGACCAACGACCCGCTCATCTTCTCGCTGGGCTGGAGGCGGTTCCAAACACTGCCCGTGTACAGCATCTCGGACTCGCGCACGAGGAACCGCATGCTCAAGTACACGCCCGAGCACATGCACTGCTTCGGCACCTTTACGGGCCCCTCATCGCGCCCAACACGGGCTTCGTGTGCTTCAACTCCTCTCGGCCGCCGCGACGGGCTTCCGCGTGGCGGCGTCGGGCACCGTCCTCAGCGTGGACGAGTCGACCGAGATCGTCAAGAAGCTCAAACTCACGGGCGCGCCGTACAAGATTTACAAGAACACGGCCTTTATCAAAAACATGTTCAACTCGTCGCTCGAGATCGCCAAGTTCGAGGGCGCCGCCATCAAGACGGTGTCGGGCATCCGCGGCCAGATCAAGCGCGCGCTGTCCAAGCCCGAGGGCTGCTTCCGCGCCACCTTTGAGGACAAGATCTTGATGAGCGACATTGTGTTTTTGCGCGCCTGGTACCCCGTCAAGCCCCATCGCTTCTACAACCCGGCCACCAACCTGGTGGGCTGGCAGCCCATGCGCCTGACGGGCGAGGTGCGCCGCGCCGAGAACCTGCCCACGCCCAAGGACCGCAACAGCCAGTACCGCAAGATTGACCGCGTGGACCGCCACTTCAACCCCGTGCGCGTGCCCAAGGCCCTCGCCGCCAACTTACCCTTCCGCTCGCAGATTGTCGAGGCCAAGAAGCAGAAAAAGGCCACGTACATGCAGAAGCGCGCCGTCGTGCTCGGTGGCGAGGAGAAAAAGGCCCGCGCGCTCGTGCACATGCTCGCCACTATCCAGCGCGATAAAGAGGAGAAGCGCGCGGCGAAGAAGGAAGAGGGCCGCAAGGCGTTTCGCAAAAAGATGGCCGAGGTGGAGGAGATGCGGGAGGGCCGCGAGAAGAAGGATAAGCAGGAGTTTTGGCGGAAGCAAGGGAAGAGGAGGGCTGGGTGGGATCAGGGCGGTGGGGGTAAGAAGCAAAAGGCGTGAGATGTTTGTTGTTTTTTTACAAAGGGGGTTTCTCATGGCTTTGTATCCTAGATTTGGCATATGTTCATGTCTTTTTCGTTTCGTTTTACTCTTTTTTTTTTTTTTCCGTCTTTTAGGAGTTATCCATTTACACGTTTTCTTTTTCAATTGTTTCCTTGGACGTTCCTCTACAAGCAATCTCTACCATCAAACTGACCTCGATAACTGATAAGCATAAACTACACCTCCTCGCTCAAGTTTACCCTCACCCTTCAATCTGCCCTAGATCCCCAAGACCTAATTTTGAAAAGAGCTAAAACAAAATTTCGTGCCAATTTCACCTTTGCCTACCCAAAAACGGATTCCCTCTCCTCTTTTAGCGCTGAGCGGCTCCGCACTCTTCGCCGAGGGGCAGGATGTTGGGGAGGGGCCCGACAGGGGTAATGCTCTTGGGGTTGATTTGGGTGTGGCTCTTTGTGTAGTGCCACTTGATGTGGTCGAACTGGGTCGTGTCCCCAAAGGCCGGGTGGTTCCAGTAGAGGTTGCGAAGCCACTTGTGGATGGCGGGGTAGCCGGAGCGGATGTCGCGAATGTTGCACTTGAAGTGCTGGACGTAGACGGGCTAGACAAAGGGAAAGTCGGGTGTTAGTGTGTGTTAGTCTTTCAAAGGAGTAGGACAAAAGAAAAAAGGAAAAAAGGAAAAAGGGGAAAAGGGGAAAAGGGGCAACCTACGTCGAAGCGGACAATGGTCACGTAGAGACGGATATCAGCCTCGGTAATGTCCTTGCCAAAGTAGTACGGACCCTCGCTCGCCGTGTCCTGGAGATGCTTTTCGGTGCGGTCGAGGGCCTCGAAGAGCTTGACGACGTTGTTCTCGTAGGCCTGCTGGGTGGTGGCGAAGCCGGCCTTGTAGACGCCGTTATTGATGAGGTCGTAGGTCCACTCGTTGACGTCGTCAATCTTGGACTGCAAGGGCTCGGGGAAGAGCTGGAGGGCGCGGTACTTTTCGTCGACGAGGTCGTCAAAGGCGGTGTAGAGCATGCGGATGATTTCGCTGCTCTCGTTGCTGACAATGGTGTTTTGCTTCTTGTCGTAGAGCACGGGGACGGTGAAGCGGCCCGTGTACTCCTTTCGGCCTCGAAGTAGACGTCGCGGAGGTGGGTGAAGGCCTCGTGGCCGGGGATGGGGTCCGGGACTACGTTTTCGCCTGGGATGTCGCTCTCGCCTTCCTTGACGAAACGCCAGCCTAAAAGAGCAAGACAGCCGGGTTAGAGATCCATGGTCTTTTTTTTTTTTTGGGTTTGGGTTTGGGTTTGGCAGCAAGCGCTGGGGATAGGGCGCCATGCGTGGTGCGTTGAGGAAGGAAAAAAAGAACCTACCATCGCCGCCGAGGTGCCAGTGCACTACGGAGAAGGAGATGATATCTTCGAGGCCCTTGAGCTTCCGAGTGATCAGGGTACGATGCGCCTGCCCATTGCCACGGTTAGTTCATCTCGCGGCTCGACTTAAAGACGGGGGAATGTGGACAGAGAGGTAAGGAGGTGTCTTTGGCGGAACTCACCCAAGGGCACGCATAGGACACAAAGAGGTGGTACCTGCCCTTCTCGGGCGGGAACTTGGAGCCGGGCTCCTTGGTGATGAAGCTTCGAAACGAGCTGACCTGGCGCTTGAACTCGCCCGACTTGTCGTCGGTCTTTACCCAATCTGTGATGCCCTATATGGTTCTGTGTTAGCCCGGGGAAGGGACCAAGTAGTAGCTGGTTGGGATGTGGCGGGGTTGTAGGCTAGAGGTGATAGCGGGGCAATAGCCGGGATGGAGGAGCTCCTGGAGCTCCGGGGATCACAGCTACAAGGGGGTGCTTCTCAATCTCTTGGACTTACCATTGTCGCGAAGCTGTGACTTGAAGCTGGGAGTGCTGGATTTAGGGGGTTGGTTGATCTAGGAGATACGAGAGAGGGCGGGGATAGTGGCGATGTTGGTGATGTTGATGTTGTGAGGGGAAAGAAGGGAGAGCTGTGGTTGACTGAGCGAGTATGTGCCGCTGCTAGTGGTACAAATGAAGCGGGGGCAATCGGATGACGGAAGCTCCGTAGGGCAGGATTACGATCAAGGTGTAAGCGGCAATGGGTATTTCCACGGGAGAGGATGGTCTTGTAAGCTCGCATATTCAAGTGGAAGGACCCGTGTGGGCTTGACGAGGATTCCTCGAGATCTATATAATGCCTCTCTCTCCAGAATTATCGCTCACGTCTGTGAGAAGGGAAAAAGGGAGGTCCGACTCCTTTCAATCCAAGATCCTTCTAACGATTATCCAAGCACATGGGCCGTGTCGGGGAAAAAGAAAAAAATAATAATTATGGGGATCTTTGTAAGGTGTCGTGGAGCTTCCCTTTCAAAAACTGGACGACGAAATAAACACGAAGATTGGTCATGATGAGGGAAAGGTCTGGAGGAGGTGGAGCTGCTTCCAGGCTTGGCAAAGCGCTGACAGATGGTCCCGGAACAACGACTGGGGGCGGAATTTCTAAGGTTCATGTAAGGATTTCCGAGCAAGCGATGCAATCGGAAGAAGCTAGCTCTGAGTAATCGGGCTCAATGGATCAAATTGATGGGGTTCGTCAGCGAATGCTCCAGATAGTCCTGGCAGCAGATTTATTGCTGGTGCAAAAGGCGATGCATTCATTGGATTCTTTAGGGTATCGAGATGGACAAGATGAAATAGCCTTATCGATCAATGCTTTCAGATCCCTTCCCTTTTGTTTGCCGTGGTTGAACTCTCCCAAGAAGCTTTGACAAGCATATTGTGAGTAGCGATTGTGAGGAGCTATTGTGACGTGTGAAGAGCTCATGCTACAATGAGCTGGTGGGACGGAGAGGCTGGCAAGCTGGGCATTTGGAGCAGTGGCCAAGCCAGGAGCCCCCAGGAGCCCCCAACTTGAAGAGCCGGGACCACTCAAGCACCAATTGGGCCAAGACCTCAACCCGCTCCTCCGCCCCCGCCAATTGCATCATTGCGCAGTCGCAGTCCACATGCCTCGACAATCGTACCTGCTCAATGGACGGATAGAGCATAGTGGCGCCTCGGCCCTTCTGGCTCGTGCGCGCTTTCCAGAACTGATGCCTACGATTGGGGTCACTTCTCGTGTGCCGATCCCACGCACGTCCACGACTCGGAGCTGCTGTCACTCAATCACTGTCATGGGTGGCAAGCAAGAGTTCGGGCGGAAAGCACGATCAGAGTGTCTTAGTGTGGGAAGTCGAATTAGACATCAAGGTCATTGGTGGCGACCCGGCGAATATAAACTGGGTTGCACGAGGGCCAACTTGCAGGTACCTGGCAGCGCTGCTCCGAAGCTTAAGGGTACATTGATCCATCGGGCCATTTTCTCTAGCATCCTCTGGCATCACTCGACCATCCATGGATCCATCCAAATCGACTCGACATGAACGAGGATCCATTTCATTCCGTTTGTTCCGTGGATCCATTAAAGTCGACGTCGCTTGGTATTGCCTTGGTTGCGTTGCCAGAATGTCAATGCTCCGAATCCTAATACGAGCACTAATCACTCGCCCGACTCCATATCGCTACGACATGTACGAATAGGGCACGCACGAAACGCGTGGCGATCAGAAGCAAATCTTAGCAGTTGCTACCCACTCCCACTACGGCTCCTACTACGGCTGGGGGAACATCGATAGTTGGCCCCAGTTGGCCCCAACAAGCTCACCCCACAGCCACAGCCCCGGTCCCGCCGCGTTGCGTTGCCCAATTCATCCCAAATCATCCTGGGTGCCTGCAATTTTCCGCAACCTTCCAAGGGAGCCGACGTCAAAGAACATTGAAGAGACCCGGGCCCCTCAACCAGCCCACTCTTTTACCCCCTTCCTCACGCGGGAACCCAGCACCAGCAAATAGCGGATGAGCGAGGGAAAAGGAGAGGAAACTTTAATAGCCATGCGCTTCAGATGGTCGCAAGACTTGATCCTCATCAACTTTTCTCCGCGAAACCACTTCCTCGGCTGACTCTGCATGTTCCACCTCTGAGGCGAAACACCAGTTGCCAAAGTAATCAGCCACGCGAGCTCGCTTTCTTGTCTTGTCTTTGTTCCCATAGGACGGGCCTCCTGACTTGCCTGTCTTGTCACCCATTATATCATCCACGCCGGCATACCAAAAAAAAAAATCACTTCGGGCACCGAGGGCCGCCATTTCCGGGCTAGAGCTCACCAACGACTACAACCACCAACTGACCGAACTTCTCCTCTTCCTCTTCTCCTGGCGCCCTACTCACTCGAACCTCCCCTCCTGAAACCTGCCTTTTGAACTATTTGAATGACATATTTCGTGGACAATCAGTTCTTTTCTCGGGGAAAAATTATTCCTGCACCTCCCCACCTTGTCTTTCGCTGCGCCGCCGAGCCAGCGGTGGCGATCACCGGTAAATCGCACAAGGGGGTCGAGCTAGGGCCTGCCCGCATTCTTGTCAACATCTCCTCCTCCCCGAGCTCCGCGCCCGCCAAGCTCTCGTAGCTATGCTGCTCGTCCACCAGGCCGGCAGCGTCAAAATCGGCGAGGTCGTTCGCTATACAGTAACCTATATTCCCTCACAGGACCGCATCCTCCCGTCTCCCGAGAAGCTCCACCTGCGCATCCGCAACACTTCGGCCCTCGTGCTCCGCGGCGCATTCGTCCACGGACCCTACAACCTCTGCGTCTCTGCGTACCCGTCCAACTTTAACCCCAACGAGAAGTTTCGGGAAGCTCGGCGATATGGCGTACCCGAATTCGAACCCATGATCAAGGCTGCGAGCTCTTGGGATTGTGAGCTGACCGTCCCCGAACACATAAGGCAGGAAGCTGGGGTGGGTAGTAGCTCGCACTTTGGCAAGGGGCCTGGGCACGAGAGCGAGTCGGTCTCATGGGTGATTGAAGTTGCCTCGCAAGTCATCTTCTCCTCTTCCGCCGCCGTGGGCTTCGAGGTTATAGTCGCACGGGATAAGAAGTCGCTCGACATGTCGTCGAGCACCATGTCTCCGCGCAATGCCCAACCCGGCAGGGTCAGCGACCACCAGCCCTTGCCCGAGGAGGCCTGCACGTGCTCGCATCACCATCACCTTCTCAACCACCACCACCACAGCCAAGCCAAGGGCCTTTTTCCAGGGCCATTCGCCTAAAGGTCGAGGATACAGGAGTTCTATGGAACAAGCCACCCTTGCCCCAGTGGCCAGTGTGCCAGCACCGACACATTCCTTCCGAAACACCCCCGCTCCCATCGCCGGTGCCCCCGAGAAGCAAAAGAATGTGCACCTTGTTGTCCTCACTCACGGGCTGCACAGCAACCTAGGCTCCGATATGCTTTTTTGAAGGAAAGCATCGACGCCGCGGTGAAAAAGGCCAAGGCGGATGCCAAAGCGAGACGCACGCGACAGCGCGCCGCGGAGAGGCAGAATGGCGAGCGGGTACCGCGCAACGACTCGCCTGATTCGAACTTGGACGCCGAGTCCGCCCAGACCCAGGGCTCCGAGGCGGGAAACTTGAGCGAAGATCGAGACGCCAATGTATCCCGGGGAATCGGGAGAAAAACGCAGGACGGTCCTACGAGGATGTAAGAGAGACGGAGGAGGACCCGGTGGATGAGGATGAGCAGGTGATTGTCCGCGGGTTCTCCGGAAACGCCACGAGGACGGAGCGGGGCATCAAGTATCTCGGCAAGCGCCTCGCGAGGTATATTCTTTCCATGACGTATCCAGACCAACCCTATCTCCCTCCCTCCTCCAAGGCTGCTTGGCATTCCCTCTGGTCCGAGACCACGGGGAACCCAAGGCGCAGGTGAAGCAGAAGCTCCATGAGCTCAGCCCCGAGGCCCGCCGCCGCCCCTTCAAGGTTACCAGCATCAGCTTTATCGGCCACTCGCTCGGCGGGTTGATCCAGACGTACGCGATAGCGTACTGCCAAAAACACTCGCCCGAGATCTTTGACCTGATCCGACCCGTCAACTTCATCACCCTTGCCACGCCGTTTCTCGGCTTGGGAAACGAGAACCCCTGTACGTTCGATTCGCTCTCGATTCCGGCCTTGTCGGCCGGACGGGCCAAGATCTTGGGCTCGCTTGGCGGGCGCCCATCCTCGCGCGCAACGGATTTGACGCCATCATGAGCAACCTGGGGGAGATGGCGCACAAGAAGCTCAAAGGAGAGCGCAACCCGGAGTCGAAGCCGTTGCTCCGCATCTTGCCGACGGGGCCTGCGCATACGGCGCTCAAAAGTTTAGGAACCGAACGGTGTATTCCAACGTTGTCAACGACGGTATCGTCCCACTTCGCACAAGCTGCCTCCTCTTCCTCGACTGGCAGGGCCTGGGTCGCGTCGATAAGGCGCGGAGAGATGCCGGGCTCGTGGGCACGGCCATCGGATTCGGCTGGGCTGAGCTCACTGGGGGCAGCATCACCACCGCACGGCGGCCCGAGTTGCCGCCCGACGATGAGGAAGAGGCGGCCGAGGCTGGCGACGAAGTGGGCACGGAGCCTTCGGGTAGCGCGACGCCACAGGGGGAAGACTCGCACGTTGTGCCCCAGCCTTCTCAAGATGCCGTGCTCGAAGACGACAGACAGAGCTTGATGGCGGCGTCCGTTTTCCGCACCAGCGGAGAGACGCCACGGGGCGAGACGCCGGGCGCGGGGCTGGCCAGTTTTCCAACTTCTTCTCCAACCTCTTCCGGACCACCGAGACTCCAAAATCGCCTGCGCCACCGCCGCCGCCGACGCCGACACCGCCACCGCCAAAGTCGCCATCCCAGCTACAGTCACCATCGCCCTCCTCCATGACGGGTCCGTCGGGGAAGCAGTCACTCATCTACCGGCGAAGCCAGACGATCAAGTCGGAGGAGTCGTCGGGGGTACAGTCGACGTCGACTGGGTCCCGCGTGACGTCAGGGTCGGAGCTGGGCGACACGGATTCGTTCGTGACGGCGCCGCCGACCACGACCATCTTTGAGTCGGCGCACGACTTGATTAATCCGCAGGTACCCAACCTCCCGTTCCTACTCGACCCGTCTAGGCGACCGCGGGCCATCTTCCACGATCGCGTATACCACCCGGAAGACATACCGGCGCCGCCCATCAAGAAGAGAATTAGTAGCGGGTTGACGATGCGCCGGAGGATGTCGGGCGGCAAGCTGGTGGACAAGGAGAGTACGAGTACGAGTACAAGTACGGGTACGGGTACAGGTACAGGGGCAGGTACAGGGGCAGGGGCGGGGGCAGGGACGGGAACGTCGGGTGGCACCGCGCCGACGGCAAAAGCCTCCGAGACAGGACAAAAGGATCATCTTGCCCTTCGGCCGACGCGAGATAGCGGCTCCACTGCCGTAGAGTCCGATGCCCCCTCCCAGCGTTCAGGCAACGACAGCAAGGGCAAGAAGCAGGAGGCGAACAAACAACCGCCCAGTTCCATGGTTGATGGCTCCAGCATGCGGGTAGAGGAAAAGATTGCCCGAGCGTACCACCGCGACCTTTCGTGGCGCAAGGTTCTTGTAAAGCTGGAGCCTGACGCGCATAACAACATTATCGTGCGGCGCATGTTTGCCAACGCCTTTGGCTGGCCGGTGGTGCATCATCTTGTAGAAGCTCACTTTAGCGATACGGTCACGGCGCGGCGGTTAGACGCCGAAGAGGACAACGACGAGAGGGCGCGCAAGGTCCGTGCCCCGCCGGACGCCAGCGGTGGCGAGACGAGGGACGCGCGGCCAGCCGGACGAGATCCCGACCACGATACCGAGCCCGAGCTTCCCGAAGCCCGCACTGGCAATGGCGCCAGGGAAGCGCAACGGGAGTCGCCGCAGGACCCGGCCCTGCAGCGAACCGACAGTGAGACGCTCGAGGCCGAGGACAGCGTGGGTGATCTGCCTACTACGCCGACGGCGGCGAGTATGATGCAGACTCCAACGGCGAGCGGGCCGCGTCCGCCATGGGACTCTCCCGACGACGGAAGCCAGAGCCAGTGCAGCCACGGTAGCCGGCCCGGAACGGCGTCTGGAGAGGGTCGGCGCTCGGTCGTGCGCTGCGATTCGATGACGTGGAGCGATCGGGACTGGGCGGACAGCGAAAACGACAGTGACACAGAGGCGTCGCCTACGATACTGGGCGTCGGCGGCAGCCACTTTGGCCTGCAACACACATCGACGTCGTCGTCGTCGTCGAGCGCAAAGCCGGTGAGCCCGGGCCTCCCGGGTCAGCCTGGAACTGGACGGAGAAGATTGTAGGCAGGAAGGCGCCGTCGCCGAGGAGCAGGACGCCGACGGCGCTCAAGAGCGAGCCGACGTTGGCGGAGAGCGATGGATCATCCCAGCTGGAGGGAGAGGGGCTTCATCGCTAACAGCCCGTTTACGCTTCCCCCTCGTCAAAAGGGAGCCGAGCCTCTGGTGTTTGAATGATCTCTTTTCCTTGGTTCTTTTTTATTTCCGATGATTCTCTTTTGATTTTTTTCTCAGGGTGGAAGGCGGTTCCTTGGGCAATAGACTATCATTCTTTGCTGGTGTTTTTTTTTTTCGTACCCAACATCATGTCAAGTGTCGGCAATGCATCTAGATAAATGCGGGAATCTGGGGTTTCAGGGCTTCTTACACTGTTTCTTCTTCCTTTCCAAACCTCTCTCTCTCTCTCTCTTTCTCATTCTTCTACTTTTTCTAGCTAGAGGGATCCTAGAATGATCCCGATTTCTCTTCGATTAGGAGTAGATGAGTGAGTGGAAGGGGTTGAGGCAAAGTTTTGGGATTACATCAATACAAGCTTTAATCTGACTTTGTGATTGTTTTCGAACGAGACATCCAATGCAGTGTTCTTGGCCGAGTCCAGCCTTTTGGTACATAGGCCCGACCCGGCCATTAATGTTTACTAGACAATTTTAACCCCATTGCATGCCGTGAGCCCTTTGTCTTCCAAATTTACCTCTTTTCTTTTCTCTTATGTTTCCCTACATTGCTTTAGTCGAGGCTGCCCCAGGTATATAATTAGCGACGGTGCTGAGTGGGTCACATGACAGCTGAGCGGCGGGCTCGGAGCAACGACCGACTAACTCCATTGCTCGCTCTCTCTCTCTCTCCGTATAACCATCTTGCCATTCAAGGCGGTTTTTAGCACATGACTCTCTGTGAGAGTTTCTTCTTATCTTCTTTTGTCCTTTCCTTTCCTTCCTCTTTTCCCCCAATTTTGAAAAGCATGGACGCCAGCGAAAATGCACCACGAGTCGCCGGCGCCATCCTCACCCCGGGGTGGTGCCGCTGCCTTGCACGGGCCGACTGGGATCGGGCCAGGTGAACCAAACAAACACGGTGCGTCGCCGAAAGGTCCGACGGGGCACGTCGAGTTGCTGGGAGTGCAAGCGGCGCAAGGTGCGGTGCGATTTGGAGCCCGTGGCGGGGTGAGCTGTGGGCCGTGTCGGCGGCGGAAGGCTCGGTGCGTGCCGCAGTACCTGGCTGAGGTTTCGTCGGAGGGCGGCAACGTCAACGGCAACGGCAACGGTGGAGGCGAGGAGGCGGCGGCCGTGGGGCGTCGGATCGAACGGCTGGAAACGTTGGTGGAGAGTTTGGCGAGGGGAAGCGCGAGGGGGATGCTCGGTTCCTCAGCAGCGGCGCGCGGCCGGCGTCGGGGTGCCGCTGAATGTGTTTGTGTTTTCGTTTCTGCCGCCGGCGGCATCGGCGAGGATGATTACGCGGCGGGAGGCGTTTATTACCATGTCTTTGGGGCGGGGGAGAATCCGCTCGTGCGGTTGGTGGATGAGCCTGCGCGGTCGTGGGGAGGAAGGGGATGGGAACGGACGGGGACGGGGACGGGGAGAGCGGCGGGGATTGGTTCCGATGAGCAGACGCGATGGCGGCGACGACGACGACGACAACGATGATGCGCTGCCCTCGCCGACGGCCCACCCCGTCGTGCTGGCCGCGCGGCTTCTGGAGCTGGCCGTGTGTCTGCAAAGATGGATCCGCAGGCCGACGCTTCGGCGCTGGGGTTGGGCGTCGCGGGCCCGTCGAGCGTGCGCGACGTGGCGGACCATTACTTTGTCGCGGCGACGCGGCACGTCATGGCGGACGACGCGCTCGTGAGCTCGCCCGAGGGGTTGGGCGCGCTGATGCTGGGGGCGCTGTATTACTTGAATGCGGGGATGCGGGCGGGGGCATGGCGGCGCTGCGGAGGGCGGTGGGGCTGGCGCGGCGGATGGGGTTGCACCGACACGCGTTGACGGCGGCGGGCTTGGAAAGCTCGGCGAGCTCGGCTTCTTCGAAGAGTTTGGCCGTTCTCTGGGCGACGCTGGCGTATAGTGAGAGGTTCCTGGCGCTGATGCTGGACGTGCTGCCGTGCGAGGAGGTGGCGGAGGCGACGATTGCGGGGCGCGGCTGGTGGAGGGCGGCGCCGCAGAGGAGGTTGGATCGGTTGCATGCTGTTGTGGCGGGGCGGATGGCGGGGCGGAATCACAGGATGAGAAAGGTGAGGGCGAGGGCGAGGACGAGAGAAAGGTCGTCAGAGGAGGCGGAGGAGGATGCGTTGTACGAGGAGACAAAAGGGTTGGATGCGGATTTGAAGAGGGCGGCGCGGGTGGTGCCGGCGCGGTGGTGGTTGGCGCCGAAGCCGTTGGGGGTGGGGGAGGAGGAGGAGGCGCTGGAGGAGACGACGAGGGGGTCACGCAGATGAATCATTATTATCTTGTGCTGAAGGCGCATCTTCCGTATGTTGCGGCGGTTGGGGAGGACGTTGGAGGTTACGGGATGGAAGAGGAACAGGATGGGCGGCAATTGGAACAACAGGAACAAGAAGAACAACAGCGGCGAAGAAGGGGACTCGGCTCTTTTACGTACCGGAATCGAGACTACACCTACCACAAGACGGCGGCGGTCACGGCTGCCCACGACCTTCTCGCTCGTTTCCTCGCGCCCCCGACCTCTCCGCACGCGCTCGTGTGCACGCGCGGCCACGAGGCGAAGGCCGGCACCGCGGCCGCGACTCTTTTACTCGCGCACATTTCGGACGCGGCGGTTTCTTTTCCTGCTACCACTACTACCTCTTCCTTTTCCTCGTCTCCTTCTTTTACATCTCCTTTTCCTTCTTCTTCTTCTTCTTCCTCCTCCACCTCCCTTATAGCCCGCACCTCGCACCCTTCCCGCAACCACCCACCTCCCCGCCCCATCCCCGCCACCCACGTCCTCGAACACCGCCGCCCCGCCGACATCGACGCGGCCGAACGCGCAGCCGCCCGGCTCGAGACCCTCGCGGGCGCGACGCACGACACGCTGAACCTCGAGCTGGCGGGGTGCTCCGCGCGCTCGTGGACGTGGAGGCCCGCGTCGCGGCCGGGCTCGAGGTCGCGTGCGCGTGGGCGTTTGGGGCTCCCGGGTCGGAGATGGTGGGGAAGGCGGGCGTGCAGGAGCTCCGGGGTGGGGTTACGCGGATTCGGGTTCCGTATTTTGGGGTCGTGACGATTGCGAGGACGGATGGTGGCGGAGGAATGGATGGTCAGCCGAGCGGGACGTTGACGACCGCGGCTTCTCTTGTTGTTGTGGCGGAAGACGGGGCAGAGGGGCAGGACCAGGAGCAGGGCCAGGGGCAAGAGGTGCCTTGGCTCATGGAGGATTCACAGGCCGTGATGCTCGACTCGGTGCCGTGGGGCCAAGTTCCCGCACATCAGCACTTGAGCCCGGCGCGCTCGGGATTCGTGGTGGGAGGCGAGATGGCGACGCCCGCGGCGGTTCCTGGATTCAATTTCCGGAAGGCCAAAGGACCGAAAGATGGGGGCGAGGCCACTTTAGAGGCTCCGATAGAATTCTTGTTGTTATAGATTTCAACTTTTCTTTTGACTTGCAAGTCCACCTAGGACACTTTTTTTTTTTTTTTAATTAATTAATTTATTTTATTTTATAAAGAATACAATAATACCATTTCATTTACTGGAAATCCATCCGTATGTATCTCCATGACCCTCCTTGCTTTATACAGTCACAAACACACCTTTGTCTTTTCACAAGAATCAAACCCCAGAATTTCTCGAATATGTCTTGTTTTCAAATCCAACTTATATTCAACAATCTCTTCTAGCTAAGAAACCCTAACCCTCCACCTGTTCACTCTTCAAGAGGCGTGTCTACAAAGTTAAACACCGCATGCGCCTTCATCAACCGATCCCCGCCACAACATTCGCCAGCTCCCGCACAGCCTTCTCCTCGTCCTTATCGATCACCACATCCAACGCGCCGAGGTTCTCCTTCAAGCGCTCCTCCCTCGTCGTGCCAGGAATGGCAAACACATCATCCCCCTGCGCAAGAAGCCACGCCAAGGCCATTTGCGCCGTCGTGGCCCCTTGCCCGTCTCCCTCCGCCTTTCCCTTTCTCGCTTTACCCATCTCCGCCAAGCGATCGACCAGCGCCACGTTCTTATCAATATTCTCCTCCTCGAACCACGGCAACCCGCCGATGCTCCGCATATCCCCCTCGCCGCGCACGTCCTGGACGCCGCGGATCCGCCCGCCCAGGAGACCCCGACCGAGCGGGCTCGACGCGACGGTGGCGATGCCCAGCTCGCGCGCGGTGCGCAAAATGTCCACGCTCGGGTCCTCGATCCCGAGCGTGAAGGCGCTATACTCGTTTTGCACCGCCGTGACGGGTGCACGGCGTGGGCGCGGCGCAGCGACGCGGCGCTCGGCTCGCTGAGCCCGACGTACCGGATCTTGCCCTCGGCCACGAGCTCAGCGAGCCCCGCATCGTCTTTTCGACGGGCGTCTTGCCGTCGAGGCGGTGCACGTAGTACAAGTCAACGTAGGGCACGCCCAGGCGCTCCAGCGTCAGCTCCAGGCAAGTCCGGCAGTTTTCGGGCGACGAGTCAATCGACACGCCGGTGCCGGTGCTGAAGCTCAGGCCAAACTTGGAGGCGAGGAAGATGTCCTTGCGCTTTTCCGGGTTCGCGGCGAACCACTTGCCGATGAGGACCTCGGAGTCTCCGTAACCGTGGGCTGTGATGGAGCAAAAGCTTTTGGTCAGCTATCTTCTTTTCTACCATCCGTTGGCTGCACGCTAGGGAAGAAACATACCCGTGTCCCAAAAGGTCTCGCCCATTTCCCATGCCTTGGTCAGGAAAGCAAGGCGTTCCTCGTCGGATCGGGCTTTGCCGTAGGCAACGCTCAGGCTCATGAGACCCAAGCCCAGGCGGGGCACCTGGGGACCGTTCTTGCCGAGCGGACGGGTGGTGAGAGACACAGGGGGAGCCATGATGATTCGATTTTCCCTCTCTGGGTTGTTTTCGAGTAGATTTCTTTGGTTCTTGTTGATAGTGATTAAGTGTATAGTGCGTTTGCTTGCCTTTGAAGAAGTTGGAATAAACAGGACGCAGAAGACGGTTGGAATCTCACGGCCACCTCGTCTTTAAATACCCCCATTCCCGAAGCCCCTCCCCCATCTAGTGTGCTCCCTGCGATTCCCATGGCGGAAATCTCGGCGGTGTTTAGCCCTCTGGCGTAGCAACCGTCCGACGAAGCGACGAAGCAAAACGCAAAACCTCGGTGCTGCTGCCCAGTAAACTCCGGATGTGGCGCTGGCCGCGGGGTGTTGTGTGTTGGGTCCTCCTTTTGGGTGCGCCCACATTATTTCCGGCCCCGTAGAGGCTACCGTAAATCAAGAGAAACGAACCTCCCAAAATTACATGTAATAATAATTCCAATGACAGCGCGGGTCGGCTTGGCCCTCCAAGGAGCAAGACATTTCCTCAGCGTTTTTTGCCGCAAAGCCCGTGTCGTTTCGTGCTGCAGGGCCAAGCGCCGAGAAACTGGCCAATCAGCGTTCTTCCGCCGAAAAGTCCGGGATTTGGGCTCCGGAGCAACTTTTGGTTTCGGTCTCGGATCACCGAAACGCGGCGAACAAAATAAACGAGGACAAAACCCAGCAAAGGGGAGAGGAAAAATAACACCGTGACCGCAATTCGGGCGAACGCGGCGACTGCGAATTCCGGAATCCATACTTGTCACGCGTGGAATGATACCACTAAATGTCGACGAAATGCGTCCCCCATTTCCTCCTGGAGATGTGAAAACTGCGTAGGTTGACATCGGAATAGGCCCCTTTCCGCCCTCTGGCGTACATTCATCACCCAACCCGAGGGAATGTGATTTGAACCGAGAGCAAACGAACTATCCTTTTTCCGAAAGGGCCGTCAGGCTTGCCTTTTGCATGGAATGCACCGAGCTCCTTTCCATTCCAGACTCAACAAAGGACTTGCTTAGTCTTGGCCTTTGATACACCTCAACAGCGCCTCCCTCCCATAGAGAAACGCCTCGCCGATCCGACAAGCCATGACCACCCGCCCACATGCTTCAAAAGGCGAAAACTAGAGATAGCCGCGCGATCCCCTCGATTCCCATTACATTGAACCGGCGCCATCACCAGTCCGTACCCTGTGTGTCTCGACGGTTGATCAACCCCTTTTATCAAGAAGGCTACAGGCTAGAACCTTCTCCGGTCCCGTCGATCCCTGACGTGATAGCGTTAAAAAGTCTGTCAGCCGTTTCCCGCACGCGGAAAGTGAAGAAAACTAAACTAAAAGGAAAAAAAGAAGAGGGATAAGAAAATCACAAGCGCGTGGCTCCAAGCTTAGCTCAAACTCAAAAGAAGAGGAGGCAAGCTAGACATCAGAATGAAGAAGGAAGGCAACCTTTCCAAAACACATGACAAGATCCCTGGAGAGACAAAATGCCACAAACGATGGACCCTGAAGAAACTCAAGCACGAGGGCAAAGTCCGAAAGAGTCCGACCCTTGAGGAAAAAGAAAAAAAGAGGGACAAAGAAAGCAAACAAGGGAACTAGAACCAACCCCAACCAAACGAGACAAAGAAAAAAAAAAAAAAAGGAGACACGGGAATGGGAGCGTCACGAGGAAAATCACAGGTTCCGAGAATGACAATCTGCAAGGCGCAAACCAAGCATCCCTCTCCAATCTCTTGCTCGGACCGGAATAATGAAAAGAAAAAAAAGGGGAGACCACAAAGAAGAAAACGTGAGGCGCCTCCTTTGACCCCGTTTCCCTCTCCCATGGCGTCCAGAGTCCACATGGTGGCCGAGCGTGATCAAGCTTCGCGCTAGGAGGGTCTCATCACTCAAACGACAAGCCCAAGCTCCCCCTCCTCAAGGCAAGCGTTGGAGCCGTCAAGGAGAGATCCCGCACTAAGAGGAGTCAAATACACAGACAAAGAGTCGGCTCGCCCATTAAAAAAGAAAATTAAAAAACAATCCTCCCGCCATCCTCGCATCAAAACACCCACACCCGCCCCCACCCCTTCTCCCCAATATCGGCCCCCAATCTTCGCTTCGGTTTCCCCAAGAGAATGGAAAAAGACCCCTGGAAAACGAGCCTTCAAGCGTACTTCTATCGCCCTATCCTCTCACCTCTCAGTCTCGCTCCTACCTTCTTCCGAACCCGTACCCCTTGGGCACAAGTTTCCACTTCACATAAACTGACTTGCTTCTCAACACGACCAAGCCTCGGAACGACAGAGGGTAGGTGGGGCGACAACAACGCCAAATGTGCCGAGGGAGGGTGACGGAGCTTTCTTGCGGCCACCGCTTGAAGCCATCATCTACCGCTGCCCCAAATCCCGCTCCTCCCGCCTGCTTCGTGATTTCCTGGGACCGCTACCGCCTTCACGACACCTGCGCCAACTGCGACTTCGAAGTCAACAAACGTCTGGTCCAGGCCGAGTACGAAAAGAGGCACGCCGAGCTCATGATGCAGATGAGGGACGCACGGCGCAACGGGAGACGCTCCGCAGTCGCTGCTCTGACTCGGGATGTCATGGCCCTGTCCGAGTGGCAGAGAGCATCCATGCGCCGAGTCCTGAGACCCCGAGGCACCTTTGACGTCGACACCTCGCCGAAAGAAGTCAAACTCGGCCGCTTTTGGTGAGCACTCAACACACCTCTTCGCCCACGTCTTGTTTCCTTTCTTCTCCTCTTCTCTTTTTCTTTTTTTTCCCTTTCCGATCAACGAAATCGATAGAAAGAAGAAGAAGATAGGATGATGGAGGGAAACGAATAGGAGAAAAAAGGATGAATGACACATACCGTCACATCCCCTTTCTCTTTATTCCCGAAAGCGGACAACAAGTTCGATGCATGGGATCGGTGTGCAGCCCTCGTGAGCATCCCGCATCCCTTTACACTGTGCATCTCCAGCCTCGCACGTCACACTACCCGCACCACACTTGAGACAAACACCCACACTCACGCGCACACCACATGCCTGTTTTTTTCCGGTGGTGGGAGGAAAGCATTTTGCATTTGCATTAGCATTTGCGTTTGCGCAGGGCCGCCCGATACATGACGTCGATCAAGCCATAGCCATCGCTTCCCGCGCGAGCCCTAACCACCGCTGCACCCAGCATCGCGAACCCCAAACCATCACCAAGTGCCCTGCGCCCACTCCTTGGGTGCCTCGCTAGGCCCCATCGCCCGAGCCATCTCGTACACGGACGGCTGCCCGTCGGAGCTCCCGCCAAAGTTGCCGCTTGCCGCCTTCTGCTTCTCCAGTTCTCTCTTGGTCATGACGTACTTCTTGACCCGCTCCTGTCCTACCTTGCCCGCTCGCCGCTTGTCCGCCGGTATCCGCAGGAACGGGATCGCGACCACCGCCTCGAAAATGTTCCGAACCTTGTCCACAGACACGTGATGTCTTTTGGCGATTTTTCCAAATGGAAACACTTCTAGAGCCGTGTCCGCGATGTCCACAATGATGTGCTTCCCCGTGCTCGCCTCCTGATGAGCGAATCTCTTTGCTGCCTGCTGCGGTTGTTGCTGCTGCTGCTGCTGCTGCTGCTGTTGTTGTTGTTGTTGTTGTTGTTGTTGTTGGAGCACTCCGTTGTTACTCCTAGCCGGAGCCGGGTTAGCCTGGGCCTGCACCCGGGATTGGCCCTGCGACTGCGACTGCGACTGTGGTTGTGGTTGTGGTTGTAATTGCGGGTGTGCGAGTGTTTGTCCATTCCCATGGCCCTTCGACTTATGTTCCACCCCCATTGCCGCATTCTCCATCAGCGGCTGGGGATGAGTTGCTGCTGCAGCAGCGAGCATCATGGCCGGATTTTGCATCATGTAGGCCTGTGGCGGCGGCATGCCCATGAAGCCTGAAGCGTTGACGTTCCCACCATTCATCACACCACCCATTGCGCCTCCAAACGGTGCCCCGGGGTTCGCATGCCCCCACCTTGCAAGGGGGTTGGGACAAAGACAAAGTTATACCCTGCATTGTGCTGCTGCTGCTGCTGCTGCTGCTGCTGCTGCTGAGGTACCTGCATTTGCGGCCCTCCCGTGATGCCGTGGTGAAGAGGCGAATGGGGAGCCCCGGAAATGCGCTACCAATCCCCGTGTTTTGCATCGCTGCTTGCTGACGGAGCGCAAGGCAGATGCGACACGGCGCCTTTGCTGGTGCGGACAACGAGGCGTGGTGCATTGTCCGCTGCATGTTGCGCATCTGGGCCTGGCTGGCAAAGCTGAGATTTTGTTGGCTCGAGGACAGCGGTTGAGGTTGAGGTTGCAATCGCAGTTGTGATTGCAGCTGCGCTTGTAGGTGGCCCTCCATTTGCGGATCTGGGTGTGCTGGCGCCTGGTGTTCCAACAGCTGTGATTGTTGCGTTTGAACCGGCGCCGGCTGCGTGGGTTCCGCAGCTATAGCCATCACCGGAGGACGTGGCCTGCTAGGAGCCTGTATATGCGTTGTTGAAGGGCCCGCCACAGACGTCTCGGTGTCTCGGTAAGTTTGACTCTGAGTGGGTGCTTTTGCTGCCTCTTTTCTCGCGTCCGGTCTTTTACCAGTGGCTTGTCTTTGCAATTCATCTCCTTTTGGCGCCTGACTAACACTATCGCCTCTTACAGAACCCGTGGAGCTCGAGGACCACGACTGCCTCTGCTCTATACGAGCCAGCATCTCCGACATCACCGAGCTCGCCTCAGCCTGGGGCCGCGCTCTCTTGGTTTGTGCCGATGCTGCTTTCCCTCTCGCTGCCTCCCATTGCCGCACCGGCTCATTGTCAATATCCAAAGGCTCCGGTCCCGACTCTAGGATACGCGGTGGTCCACTGCTTTGAAGCAATCTTGGAGAAATTGTCCCGTGAAGTTGCGTAGGAGATAGGGCTGACGACATTATCCGATCTCGAGGTCTGCTAGGGAAAGCCGTTGGAAAAGCGAAATTCTCCATTGACGGTAGAGAGGTTTGTATACCGTTTGCCTCATGCCTGCCCAGAAATTCTTTTCCCACTGGCGTCTCCGCCCCAGTGTCAGTGCCAGCGCCATTGCCAGCGGCGGGCCTCGCGTTCCCGGGATGCCCAGTATCGGCTAGTGGTGCCAAGATAACCCTCGGCGCTGTTACCGCTGTGCCCTCCTCATAGCTAGACTGTGGTGTGGGGATGCTGATAGCTAGTGGTCTGGGGTGCTCGAGTTTCCGTCGCTTCACCGGCTTCTCAGACACGAATTCAACCTCGTCATCCAACCTCTTCGTGGGGAGATCTCCAGGGCGTTCTGTAACTGCCCTTGCAAGCTGCGGAAGTTGCTGGAACGGGGGTTGAAACGGAGATTGGACCCGTGGTATCGAGGGAATTGACGTTAAAGAGGGTATCCCGATCCGATTGGGAGGGGAGGGGAAATGAGGAACCGGAGGTAGGATAGGTGGTCCTAGAGGCGGTAGCGGAGGGAGAGTTAGGTTTGGAGAGGCGATTGTCGATAGTACCGGGGAAGGTGAGTAAATAGCACGGAGTGATGTCGAGGCCCACTTGGTCCTAGTGGTGCCAACGGCATCGGCCCGTCCACCTCGGGGAAAGCAAGGTGGAAAACATCGCATCATCAACATTCCCCCTTTTCTTCCTGTATTAGTCTGAGCAGGCCGGAGTACTAGGAGTCTAGATATTTGTACCGGTAGAGCCATTTTAGAATATAGACACAGCACTTGCTGTAAACTCCAAATCTTGATTAATCAAGAGCTAGACATGTTGGAAACCGGTAGATGGCTCCCTTGCCAAGTTCTTAGCTGGCCTCAGCTTGACAAGGTTAGAAGAATCGTTCCAGAGTGAAATCTCTTCTATGGAGGATTTTCAGTCCTTTCTAGAGGTAAGATTGGGAACAATGGACTATGGCTAAGGTCTTGTTCTCAGATGGTCTCACCACCACTTATTGATCAAGAGCTTAACCATAGCTTGGCCCTAACGCTGAGGAGCTCGAGCTTGAAGCTCTAGAACCACCTCAACTTATCAGTCATCTGCGGTCAAGGGAAGAAGGGAAAAGGGGGAAAAGATGGGATCATCTAAAGATAAAACTAGGCAAACCTGCACAATAATAGAATGCAAGAACTTGGAAAGAGAAAGTCTTAATATTACTTCAAGGGTAAATTTCATCAAGGTCAATCACAGAACAAGTTCCTGGAAGCTCTTTGAAGCTGCTTCCCCATTGGCAGTTAGAGGATGTTGATTCTTAGTCATCAAGGGTCCACTACCCCTCCATGGATGCTGCCTTCCCCGTCTGCCATTCACAACCTTGCGTCCCGTGTCACGAACCACTGAGGGGCAGGAGCTGGCTTTGAAAGCCCCTTCCCTTTCTATTACCCTGCCTTTGAGAGCTTACATCCTCGCTCCTTTCCTGCAGATGCTATTGAAAATCTCCTAAAATCAGCGTGCTATGCTAATAACACCTAGAGGATGAACAGCTATTAACAATTTGAGCTCTATTAAATCACCGCTTGCCCCACCCCACACCTAGCCTTGTCCACCTCCTCTTCAACATTGAACAACTACCAGGTGAAGGCTGCAACATGGCTTCTTCGTCTGCCTCCCCCGCCTTCTCCTCGAACCCCTCATCAGCAGCCATCAGGCTTCAGATATACAAGTGGCCCTCCACCCGCTTGTCCTCCTCACCATATCCGACTACATCACCCGCCACACCCTTCGCGAGCAACCCGGGCCCATCATAGGCGCCATTCTAGGTCGGCACAATGGCAGGAAATCACGCTTGAGCATGCTTTTGAATGCCATACGGCGTCCGACCCAGTCTCTCCTCTTGGCTACTCTGTAGATCGCCAAAGATTCGCCGCCCGTCTTGAACAGTGTTTGTCACCCCCGTCGCCCCCATCACCCTGTCTCCTTCCCCCACCATCCTGCCTGCTGCTTCCGCTTCATATGCCCTGGTCCTATCTCCACCCGCTAATATGAAACCCTGATCTAGTCAAGACCGTCCATAAAGATCGCATGTTAGACCTGGTCGGTTGGTACACGCTCATCGCCAAGACCGGCCCGACCCCAGACATCCTACCCACCCACACCGCGATGCTCGACCTCAACGACTCGAGCCTGCTTCTCGGCTTCCACCCCGACGAACTAGCCCATGCCTCAGCCGGCGCGAAGCTTCCCTCACCATATACGAGAGCAACTACGAAGTCGACGACGACGCGTCAAGGGCCGAGGACGACGAGGACAAGAAGATGCAGGACAGCGATCCGCCCCTGAAACTCAAGTTCCGCGAGCTCCAGTACACGGTAGAGGCCGGCACCGCCGAGATGATTAGCATGGACTTTGTCGCCCGCGGCGGCGGCAACGCGACTGCGGTAGAGCCCAAGGAGCGCCGCCAAGCCACCCCAACCGGGGTCGCCGAGGATGCGAGGGAATCCAAGCGGCGAATAGTCTCCGTCCCCGCCGATGCCGACGCCGCGCCCGAATTCGTCCTCACGAGAGAGGAGGAAGAGATGATTAGCGCCCTCACCGCCAAGGCCAATGCCATCAAGATGCTCCAGTCGCGTGTCCAGGTCATCCGCGAGTACCTAGGCCAGCTTCCCGAAACCTTCAAAGCGGGCGACCACGCCATCCCGCAGATGACGGAAGCTGGTCCCCATGCCGCGGCCCCATCTTACACCATTCTCCGCCAGATCCAAGCCCTCGTCAGTCGCCTCGAGGTCCTCGTGCCCTCGGACGAGAAGGCCTTCCAGGAGGAGCTCCTCCGGGAGAAGAACGATGTCAACATCATCTCACTGCTAAACGGAATCGTTCAGGGCACACAGGGTGCCCGCGAAATAGGCCGCAAGTTCCAAGTCATTGAGAGCAATAAACCGCGAAATAGGATGGCCGAGTTCACGAATGAGTCGCGCTTTGCCTTCAACCTGTCAGATGGCCATGACCTTTTATAGACTTCGCATCCGCTACTGGGGATGTAGCCTCCTTGATCCATACCGCCCTACCTTCGCCAAGCGAGCATGCGGTCTGTTCGTCGTTTCTTTTGTTTCCTCTTCTTTATCTTTATTCTTGCTCTCACCTCAAGCCACTTTTTTCTCTTGTCATGATTATGGGTACAAGGCGCTGCGGGAAAAAACCAGTCGGACATTCATTGCGCTACATTTATCTACGTTCTTGTCGTTTTTCTTCCTGTTTTTCTTCTTTCTTTTCTTCTCGTCCTCTTTCCCTTTTTCTTCCTTTTCGGACGTTAGGCCTAGAGAGGACGCCCGCTTTTGCCTTAGAATAATGGAAAAGAGCTCCACTAGATGAAATGCATGAGAATAGTCAAGATAACAGGAACCATTGATCCCTCTTCCCACCTTGGCCCGTGGAGCTCGCCATTCTCCATCTCGGTGTAGCTCCGGGAATGTATGTTTTTTTGTCCCACGAAACAGTGCCGTCCATTCCTCGTTCCTCTATAAACGAGTAGAGACACACACCCCTTGCTCCCCTTACGAGGTCAAAGGCGACTTTTGAGAATCAATGAATCCGCCCTCTGAGAGAGAGAATGGAAAAAAGGGAGGGGAAAGAACTACACGTAAAAGAAAAGGGTCACCTGTCGTCAAGGTGAAACGTCCAACCTGCCAAACGTCGTCATCGTCGGGCATGCTTTGCTGTTCCTTGGCTGACTCGAACCCGTGAGTCCGCCTCCGGCGCAGATCCTCATTCAGCGGCCATGTGCATATAGAACAACCGCCACCCCCATTTCCCCGGTTCCCCGGCCTTTCCCCCGGGCCTCTAATCACATTGGGGTAAGGTACACTTCCTTTTAGGGTCTAATGGCTCCGGGAAGGGTAGCATTGACGACTTTGACCATCCAAACACAGGAGGTTATCCTTGCGGCTCACTCACGTCCTTTCCCCACACATATCTCGCCACCGCAGAACATGGGGAGGGGGCAACTCGGAAACTGGCCTAGATCAGACCAGCGGCAAGAAAGCAAGATAGTAGACAACTTGGTGAAAATTAGCGTAGAACGCTCATGTCTCCATTAATGATGGGTACGAAGGGGTTGAATAAGATAAAACAAGTTTGCTAGCTCTCTAGAAAAAGTAAACGAGAAAAAACGAATGCAACGAGGAGAGAAGGGAAAGAATCGAATGGCCTAGGGATATTATTGTAAAGGCCCCCAGCCCCTATAAGGTATCATAAGGAAACAAGACTAGAAAGAGTAAAAACGGCAAAGAAAAGAGAGACACCTGAGTATCCTCATTTTGTTTCTTTTGTTCTTTTTGTAAACCTTTTGCGCGATATCCCACCCTGTTCCCTAACCCAGACTGAACCAAGGAAATATGAGAAAGAAAAAGAAAAAGGAAAAAAGGGAGAAAAGAAGCCACGAGAATGGGGCAAAATGCATGCGAGGAACCTTGAAGCAAAAGATGTTCTTCGATGATGCAAAGTACCAAGCGGCCACAGCAAGACGAAACCAGAGAAAAAGTCTCAAGGGGGAGGAAGAAAACAGAGAGCAAGTATGAGAAAAAGAAACCCAAATCCGTCTATTAGTTCATTATCGCGTGAATTTGTTGATGGAAGGCTGCATGCTGCATCAGACCGGTCCCGCAGCAGTGGCCATCTTCACCAACTGTGCGGAACCCGGTTCGTCTCTATCGATGAATCAAGATCAAGGCCACGGTAAGACAAGTCGGAAATAATTTTCAAACTTTGAAAGCGAAGAAAACCAACCCCTCTTCCGGCTACGCCTCAATGACAACCTTGAGAACAAGGTTGCCGTCGTCGTCAGAAGTCCGGCTGGCAAGCTCAAAGGCGTCCTTTGCGTTCTCGAGGCCTTTGAATCGATGGGTCACCATGTCGTCGAGGCTAGGCAGTGTGAAGCCGGCGCCACCGTTGCCTTGGTTGCAAAGAATTCGGATAGCGGTTTTGTACGTGTTGGCGTAGCGGAAAATTCCCAATATGTCCACCTCTCTCAGGTGAGCGGCCGACATTGGGAGGGTCTGGATGGGGGTACCCATCCCGACCATGATGACCCTGCCACCACACTTTGTTGCGTAGAGACTTGTGTGCATGCAGACTTCCTTGCCGGTGCACTCGAATGTGATGTCAACGCCATCCTCGTCCTCCTCGTCCTCCTCGACGCTGAAGCCTTCTGGGTCCCTGCTCACGGCCAAAATATCCTGGGCAAGCCGCCTGGCTTGTTCAAGTTGGCTGTAAATGCTGGCCGGGGTCATCATGCCAGACGCAGGCGTCGAGGTTCCCGAGTCGGTGGGGCAGCAGCCGGTTGAGCAACCCGACGACGAGGCGTTCGAGTAGGTTCGGGGAACAACAAATCCGTGCGTGGCGAACCCTTTCGTGATGGCGTAATTGACCCGACCAGCGTCAACGTCGCAAATTGTGACTCTGGTGCAGCCCGCTTGCCGGGCCATAATGGAGGTGAGGAGGCCAACGGTGCCAGCACCAATGACAAGTGCGGTAGATCCGGGGGCAGGTGAAGCCCGGTTGACTGCATGGAGAGCTACCGAAAGGGGCTCGAGCAGAGCTGCGGCATCAAAGGAGACGTGGTTGGGGAGCCTGGTTTCGGACGTTAGCTTCCATCACTTCGAGGCCGACCAAGACTAAAGAACAACAGAGGTAGGAGAGGAGTTGGAAGAGCAGGTGGAGAGTCTTACTTGTGGCACCACTGCGCAGGATGATTGATGCGTTCTTGGAGGGTTCCCTGATAATGAGGGACACTCTTGGCGCTGCTCCTGAATCGAAGCTTCTTGCACAGGTTATAACGTCCCTTGGTACAGATTGTGCAGCTACCGCAGGGTACCCCAACTTCGAGTGCGACCCGGTCGCCAATTTTGAATCCAGAGACCTGGGGTCCAACCGCAACCACAACACCAGAGGACTCGTGGCCTAGTGACAGGGGATGAATAGCGCAGAGGTCGCCATTGGCAAACTTTTATAGTAGGAAACGTCGGAGCCACAGATACCGGTGGACTTGATGGCAACTTGAAGCTCTCCGAGCCCGGGGTCCTCGATCTTTCTCTCTTCCTAATCAATTCTGTTAGTGTCAAGGTCGGCATCCTCTGGTGCAAATCTCGCGCGGCTTGTCCATCACTCGCATGACCCCACACATGTGCCCTTTCTCATGTTGACCCGGTGCCTCCGCCCATCCCCCAGATTCGCTCGCGTGGCCCCTTGTGCCGTGGAAGGAACGGAGCCCTGGAGAATCTGGGGAAGTGACGGGCTTGTGTAACCAACAAGGATCGGGCCCTGGCGGCTTTGGGGGCCTTGGGGGCCTTGGGGGCGGCGAGCGGGCTTCCCGTCCTCCTTCAACGGCTGCCGCGTGGGGCGGGCAGGCAACAGAGGTGCAAAGGGCAGAGTTTACCAAACGAAGCAGGTACACGTAGACACTGCGTCGGTCGACAAAAGCGGAAGGAGGGGAGGGTATGGGAGAGTGAGGAGCGACAAGGCTTGACAGCAAGGAAGACAAGCGAGTGAGGGGAGAGGAGAGGCGAGGGGAGGGGAGGGGGAGTATTCAACCTACCATGCGCAAATCGCGCGGACCGTATAGTACGGATGCGCTAACTGTCGATTTGGAAGACTTGGAGCCATGGATGGGGTTCAGGGTAGAAGTGGTCTCCATGACCTCGTCCATCGCCGCGGGGGCCATTGCGACTCGTGTGGTGATAGCAGCAAAAAAGCGTGGGATGTAGTGGGCTGAACGTGGTGATTCGGCTGGTTAGTCTCAGAAAGGGGCTTGGCCGAGCTGCCTATTAGGGAGTTGAGGCCCAGTGGGATTGGCCAGTTGTTGGAAAGGGGGAAGAGCTGAGGGTAAAAGGTGGACTGGTTGGGAATCGCGCGTGGGGTGTGTTGTCCTAGGGTAAGATTGATCCCAGACCTTCGAGTTTGGGGAAGCTTGTTTTAGTTGGCGTGGGGAACAGAGATGGGATGGAGGAGGTTAGTGGGCTGGAAATATATTTATATATACTAGTACAAAGGAGCTCTGACGAAGAGGCGAACGGGAGCTTTATCTCTTGGACCCGAGCTGGCTCGCTCCTTCTGCAACATGCTTGGTGCTGGTCGGTCTTTTGGCGTCCCTTGTTTTGGGCAGTCAAAGAACCCACCCGCCTATTCCGTGGCGCGACCCCACTCTATAAGTGACATCAAGTCCTTCTCGACCTCCCTTGGGTCTGGGCGTTCCCTTGAGGAGGGGGAAGGGATCGGAGTCTAACAATGCGTGGGAATCATGGGCGACCAAAGTATCAGGGCGGGGCCCCCGTCGTCCACTTCCCAGTGTTGGGTGGATGGGGCAAATACAAAAACAAAAAAGAGACAACCGCTGAGATGAGCGTGGCCACTCATGTCTCTTGGCCGAATGGACGAGCTTCCAATACAAGTACATCAAGCAATCTCGGAAGCTGGTATGCACGGAAGTTGGAGCCACAGTCGGGTTTGTTACCGGCAGCGGCCAAAATCCTAGTCTTTGTACGCGCAGGGCCGTTGTACTGCGGGTAGGAGAAGCTAGTACGGCTCCATTGACCCATCCCATTGAGTGAAAGAGACCACGGTACCAGAGACTACTACCATTGATGTACCTCACCCATAGAATGCCCAGGTAAGGGTTCTTTAAAGTAGCACTGCAACTCCGCGTCAAACCTTGTACAGGCCAGAGTAGGAGGAGGTCAAGATGGGCCAGTTATTTTGATGCTCGCAAACAAAACGGATGCTAACCCACGTGTGTCTTGTGCGGTTCTCGGGGAAGAAGGAAGGGAGAGGGGAGGGGTGGGGTGAAGGGGGCGTGACTGAGGGGGCGTGAAGAGCCTGCTGCTTTTGTGGTAGCCACGGGCCATGCCCCATTGACCCCCGATGGGACGGAACATGAATCGAAAGAACTCTAGCAGAATGATGATAGCAGCTCGGCCTTCAATTGGGAGCCTGCAAGCCGCTGACTGGCTGAAAGCATAGACACTCCCAGGATGAAGAGAACGCACCTATATTGCGCCCAGTTGATCCCTTCCTACATGCAGGGCTTGAAAGTGGAACAGCGTTGGCTGTGAAGTGAGTTGAGAGCGCGATGTGCCTGCACCTCAGAGCTAGTGTGTTAGTCCAGACAGTTGAGATGCCCACTCTTAGGCCTGGCAAATTTCGCTCTTTCCTTGATGGGTGAGAGGATGGCTTCGGAAGGTGCTGCCTGCCTTCTCGAGTACGAGCAACTCGGACTTACCTCCTTTGTCTGCCGGTGCTGGGGGCCAGGGGCAAGGGGAAGAGCGGCTCGGAAAAGGAGGGGTGGGAGAACCCATTCTGATGGAGCCGAGGAGGGGTACCAGTATCACCAAGCGTTTCCACAACAGAAAGTTGGCCCGGCCCTCGTAACGGGAAGATTGTCGAGGAGGGACACAATGCGCAAGAAGGAAGGTGCGAAGGAAAAGGGTGAAGAAAATGGAAAAAAGAGAAGAAAAAACAGAAGGAAGGCGCAGAGCACGCCTCGGACGCTCGGAACTGCACACAGGAATACTGCCACCAGATGTGCAAAGCCTACAAAGCACAGGTCAATGAGTGAATTACCCCCGAACGAATATATGGAGCCTCGATTTTGAATCAACGTTCTGGCTTCGATTTCGATTTGTGCAATGGGAGGGTACATGATGCTGCTGTCAACAAATAGTCCGTTTGATCGGGGAGTCAGACGAACATTATCGATCCAGCAACAGAAAGCACTCAATGTGGAACACTAGAAAGGGAAGTGAATTAAACCACAAAAAAAAAAAAAAGAAAGAAAAAAAAAAAGACAAGAGGAAAGAATGCAAAGGGGGACGGCAGCAAGCTGGGGCAATTCCAAGCTGCCGCACCTTCTTCGTACATGAACCATCCAGATGAACCCACACCCCTGTTCCTGAAGTTAATAGGCTTCTAGTTCGCGCAGCCGGATAAGCTGAGGGTACACAAGAAATACCCTAGTGGGGAGAGTTGTGTTAATAGCCCCAGGGGTACCCGGGTGTACAGCACTTGAGCTCCCCCAATTCACTTTCGCAATTGCCCTCAATGATGGATCGGGGCTCCGGCTAGGGCTTGGGCTCAAGACACGACGAGAAAGCCGCATGAGATTATCTTGATCGCGCCTGCCGTCGTAAAATACTTGTAGCCTCCTGTGGGCCTCGATGCTCCAGTGCCGAACTGCGGCCGGAGGCGAGCTCATTATAGATAAGTAAGTCGTCATCGCGTCTGACTGACTACATTCGAATTGGCTAAACCCCCGCAGACTTGCAGCAACAGCCCAAGCTCTTGCGCCAACTTACTACTAATAGCAGGACCATGAAAATACTTCGCTGAAGTACGAAGTATTATCCATCGAGAGAACGGGTATGGTTTGCGGGAAGCCAGCAAGACAAGGCAAGGGATTTGTCGAGCCAGGCGGCCCCACCATCTTGACCCGGCCGAACAAGGCATGCAGACAGCGCAGGCCCGTAAAATGGGGGAGTGGGCAGGCCCAGTCCCCCGAGGAACGAAGATCAGGAGAAGCCAAGCAATCATTCACGCTTTCTTCCACCGCCTTGGGGGCGATTAGCAAGTTTCTTCACTCGGGACAGATCATCACCTAATCCCGTTGGGGTATGGCATGGTTATGGACTAACAACCCGTCCGCCCACCGGTATTATTATCCAGTCCTGCATGTCTGCCCAGGCCTCCTCCCAGTCATACCCTCCTCTATTTTCCCGTCCCCTCTTGTTCATTTTTCCCTTCATTTTCTTTTCTTTTCTTTTCTTCTTTTTTGTTGCCCGGTTCTTAACTTTCTAATGGGATTCAGCCTCTATTTTTTTCTCCACCTTATCTTTCCAATTCCCTTTTTTTTCTTTTTTTCTTTTTTCTTTCTTTTCTCCCATTGAAAAATGAAGGGGGTGAGGGGTGTTGACAGAACTGATCAACTAACCCTACTGTTAGTGGACCCAAAGACGGAGACTCTGCGTTGTAACGCAGAATTTGAAGAGAGAGATTGCGTGCTCAAGACGGCTATCGTGCAAATCGTGCACATACCTAACCATGTGTGAGAGCTGGGAATGAAACGCGAGATCTAGCTGCCGGTAAACCTCGCCCAGACATGAAAACCGCTGGTCGGTGGACACAACCCCTAGGACCGGTCTCTTACACCACCCTCGATTGCGCTCAGGGACAGGCAGGGTTGCGCCCAAGAGAATTTTTAGGAACATGGAAAGGCCAGCCAACCGTCCAACGAGCTCATGTCCTCCTGAGCCGCCTGTCATTAGGCTAGGGAACCTTGGTTCTCTTCCCAGGTATCGGGTATACAAGAACGCAAGGTTTGAGCGGTGTGTGAGAGAGAGAGAGAAAGAGTCAACAAAACGAAAGGTGGGTTTTTATCAGCCCAAGGCCTAGATCAAGCCGAGGGGAAAGAAGCAGGCCCGAAAGGAACCAACCATCCTCCCATGTATTTTTCACCAAATGGCACTCTTCCCTACGGCAGAGGAAAGCAGAACATCCGCGAGGCTATCGGGAGGTGCGGCAAGCGGCCGGTGTCATTTCTGACAAGTGATTTTTTCGGGTCCCTTGACCCTTCATGGACAAGGGGGATAGATAGCAAGAGGGGGAAAAAAAGAAAAAGAGAAAAAAAAAAAAAAAGAAACGAAAGATGAAGTCGACACAGATATGCGAAGGAGGATGCATTTGCATATGCGTGCTGAATCTGCTCACAGTGGAAGCCATAGAGTCATCTTGCCATCTATCAGAGATCAGAGGGTGTCTATCGGCCCACTGAACTGATAATAATATGCACACCAACTTCAATGTTGAGGCTACACTAAAAAACCCCTACCAATTCCACCATCATCTGTTTGGGCGAGTATGGCTAAGGCGCATTTTTCGAAATCGTCAAGGCGGATCTAGGGACTAGCGGTGTCGGCTCGAGGCCCCCTCACCATTGGGCCATGGTTTACTCTATTCTCCGTTCCTCTTCTATCCTTTGATTCTCGAAGTGCACAGGATTTCTTGCGGGCTACACTCGGCCGACGCGTCTCCGTGGGAGGAGCATGGCAACACGTTTGGGAACCCAAGAGATCAATGTTTGATAAATTCAAGCCAACACGATGTGACCACACTTTAGCATTCCACAAGCATTAAACTAAACCGAGCACGCCAAATCTGGTCACTCTGAGAAATGAGTGGCCGGAAGAAGAGAGCCAGGATAATGACGCAGCGTTGGGGGCGTGGGTGTAGCGGCTGGAGAGTCCCACTGACATGAGGACCCGTGTGGCTCTGAGACCTGGCCGAGGCAAGAACCCAAGTCCGGCACGACAGATACTCCACCCCCTGCCTGCCTGCTTGCCTGCCACTGAGGAGTCCCTCCAGGACAAGCAATATCATGCGTTGAAGATGAGGGTTTGTGCCCATGGCACTCCGTTGATCGGCTGCGAGTAAGGGTAGGCTGGATGAGAAGAAATGAGCAAAATGAAATGTCCAGGCTCCTCGGAGGGGAGACAGGGCAACTGTTCTCGAGCGAGGAGATCAGGCCGGTATGATCTACGTCTAGGGCAATGGCGTTTGCAGAGACCGGATGAACACCCGGGCTGAATCCACCTGGGTTCTATTATCAAGAAGCCAACGCATCCGTGGATGGCACGATTGATTGCTTGATGATCTGTGGAACCTGGCAATGTGCGGCCGGACAAGCTTGATACATCACCTCCATTCAAGGCAATATTTCCGCAATCAAAACCATCAATTGATAACTTTAAGATTGCACTGGTCCCAGAGATACCTTTCTGGTGGCGCTCTGGACATTACAGGAGAGGGAGTGTTATTTCGACAACATCCATAGATCCGTCCGTCCTATGGAGGTGAGAAGGTTTTCCCCTCCCTGTCCTCATTTTCCCTTATCCACCTGCCCGCGTGGCGCCACGGGCTGGGCCCCATGCTGTGACCTTATTGGGCAAGATTTTGGCCTGGCGGTGGGGAGGCGCTAGAAGCATTCGGGAAACCAAAAGGAAGGGACAATCTATTTCGCACCAGTGTGCCTTCCTGGAACCAAAAGTCGTGCCTGCCCTCAACCTTCTGCAAGCCGTCCGTAACTAGGAAGCAACGACTCCGTTTGACCGCCCTCTTCAAAAAGGAAAAAGGAGAAACAAAAGAGAGATAATATGTCCTTCCAATCATCGCCAGCGGACGGATGGGGCAACCGGTAAGAGCTCAACCCCTCATGGTGACGAGGGGCGCAAGGACCGATCTGCCGCTTTCACACGTGCGTCAAGATGAGCTGCCGTGCTCGCCTGAAGTCTTGGTGACCACCCCGTTCAAGCACGAAATGGAACTTGAAGCGTGTTGGTCCGATAGCTGGTACTTCCCCCAAAGACGCTACGTACTCGCAACCACTCGAACCCAAGCGCTGCCCCTGGGTACCGAATGGTATCCGCAAGTGGTTGGAAACTGGCATCGCCTTTCCCTTTCACGAGAAGCAACATTGATTGATGGATGCACCTTCTCCTAAGCTTCCCAGCAAACCTCCCAGCGCAGACTCCCACCAGAAGGTATATCATAGGTCGACCGGGGCTCCTTCTAAGTCCCTTACGGATGCCGATGCCCAAAAGCTTCCCCACTGTTTAGCGAGGTGTAAGCTTGATGGGAGGGAAGGGGTTCTCTGTAACGGCCACCTTCTGGAAGGCGCTATCTTTCTCGCCTTGGAATGAAAGCCTCGGCGTCGTGGTAAGAGCCGATCATTTATAGTACATCGCTCACTATTGATGGTTGATGGGTGTCTCTCAGCTCTCTTACCCTTGCTAGAGCTTTCAAGTGCTAGGCCAGTACTTTGGTGTCTCCCCATCTTGGATTCTTCCGCCCTTTTCAACGCCTCCGTTGATGGGAGAAATCATGCTGGGCTAGTATCATTCTGACCGGGTACCCCACAAAAGCTTAAGATGGCATTTGTTCCCATCTGAGCAACCCGAGGCGGTACACCGCAGCCCTTGATTTATCGCGGGGTGAAGAGATAACTCGTGTTCCCTATCAGATATCGAGCCGATGGGCCCGATAACAACGTCCCGAGTCATGGCATATTCCTCTTATCGTCGACAACAACAAGAGTACGTGAAGCAGACCATTAAAAAGTGAGAGGTACCCCGATACTACTTACTTGTAGTTTACGTTAATGGATTCGATCTCTTGAGAAGTACCCAGCTCTCGGAATTGCTAATTCTACTCGATTGGGCCATTCAAGAGGTTGTGATAATACTTCTAGAATCGCCAACGGTTGAGAACAATATCGTTGTTCAAAGCCAGTCTTGCCGGTCTGTAATATTAGCATGCCATGTGCGGGAGAGCGTTCTGACATGGCCAAGAACACAGCCATTACCCACATGGCGGTGGCGCTTACAGGGAGACCCCTGTCCATGCGCAAGATGACGATGCTGCAAATTCGAGGCTAATGAGGCTCTCTGCAGCGTTTAGCTTCTTCTCAATACTACTCTGAGTCGCCTAGAAAATTAATAGAATGCTGACAGAACCCAGCGGCTGCGAGTAGGAGTGTAGCAAACAAGGGGGCCAAAACGGCTTTGCATGTCGAAATCACAAGGGAAGAAGTAAACCTCAAAATCCTTATCGCGGCGTTGGGTTGGCCTCAGCAAAGCCTTGCAGAACATGTAGGCTGGCCGGAAGCTTACTGGTCCGTACCAAACTCTGCCGCAGGAAATTTGTTCATAGCGTCCAGCAGGGTGTTCACCACCGAGCACGAGGCAAGGGAGTTGGCACTGGATGTAATATGGTGAGGATCCCTCAGAGCCCGTTCCCCTCGCAGATGATCAGACGCTTTCATCAATAAACTGCGGCCTGCGGGCGGCTCAACCAAATATTCATCTACAGCAAGAACTTCGCAGACTAGATTGGGGGTGGGGTAGGCCCCAAGACGACTTAGATGTTTCGCGACATCGACTGATACAAAACGGGTCTTATTAAGAAAGGGGAGGGAGAAACGGGGAGTGAGGAAAAAGAAGAAGAGAGAGAAGAAAAGAATTCCAAAGAGGGACCGGAATGGTGCAAAGTCTTCACTTCACGTGGAGGAACCGACCAGGCCACGACCCAATTTTTACTTCGACAATGGACACAAGGCGAGAATAAGGGGCCGGGATTAAACAAGGACATAACTTTGAATGTCGGAGAAAAGTTCATTACTGGTTCCATCCATGAATCGATGCAGGTTTTATTGGTATTTGCCTGATCGGATCCAGCGGCCAAGCAAGCGCTCGACCAAAAATGGTTCCCGGACTTCTAACAAACGAACGCCAGCCAACAAATTCGCCATTCCCGTCAACGTGGTTATCCTGGTCTCAGGGGGCCCCTCTAGGTATAGCGGCGAGAGATCAATGTATTACGAGGTACAGAGATTCGAATCCATCCAAGCACGGGACCTTGGAGACCACTGGTCAATGGTTTGCCAATCGCAGATCGCTGTCCCCTCCCTCTTGACAGTACTAATTTTACAGCCACGCCGTGGAGGTGTCGGCTTAGAAAAGAAGAAAGCCGCATGGGTCAATCTGATTCGAGAAGGGCCCGGGAAGCGCAGGTCAGAGCAAATTATTTCGGATCAATGGGCCAACTGCCGATGTGCAAGTGATCATGGGATGGCTAGGCCGCTGTCGGCCACTGTTCGACCCGTCGTTAACGTATTGCCACGCTCGAGATCTCTGGATCGCTGAGCTCCTCCTGCCCCTCTTCCCCTTTTTCTCGTCCTCCCCCGTCTCTCCCGTTCGAAACACCAGTAGACTCCTCCAGGCTAGATAGACCTGAATCACCATTGGGGTAATGTTGGAGTAAATGGGGTAATGACACCCTGTGGACTCCACCCCTAGGTTTGCAGGTCACAAGGGAGCCTTTTGACGATGTCCCGAAGCCGACCTTGATTCATGGCATGGAGAAGTGGCTCACATAAAAGTGGTTGCGAGGCGCTCGTTCAACTACTAGCCACCCTCATACCTCATGGCCGCTTATTAAAGAAAAAAATCAGAGAGCGGAACCCAAAGATTTCTCTGGTAAGCACCATTTATTCTGTTGCTGCCAACCTACGCTCGGTAGGCCTTTCCCGGTGCAATGCTGGAAATGAGCAAGAGCAGGGCCTTGTGTGAATACTACGGGCTCGCCTCTCTGGAAAGGTACCGCGAACTGGCATTGACTCTTTCTGGAAAGGATATCTGCAGTACAACGGACAGGGGGCTCACGAATGGAAGGGTAAATCGCATCGGTGGGGGCAGCGGCGCACCGGAGTCAACAACCATGGGCGGACCTGGTGGCGGCCTTCTGTCGTCACATCTCATATCCTCGCCGTTCCGCCCTCGAAGCTATGACAACAAGGTCCATCTCCAAAAGGAGGCGTGGTGGTGGTTTCACGGCATCCCGCCTCGTTGAAATGTCACTCAATTCGGGTTGTGGAGAAGGCATCATTTGTGAAGTGCCTGGCGACTGAGGACCAACACCCAGGCGGGTCCTTGTCTCAGCTGTTACCGCTCCTGTATCCTCCGCAGTGCCGGTGTTTATTCAAGTATCTAGAAAAGGGATGCTGGGGAAAGTATTCTTCAATGTACGCACCGCGAACGACTCCACCAGAGAGCGGGAGAAAGTGCGAAGCGGTGGCAGCGGCGGGATTGTATTCCCTCTTGGAACGACTTCTCGGGACGGGTGTTCCTCCGGCATTGCCAAGTTTGAAGGTTGGGGGTGGATTTGCCACTTGCCCAGGCGAGGATCTCTCCCTTCAAGGAAGGGTATGTATGGGTCTTGGGTTCTACAAAGAAAATTCGGCTAGGGGCTGCTGGGACTAACCTCATCCCGATATCTTGATGCCGCATCCGTTACGGCCCCGGAATCAAGGGTAAGGGTTTTCACAAGGGGCGATTCTCTCTGGAAAACAGATCTGAAGAGTAAGGAGAATGGAGTAGAAGGTAACGTAGAGGGAAAGCAAAGGGAGAAGAGGGTGCGTCTAGGTGTGGCAAGAGCGCTTTCTCGTAATCTGGAGGCGAGATGAGTTTCCTCCAATGCATGGACACACAACCGCAGCTCGCCAAGATGCAAGAGGCGTTTGTTAGATTCACACTCATGGCCTCGCGTCTGTATGACGATTTGGGCTTGAGGGGAGGGAGGCAAGGGGGCGTGGCGCCACGGCTGACTAGTACGGTACATGGCGGGCCACGAGAACTCGACCATTTTATACATTTGGGGCTATCATCGGCAGGAAGGTGGGAACCACTTGTATATCCTCACTATCTCGACGGCACGGGCCCCAAACAAGAACGGCATTTCTTCAGGCGGCAGAGGGTTGGGGTCGGTTCTCACATACCGGTATGCCTCTCGCGCATATGTCTGCCCGGTGCCGTCCAGGTTTCCATCCGGGAATGCACAGGGTGTTCGGGTGCATCTCTCAACCTCGTCTTCTAGAGCCTCAGAGTTGCGGTTCTACACCGACGGTAAACGCGGTGAGGAGCGAGTGGTCTCGACCAGTGCTAGACTGCATCGTGCCACCCGACTCGGGCCCAATCATGGGCCCCGTTGTTATCGTGAGATTCCCCCACCGGCACCGGGAGCTCGAGGACAGCTTGAAACATAGCGCGACGGCGAGGAGCATGGAGAATGGGAATCGACAGTTCAATCAAGCGCAGTGTGACGAGATGGCGAAGCGGATGGCGTATGCGCCTGTGCTGCGCAGAGTCGGTGAGGTGAGAGGCCAGCCAGCGAGGTGCGCAATCTACCAAGCAGCGGCGAAAGAACAACACACCCCCTTTGTTTCTTCTTTATTCGTTTCTTTCCTCCTCTATTTCTTGTTCGGTGCGCCCGCCATATTAATACATTGTTGGGGATGCAAATCTACTTCAACGCAGACAAGGCCCCGTATATTACCAGCAGCGTGGATTTCTCATTTAAACGAAAGCCGGTCGGTTAGCTAGCCACGCTTCCCTGCGCGCGCGCGCCGAGTATCCTTACACGACCGTCGGTGCGCTCAAGCGTTGTCGGTATGTGAGCCCGTGCATTAATTGGTATTGCGTAGGTATTGTGACGGTTCGTCGGATAGGCAACTTGTTTGCGACGGCGGATTCGGGCCGGAACAACTTTGATTGATCCCCTTGGCGGGTTTGAACATCTCTCCGCTCACAAAAATGCTGTTACCCAGCTATCACCAGCTATACCGAGGTACTATCTTACCTTCTTTTCTTTTTTGTCCGGTTTTTTCTATTATTCTTTTTCCAAGGGTAGAAGGCTTCCATTTCCTTCCCGTTCCCCCGAATGTGATCTTTGCCCTTTCAGGCGAAGAGGCGCGATTGGAGATTGAGTCCTCTCGTTCTTTCTCTTCCCATTTTCACCCTGCGCCATTCGTTCCCCACAAGAGAATGCGCCCTGAACAGGCTTACGCTTGTGGTGACGTCTTGAAATCTGTTCTTCTCTCTAGCACGGATATATGAACGGGCGCACTGCTAAAAGGTTACATGGGCTCCGCCTGTCATCTCACACACTCTCTCACCGCCAGATCGACTCGTGTCCAGGCTCCCTGTTCTTTGTGGACTCTCGGAGGTTGGTTTCCTGAGCCGGTAAAGGCAAGGATAGACAAAGAGGAGATGGTGAAAGAATTCGGTGAAAAATTCCTTTCCGCAGTCCCGACATTCCTTCTACTCCTGTTTCGTGCCGAAATTTGGGCGAGAGCAGGAAAGCAGCTTCTTACAATTCGTGGGCATGTTAGTATACGCTAGAGTAGGATCGCGCGCAACCCGATCACTTACACTAGCTCGTTTACCTTGCCATTGAGCAACCAACCCCTGGTCATTGCGGTCCTGCGGCGTCTCGGCTCCCCATTTCCCCCTTCCTTCTTTTATCCTCTCTTTCCTTTCTTTTTCGGGAAGCTTCCGAAATAGCTTCGTATCAGATAGCGAGCGTGTCCTTTTTTTTTTTTCCTCTGGCGATTTCACGTGCTAGGGCAAGAAGAAGCTGCTAGCTCTGCATATTCACGGGGACGAACAGTCATATTCCCAAGCTTAATATGTAGTGATGGTTTTTGGGCTGGCCCTATCCCCCATTCTGCAGATCCAAGATAGGGACCATGTCCCTCATTGCCTTATCGCTCTCATTCTATCCATCTGGCTCGCGTTCTCTACCGAAGAAGGAAGCAGTGTGGCCTGAAATGGAACAAAGGAGTGCATACAAGCGCACTAGTCTCCGCCCGTCAACCCTCGTTTCATCTCGGTATGTCAAGATTCGCGAGGAATGCTAGGAACAGTCGGGGACCAATGACGTTTAGCGAAGGAAAAAGAGGGCCATGACAACCTCGGTATTCTCTAAGGGGTTTCCCTATTCTTTCTCTTCTTGGCATCCTGGAGGAGGAGGGAAACGCTAACAAAAGAGGCAGCGACTTGAGAAAAGGGTCTGCGACGCACGTCCTGACGTCGAGGGGTGGGGATAGCTATCAAGGTGCCCTCGCCGGAACCCTCGCGAAATAAAATAAAATAAAATAAAAAGAACAAAAAGACTGCTACACGAGGCATGTACGGGCTCCCGTATGTTTCACCCTATTCTTGATTTCTCGGTACGGCATATGGGGCAATGAGGGACCGCTATTAAAGGGAAAGATGAAGAAAAAAAAAAGAGAGGGGCCCAGGGAGAGGGAGAGTCGGTGAGAGTCGGTGAGAAATCTGCACCGCGCTCCACGCCCCCTTCTTCTGGCGTCATGTCCGAGATGAAGCAGATCAACGCATCCGCCGACCCATGACGCATCGACGAAATCTCACACCGGGAAATGCGAAGGGGCAAGCTTCTTCCTTTTTTACTTTTTTTTTTTTTTTTTTCCTTCTTCTTTCTTTCCCCTAATACTCCCTTTCTTCTCCCTGAACAACTCCCCATTCCTCCGGTCCGAGAAGTGGACCGGGGCGTGGCACAACAGCACCGCAGGGCGCCATCGGGTAGTTCCGGCGCGCTCCGCTGGGGAGGAGAGAGAGTGTGATGATGATGGAGTTTGTTGAATCAGCGCTGGACTTTCCTGCAGTGGCTTTTTTTGGGCCTTTCCTTTGTTTTCTTTTTCTCCCCTGCCCTTATCTTTTTAGCTCGCTCTATGTGGCTGGGAGCTTGGGGCGCAGATGACGAGCTATCACGAGCTACGGCTCAACGCAGGGAATCGAAAAAAGAAGATATCGTTCACCGCCGAGGAGGATTAGGAAAGACAAGAGAGATATCATGTCAGAATGGCGTGCGCGCTTCCTCTCCCTCTTTTCCCATTGTCAAAGTCTGAGAGCCTCTGAGAGCCTGCTGTCGAGTTTGGAGAGTGATAAACCAACAAAGAGAAAAGAAAAAAGGAAGCAAGTGGGTTTGGCGAAAGGTGAGGCTGGACCGCTACATGCACCGTGGACAGGAACGAATGGGGGACCCTAGCTTTCTTGATATCTGATTGCATCAAGGGGATGCCGTTTCCCGCTTTCTCTGCTTGTGTCTGCTTCCATTCTCGCATCTCTACTCTTCTGCCCTCTCACTCAGGTGCGAATCCACGAGGGGCGCAAACTGCAGGTAATCAAGCTCCTTAGCTGGAAAAGCTCAGGATAGGGCTTACCGACAAAGAGGGGAGAGAAACAGAGTTTAGGGAATTCATCATCACCTTATGTCCCCGAGTACTTCATCGTGTTCTCTCGAATTCTGTTTCTTTGTTCCGTAGCACTACAACGAGGCTGAAGAGATATACACACCTCCACTTCTAGCAATAAGCGACAAGACTGGGTCTCTGCGACCACCTCTCCTCGCCTCCGTCCTCGTCCTCATCCCCGTCCTCGTCCCCGTCCTCGTCCCCGTCCTCGTCCCCACAGCCACCCTTCCCCTCCCGTGGCCCGCCCCGACTCAAAACGTGCTCGTCGCAAGCCGGCTCGCCGCGTTCCTAGCATCGATCCTGTCCTCGTCATCCTCCTCTCCCACGCCTGGCAGCGGGGCTGTCCACCGAGGCCTGCGCGGCCCTGGGCGGCGGCGCTGTCGGGGTCCGTATCCTCGGGGACGCCACCGGCAATCATGCTGCCGGAGAGCCCCTATTGAGATCGGTGCGCCGGGGCACGCCGCTCCAAGCATCGCCCTTGGGGCCCTGGCTCGCGGCAAGGTTCGACCTCCGAGCCGGAGGGTGAGCCTCTCGACCGAGGCGGCTCAGGCCTCCGGATGAATCAATGGAGCGAATGTCGCCTCGGACGCTCTCGAGGAGGGCAAGGGTCCTACGCTCGGCCTCGATCTCGCGGAGCACGTACTCCCTGATGCTCAAGCGGAGATCCGCGGCCGTGCGTGTGAACCACTTGCGCTTCTCGTGGACGAGGTTCCGCGTCACCGTAGTCGTCTTCTGGTACAGGTGAGTCTCGTTCGTGCGGGCCTCGTCGAGGGCTGCGATGGCCTCATCGACCTTTTCGCGGCGAACGGTCGACGAGGCCTTGAGTCGGTCGGCGGCGTTGAGCCGGCTTCGCGTGTTCTCCTGTGCCTGGAGAAACTCGCGGATGAGGATCTGACGGTTTGTCAGGCTCTCCTTGACGATGAAGGCGTCCTGAGAGTGGTACTGGAACGGGTCGCCAATGGTCGTGGCTTGGGCGGTGGCTTGGGCGGCGTGGTAATCGCCGACGGCCTGAACCACCTTTCCGAGTTTGCGGTAAGCGTTGGCCAGGCCCTGGTGCGGCTCCTGCACATTCATGCCGCCGAGCTTGACTCCGAAATCGGCCTCGGCAAGTCCAAGTCCTGTTACACGACAAGAAAAAGAAGCAAGCAGAAATTGATGATTAGCCCGCCGTCATTTCAATAAATTTAAAACAATGAACCTTGGTACAGACGCAGAGGCGTCCGATTAAAGGCAAAAGGGGGTGGAGGCGATCGAGATACAGTGCTGCACATCTTGCGAGCTTCCATGTATCTCCGGTGTACACGATATGTATCGGGGGTTTGGGTAAGAAAGGGACTTGATAGTGCATTCAATGCTGTGTAGGTTGGGCGTGCATATAGAATTCATCGTGGAGACAACTAAAAGGAAAAGGAGGCTGCGCTGCGCTGCGCTACTCCATTGATAAACTTACCCCTTCGAGACTTGACCATCTTGTCAACCTTGTGTCCAGCATCCATGGTGCCAAGATAAAACAGCTTCACGATAGGCCGGGCATCGGCAAGCTCGGGAGTGTCATCGGGAGGGGGCAAACTGCTTGAGGATCTTTCGCCTGACGCCGGTGGCGGGCTGCTTCATCTTGACCATGGGGCTGTAGCCGAAATCGCTTTCAACAAAAAGGACCATCTCATCATCTCTCATCAGGGTCTCGCTGCTGCAGACGTAGCTCAACCACCGCTGCATGAGAGCCTTGACACGGACTTCGTCCTCCTCTGTGCCGGCGCCGGCGGAGGTCAACGCAGCCGGAACGGCGGGAACAAAAGCTTCGGGATTGGCGGATATAAGGTGCTCCGCGAGCTTGACAAATTCTGAATGCAGGCGACGAACATCGCGGTACTGGGTCGTGCGGAACCTCGGAAGGTTGGTCTGTTTTTTACGATTCCGTTAGCGCTCTGTTTCCCAAGGCCCAAGAATCAACTGTTTCCCTTCCCTTTCCCTCCCACCCCCTTGCCACCGCCTCCTTTGACTACTTCTTCTTCTTCACGTCGCGTATAGGGAGTCCTAAAGTGCAGCACGAGGGCCGGCCGGCACAGCCAAAATTATTCACGTACATGGACATCGAACCTCAAAAGAGGATCCTTTTGCCTACTCGCTCAAGCCCCGTTATTTTGGCCTGTAGCCGAGGCTGGGGAACAGTCGGCTTCCGCGCCTGCTCTTCGGTTTGAGACGCCTGCCCCGGCTCCGCCGGCCGCGACGGGCCCTGGGGCTTCTGTGGAGTTGCCGGAGGTTGTTGGTCGTCAACCTCGTGGTGGGCCGCGATGCCCTCGGAATCCCTAGCGGTGGTGCTCGAGGCAAAGTCGGGGTAGTCACCAGCATCGGAGTCGGCGTCGTTAGGGCGGAAGCCTCGGCGCTCATCCGCCTCGTCTGGCTCGCTCAGATTGCCCGTATCATTCCTCGGGGAGCGCCGCCTTCCGCATTGGCGTCATAGCCAAAGGGAGTCTGGCTTGCGTCGTCGAGCGAGCTGTAGCTGGTCGGGCGGGCTTGACGGGGGAATGGCCGGGGAGCCCCAGGGGAGGCCTCGTCGTTGTCGTTGTGCATAGAACTATAGTCCATATCGAAGGGGGCCGGACGATGCTTGGCTACGGAGTTGTCGTGGAAATCGGGATGGATATATAGCTGCCTAGTTATTTCCTGTTTGCTTCGAAGGCGGTCGGTAGCTTAGAGATGCTAGCAACAGACAATCCCGGGACCAAGCTCCAAAGACAAGGTGGATTAATTAGCACGTGGAGCGGCCGGCACGTTCAAGAGGTCTCTGGTGCGAATTAATGATCCGAGTGCAAGCTGTGGGAAAGCCGCGGGATATAGCCTCGTGTAACCCAGCAGAGCACAGGGTGCGCAGGAGGGGTTGAGGAGAGAAGAATATTACTGCGGCGAACGAGATCACGCAGCTTGGTGCGCTGGGGCGTGCCGATGCGACGAGGGGCTCTTGGATGGCGGAAAGGCGAGGCAGCAGCGACGTGGGATTGCGCACGCTTTTGGGGAGTGGGAAGATGGTGACGACGTGGGAAAGAGGCCGGATTTCGTGGGAAGGAGAAAGGGAGCGTGGCGGGGAAATCATCGGAGCTTGCCATTGGTTGGATTGATTACTACTGGCGTTGTATTCTTGTACATGCTCGTCGTGACCCTCCAACGACGCTTCTAGTGTCCCCCATCATCATCAGCTTTGCTCGCCCTGTGCCGAATGCAAGCGACGCACACTCGACAGCCAGCGACTAGGCCTCTAGAATACCAACCCATATCGTCGTCTGGAATTCTATACTATTTCCCCTCAAGCAAGGAAAGGGCACAACCCGGGTCCCGTGCTACCCCGCCACCCTTGTCCTAGAGGACCCGTAACCTTGATTTTTCAAGCAGCAAGCTAGCCCACCAAAGCTCTTCCTTCGTGCCCCTCCCTCTCTTATAGATGATCCTAGAGCCACCTCCTCCTCTCCCTCGCCTCTCGATATAACCCGCCGCAGCCCCAATCGCTGTTTCTCCCCGCGCCGCTGGCCGGCCGTGCAATCATGCCTCCATTATCCGCCCCCGACGTCCCCCATGGCCGACGAGCGCACCGCCTTCGACCTCAACCTTCAGCACGGCCACAAGGACCTGGTCCAGGCCGTTGCCTTCAACACATATGGGGATCGTTGCGCCACGGGCTCCGTCGACGGCAAGATTCGCGTCTTCAACCGCCAAAAAGATGGCGTGTGGAGGGTCTGTGATACGTGGAGCGCCCACGGAGGCGAGATATTAGAGGTTAGCTTGCTCTCGTGGAGGGGAGAAGAAGGGGGGTTGTTACCAGCCTCTCCTCCTCGAACCTACCTTGCACCCCTAATCCCCTATAGTCTATATTCTCCAAGGCGTCTTTTCTCCGATTATCGCAAAAGCTTACTCTGAACCTATCCTCCCCCTTCCTTAGCTCCAATGGCTCCCCGCAACAATCTACCCCAACCTCATCGCCTCCCTCGGCATCGAGGGCCGCTTCAAGCTCTGGGCCGAAGACCCCTCGGCGCCCCCGGCCGCCGCTTCGCCTCCCCCGGTCCAAGGCGGCCTTCGACACCCGCTCCTCCAAGGGCTCGCCCTACCGTTCCTTCTCCATGAAGCACATTGAGCCCACGCGCCATACCTACCTCGCCCTCCTCGACGCCCACGGCCGCCTCACCGTGTACGAGTCCGACGAACCCGAGCAGATCGCCGACTGCGTCGCCGTGGACGAGTTCTCCGTCTGCCCGCGCCCCGCCCGGGGCGAAGAAGTCTCCTTTCGCGTGCGCTTCGACCCCAACCCCGAGGTCTGCTACAACGCCGTTCGCGCCGGCGTAGCTGCCGACAGCATCACCCTCGTCGTCGCCGCCATGACCACCGTCAAGGTCTATCGCTGCCGCGACGTCGTCGCCACCTCCACCTACGGCGTTCAACAGTCCAAGAAGGAGTTTTACCTCGCCACCGAGATTGACGCCCACCGAGGCCTCGTCCGCGACGTCGCCTGGGCCCCGGCAACATTCGCGGCTACGACATGATCGCCACCGCCTGCCAGGACGGCTTCGTCCGCGTCTTCAGAATCGACACCCCCTGCACTCCTCGTCTTCCTCCTCCTCCGCCGCCGTCGCGACGGGCAAGTCCTGGTCCGTCGCCGAACTCACCTCTTCCCACCACTACAGCCACTCCGCCGCCTCCAACACAAACGGCACCTCCACCCCACAGGGCTACCAGACGCCTCCAAACCCACCGCCGCCTCCGGCCTCAGCGCCAGCCTCCTCGCCAAGCCCAACACCGCCACCCTCGACCGCCCCCGCCCTCTCCGCGCCGTCTCAGACCGCCGCCTCCTCCCACCAAAACCACGCGGACCGCAGCCACCTCTCCCCGACGACGTGCCGCACACCACCCGCGAGCTCTCCCGCCTCGACTCCCACCGCACCCCCGTTTGGCGCGTCTCCTTTGACGACGATGGTTTCATTCTCGGGAGCGTCGGCGACGACGGCCACCTCGTCTGCTACCGCCAGATGCCCTCGGGCCTGTGGGCGAAGAGTAGCGAGTTGGGCATGGTCAAGGCACGCATGATGGCCCCTTGAAGAGAACATCCGAGCAGGCGACTCGAGTGCGCGGCCGAGGGTGCCCTTTTGTCTTTTCTTTTTCTTTTTTTTTCTCTTGGGTGTTTTCGGGGTGTTCTTTTGAGTGGAATGGCGTCAGAACATGACCTTTTATCAGTTCTTGCTGGATGTCTCTCCAGATTTTCTACTTTATTACATTTACCATTCCGGCTTGTAGATGTTTCTTCATAGTCCACAAAGGAGTAGAAACCGGGACGTAGGGGCCAAGGGGCCCGGCGTTTTATAACACCCTTGGTAAGGGCACATATCATCGCACTTTATTAGCAAGATGCATTTTTCTTCTCGCATCCACTCAAACTTGCCCGTCCTACTCTCTCTCCCCCCATGATGACTACTCTCCATCTCTCGCCGCAGGTTTCCAGATACCGCAGTACAGAGAGACTTTCGTGTCCATTTCTTCGACACTAGATAGAAGAATGAGCATATTTAAGAAAGCAAGAAACCAGTCAACCGAGGTCGACATCCCGGCCGGATAGACCCTGCGCCGTCAAGGGAAACAGAACCGGCCAGGTTGCGAGCGGTGGATGCCATATGGGGACCAACAAACAACTCTGGATGACTTCGGTTTCCACGCACATTGTCTAGCACTAATCACACTCATTCGCCAAGCGACTCTTCAAGGTAAGAATGTCAGGAGGTCAAAGAAGAAAAAGAAGAAAACGTCTATTTAATACCAATGGACCATGATAACCACCGTCCCCGCTACAGCCTTGATTCCTCCCGTTAAATGAGAGACAAAAGGAGAAAAAGAAAGACAGTGGGGGAAAAAGGACAAAGGAAAGGGGGAAACAGAGATGATACCCTCCCCCAAAAACTCCCAAACACGTTTTGGGCGATGAATCAAAGAGAATAAATACACGCTTTCTCCTTTTCTATCCATCTTCCTATCTCTCGCCCGCTGTTTTCACGTGCACTTCGCTCTTTAGATGTTGCCTTTCCCAGCCTATGCGCCGTCTCTGTGCCGCTTTACCGATCTAGACTAACCTTGATGTAGGGAACCTCGACATCGTTTCCGGCAACGTCATCCACCACAACCTCAAAGATGACCTCCGTTTGATGCTCGGGAATCTTCTTCTTCGAAACCGTCTCCACGAGGGCGCTTAGCTTCATGGGCATCTTGTCCTTGATCTTCGCCTGAGGCATAAAGGCAGCGTACAGCAAGCTAACGCCAGAGCTGAGCATGGTGATGGAAAGACCCTTCTTATCAAAGGTGTCAATGAGCTCCCGGAGGGTAACATCCTTGATCTCGAACCGGTCCCAAATCTTGTCGAGCGAGACGTCACCATCAGGCCCCTTGTACACAACCTTGCCGCTCTGGATCGGTTCGCTGAAGCCAAAGAATGGCAGCGCAAGGTTGATAAAGCCGTTGCGGTAGTCCTCCAACTTGGTCCTGTTGTCAATGATCTTGTACAGCTCGAGAACGACAAGGCCCGTCACCAACGCCGTGGTGGTCGCAATCGCAGGGATAATCTTGCCGGCAATAAACTTGGTCTTGTGCCTATCAGCCTGCTCAATCTTGTAGTTCTCGGCACGAAGGTTGCTGCACGCGGTGATGAAATCAATGTGATGGTTGGTATCATCGTCCTTCTCAAACTCGACTGGCACGAGCTGGAAGCCCGAGAGCTCGCTTGCGGCAGGGATCGCGCCAATGATCTTTTGAATTTCGTCCTCGTCGTCGAATTTGGCGTCCGCATTCGGATCCTACACATGGTTAACAACAGAACGGAGAAGAAGGAAAACGAAAATGGGGGTGGGATCAGAATATGGCAATGAGATATAACTTACAGGTTCGTTCTCACTAGCCTGGATCTTGACGTTGGAGTCCGGAACAAAGTCGGGAACAATCACGTTGTCTAGTTCCCTCGCGTACACCTCCTTGTTGTTTCCAGGCGACTTGATATCATAGTTGAAGGCGTGCAGGTTCGCCGCAGCCTCGATAAAGCCGAAGTGGGTCGGGTTGGCGGGATCGAACTTGAGCGGGTCGGGAGCACGCTTGGGGGCGGACCAGAAGGGCGTGCCGCCAGACGTGGTCGCATCCTTGGGGAAGTTGTACAGCAGCTGCTGAATATCATTGACAAAGAGTCTTTCAAACAGAAGCCTCGCCCACGCGATGCAATCCTCAAACGTCCGTGGCCTATCTGTGGTAAGGTTGTCTCGGATGGTCCTGAGCACGTGAAGCTGGTTTCCGCCTTGCTTGAGAGAATTCTGCACAAAGTTGGGTTGGGTGAGATAATTGTTGACGGTGAGGGGCCCCTGCACAAAGTTGGGCTCAAAGATGTGCTCCTTGGCCCAGGAGATAGTATGCTCGATACGGTACGGGAAGCTGCGGACCAAGCACATGGGGAACTCCTTCTCCGGGGGTCGTGGGAGGAAGAGTACGACTCGGTGAGGTTAGGGACGACAACTTGCGTGTTGCCCTTCGTTCCGAGGGTACCGCTCTCGAGAAGGGGCTTATGGAAGAAGACGCAGCGCTGGTCAACATACTGTCGAGAAGAGACATTGTCAAGCGCATTCGTCACACCGTCGAGCCCCTTCCAGAAATCTTCGTTAAAGATGTGCTCCGTATCCTTGCCAACAGGGTCCTTGCGAGACTTGATGTGGCCCTCGAGGTCGGGGTTCATGAGCTTGACAGCCTCCGCTGCAGAGTCGCTCTTCATCTGCCCGACGTTGTGGGCGCGGAAGAGGAACTGTCGGTTAAGGTTGCTGCGTTCGATCGAGTCCATGTCTGTAAGGACCAAGCCACCCTCGGGCCCGGTGCCCAAACCCAGCATCGCCCAGTTCTTGAGCATCTCACAACCGATAGCACCAGCGCCAACAAGGAACTCCTTTGTGTTGGCAATCTTGTCCTGGAAATCCTTGCCAAACACCACAATCTGGCCGTCGTATCGCGAGCCAAGGGGCCTGCAGTTCTCCGCAGTGCGCTTGATGTTGGCCGGGAGCGACTCGAGTGAATCAAAGTAGAGCCACTGCTTCAGAGGATGGAACTTGCCCGACACGGCCTTGAGAACCTCCTGGGCCGTGATACCACCGATGAAGGCAGCGATAGGGTTGAGGTCTCCGATAGCCTGGTAGCTCAGCTCCTTCAAGAGATCTTCATTAATGTCGCCTTCATATCCGGCCTCCTTGAAACCTGCCTGGGCAAGCTTGATGAACTCGGCGGCATCATCGTTGTCGAGAGGCTTGGGATAGCGCCCGTTCACCTGGCGGTATTTGTGCAGAGCCTGGAAGGCGATATGTAGTTGGTGGGGGCGATCAAACTTGGCATAGTCAGAAATGACAAATTCGGGATCCTTTTGAGACTCCGCGATACTTTTGAAGTCGACAACCTTGGGCATTTTGACCTGCTGCCACAAACCGCCCTTGCTATATTCTCCGAGGTCGGACACGTCCCCAATGGAAAAGTTGTAAGGGCCCTTGACCGTGATTTTGCGGGGGCGCAGTTGTTGAGAGCTGGCATGCCCTCGATCTCGGTAAAGGTGACATAGTCGCCGTCTTCGAGGCCGTGGCGGGTTTCGTCCAAGGCAGAAACCAAGCCCGTCTCGTCAACATTCACGACGATGCCAGAAAGGGCTGATTCGCCGGTGGCGTCGGTGACGGTAAACTTGTCGCCGAAATCGCAAAATAGAGAGGCAAAAAGACCGTGGGTCTCGGCAGAGATGAAGTAGATGCCCTTTTGATGGCAGTATTCACCAATGGTGAGCTGGTCTTCAAGCGTTGAGTCGGTCAGGACGACAACCTGAAACTTGTCAAGTTGAGACAGATCGGCAGTAAGGCTATCTCACACACAAGTTTCGTTAGCGTCAGCGATTCCGACCCTTCTAAACGCAGCAACGTAGCTTCGAATGGCGTGGGAGATGTTAGGGGACAGGGAAAGGTCACATACCTGTCGGACGCGAGCTTGGTAACGGGAGTGTAGACATTGAGCTCGGCTACTCTGGGGGTTGTGACCTCGTCGCGAGGCTTTCCGACCTCATCGGCACGGAGGAAGAATTGTGAAGAGAGATTGGCAATCTCGACGGGCGCGGGATCGTAAAGGGTGAGGCTCTTGACACCGGCGAGAGCAACATTTTTGGCGACCTCGACACCGAGGCCCTTGAGACCGACGACGAGAACGTTGGAGGCTCCCATACGCTTCATAGCTTCGTGGCCAAGCACGTAAAGCTGTCGACTGTAAAGGGACTCGTCGATGTCGCCGGCCGGCGTCGACGAGTCGACTTGCATCCGCGAAGCGGAATCTGAATCCGTCATGGTGGGTGTCTGAGACCAAGACAAGCAATATGTTAGTTTCTTCGGGCTTTCTTGATTGGCGTATCCTCCAAATTATATTTTTGAGCGTCTATCGTCTCTATCGCCTCTTTTCGAATGAATTGCAAGAAAGCAACGTGTATTTTGAGGTTGGGCGGAACCTAGAGGTAAGGTTGGTGAGGTGATGGTGGGGGAGGTGGGAAGGAGACAGGCAACAGGGCGGGTGCGGGGCAAGGCAGAACGAGAGACCGCTCTCCAGCGGACTTGGGAACAGGAGCTTGGGTAAGCTCGCCGCCCTCCAGCCCAAGAGTGGCTGGGGAGCGTGGGTGAAAGATGGAAAGCAGGGCACCAATAACAACAACAGCTGGAACATACCTGAAGTGATACCGAATCAATTCGCTTCCGGGATGGAAAAAGCTCCCCGGCTGACAACTTTCGCTTCCCCAGCTTGACGACAAGAAAATGGCAGAGAGGTAGGCTCCCTCTTCCTCCTATGCCTGATTATTGATCTTCGGAGAGTTTTGAAAATAGGATAGAATAAGGATTTTTGAAGGAAAGGATCAGGCAGAAGTGGAGGCACTGGAAGAAGAAACCATAAGAAGGGGGAACTTTCAGGCGAGATACGAAACACCAGGATGCGGCCCCGCCAAATTCATGCAAAAGAGAGCTGGTTCAAGGCAGCGCAAGAATAACACTACTTGGGATGGCTTGAAGCAACACAAGGATCTATGATTTCCAATGTTTGGTTTGTTTTTGAACAGAGGAAAGAGGACAACAGCTCAAGAAAAATCCTTCCTTTTTTTCCTTCCCAAATACTAGGGGAAAAAAAAGCCTTTAGGCAGACCACCTCTTGACTTGATTCTTAATCCAACAACAGAGAGCTTTGTAATTGACAACTTTTCATCTTAAAGTGGCAAGATGCTGTTCCCCCCCAGCTCACATCATCAGGCGCACTCGTCGACTGACACACTCACCAGGGAAGCTCCAAGGTTGGATTCCCCACTATTTAACCCCTCTTCCACATCGCTGCTCTGTCATCATAGGTCCCTCTTTCCCCCTCTCCCCGCAGAGAGCTCACCTTCCCCGAAGATCTGCCGGGTTCTGTATTCGCCACAAACATTAGTCATTTCACGAGCCACCCGGGCTCCGTTCTCTCTCGAACTTGGAAATGTGGCTCATGGAGCCAATCACCCACTTGATGGTGCCGGACATGCAAGGATGATTCTCACAACCAATACATTATGCAATCGGCAAACCTTGGCATCCAGGTGCAGGGCCAAGCCGGACCAGGTCGGTTGGGGCCACAGCAGTTGACTCCTCTCACTTGATCAACATCTTGAAGTACGATGCAGGTAGTTTTCTTTTCTGCGCCCACCAGATCCACGCCGCCGTGCGCCATTAAAACAGCAGGTGCAAAAGGAGGCTGACTCTTTGTCCCCCCTTCCCCGCTTCGGGTCCTCTCGGCCTCTATCCCCTCCGTCTTGCATCTTCGGCTTCCGCCAAATTTTCTCGACCCAAGCCTCCAAGTTGATGGCTTTTTGACTTAATGAAAGTCATAGAGATCTTGGGTGTGTAGTACTCAGATAGACCGAATATACCTTGACATCTGCAAGACGGAATCACCAAACACCATTATCTAGTCAGGTATCACCAAGTTTTCCAGCCGCCCACTCTTCTGGACAACGGGCCAGTGTTATTGTCAGCCCCAGTTTGTGTATCGAATTCCTCTACCCTCGCCTATTCTCTGAAGGGGGCCCCCTCCCCCAAATCTCCGGTCACCCAATGCAGTTTGTGGGTTGAACAAATTTGATCGATGTTGTCAGACCTCTACCAGATCTCATCACCATCGCAGTTCCAGAAGAGACGTAACACCACCTAAGCACTCACCCGGCCGATGGAGGAGCGGGGAACAACGGGGCGGCATGATATTCGCCTCATCAATCCCCCAAATTTAGGTGGTAATCCATATCTTCTAGTTTTGGCCTCCCCAGTCGGGGAAATACACACACCTCGAGAGGCCTCAATGATATCGCGCCCATTTTCCCCGTAGCCGCCCCCCTCCCCGGCACCCCCAGTCCCAAGTACCCCCAAACATGGGCCCATTACCCTCTGCCTTCTTGTTCAGCAGCGCAAGGGAAAAAAGTGCATACTTGCATACGCCTTTTTTTGCCCTTTCTTTCTGGGGGGCCGCTCGCAGCCAGCCCTTTTCATTCTCGTCACACCTTCTTTAGCTTCCCCTGTCCTTCGTCATACTGCATCGCTAGCGACAATGCACGCACACATGTTCTCTCCGGACGAAGGAGAAGGCCAAGTCCTCGCCAAGTGGCATACCGCCTCTTGCCCACTGGCTCAGCATCCCCATGGGCTTAACCCCAGCCTATGATAAGTCCTACAACTCCATGTTGCGCAGACCAGTCGCGTTCCTTTCGGTCCTCGCAGAAAAGCAGAAGCACCTTATTCCTTTGCTGGACGCTACGTGGTCAGCTCCAACCAAGCAATTGTGCTGATCTTCGCATCGTTGCCCAAGGACAGACGATGGAGCCGCCGATGACATGAATCTTTGTAACACCTTGCGCTGGGTGCAGAGCCCACGATTCTTTTCCCATCCCTGTGCAGAGGCGATACACCCCCACACTCTGCCCTTTATATCACAAGTGATATGATAGAGAATTTCCGTCTCGCATAACTTGGTCTCCCTCGCTCCTCGATTGATCGCAGTTCGATGCCCAACCCAGGGTTCTAGCGCTTTGCCCTGAACGAATATAATTCCCCCAATGCAGGTGGCGCATAAGTTGTGGGGCTCTGGGTTATCACTCCTTTTTCGCCTTCATAATGATCTCCTCTGCGCATCGTCCCCCAAACTTGCCCGAGAAGAAGAAGAGATCAAAGTTCTAGTTTAAATGAAGCCAAGTCACATATGATCAAATGATGTAGTTCGAAAGTTGCCGGATTACTGGTGCAATTCACTACCTATCCCCGATCCTCATCTTTTGATTTGTTTTTGTTTGATAACAAAACGTCTTTTCGCCCCAGCCATACACTTTGGAAAAGAATCCAATACGTTCTTCATGCCCGCTTACTGGACCTTCTTCAGCTCGACTTCGCTATCAAGGTAGCCCAAGTTAGTGGTCAGGTATCAGTTGGTGCCGAGAGTAAAGTTACTTACAAAAGGAGGTCGGCATTGGGGGAATGTGACCGGTGAATCCACTATACCCGACGTCAGTAAATTTTGTGTTTCGGCCACAAGTTCATCCACGAAAATGAGTGAGAAGGAGGGGTGCATTTCCGACTGTGTCGAAGGTGCTGCAGCTGAAGAATGCAGGATCACTGCGCCTGCACCCATCATTGGGTCGTCAATCGAGACTCTACATACCGTTCGCCATAACCGTAGTCGCTATTATAATGAAGACGCGTTAGAATATTCAGCTTACATAGAAAGATCATAATCTATCTAGGTAGGTGTAGACAGAGGTAGAGGTAGGAACGGAGGTAGGCAGAGTTGCCTCGAACGTGCCGTGGGCAGATTTTCGCTTACCTAGTAATGTCAAGGAGGGCCTTTTCGCCAACCTTCATCTGGGTAACACCCTCCTCCCAGCCTATAGGACCTTGTTAGCAAGCTCAGAATCGTTGGGCGCGCGGCCCCGGTAAGTTGAGCTCTAAGGACGGAGCAAGTGGGCGGGGATATATGTCCCGAGGGTAAACGTTAACCCACCCTTGATGACTTGGCCGACGCCAATCCTGGTAACAAAGTCGCCGCGGCCCTCGGAGCTGTCGAACCTATTGATAAAGGGGAATTGTCAACAAACCACATGGCTTCAAGTAAAGACCAGCGGGCCAGCCCTCCCACTAGGGCGTGGGTTGGCCTTGATTGGAGACCGGCATCACCACATACTTAGCTCCTTACCGCCATTCGTCTTCAACCAGCCGGTATAAGCAATGGTCACAGTCTGGCCAGCGGTGGGGATGGGGCCAGAGCCCTCCTGGATGACGGTCTTAGTAACACCCATTATGGCGGCGGGAGATTTGGGAAAAAGGGTGAGAAAAAGAAAGGTAGAGAGGCTGAGGTCAAACAAGGTCAAGAGCGAGGGTTAGAGAGGTTCGAAGAGAGTGGGATAATCGATGCCGGCAGGATAACGGGGTGGGGGGAAGCAGGGGAGGATTAAATATCGAGCTTTGGGTCAGATCAACGAATTGGTTCCTCACTCGTCAGCAGTGGATGGTGCTCATCCTCTGGTACCGCATGTGGGAAGGTGGGGCGGGGAAAGCTCTTCATGGAGGGGTAGCAGGTTATAGGTCCAAGCAAGCCAAAGTCTGGACACCTCGAGAAGTGGGGCGAGGGGTAGAAGGAGAGAAAACGGGAAAGGACGGATCCAGGCGCGACGACGTCAGCTTCTGTTGGACCAGACTCGAAATTCCTCACTACAACGAGGATACGAAGGGAAAACCCCCAGGAGCTCGCTGGCTCGTACAGGCAAAGGTGACAAAGTAACGGGAAGGGTACTTGGATACTTTCGCCAGGTACTCTGTTTTGTGGGTAACGGCAAACGTTTGTCCATACTAAAAAGGGGTGATCGGACAATGATCTGGAGATGACCTGTCTGTCCCCGAAGTACCTCGAGCTCTTGACCAACAGCAGTGAACCTACGAATGGCGGGCGAGAGAGAAATGCGAGAAGGGATGGATGGACCTTACAGATTCCGGAGCAAACGAGGAAAAGCGCCAAGGTAGCTTGGGGAATCCTCCCGTGGATTCATCTATTGGATTGATCCTTCTTTCGGAGGCGTCGCGCCGGAGTCAATTGATCAAGAAAGAGCCATCTCAACTCTAACTGCAAAAAGCGATCTAGTCCGAACAGAAGGACCAGAAACACCACAAGAACATTGAAATGCACGCACGCATCCATCCATATGTATGCACGCTTGATGCTTTGCTGTAACTCGAGACTTTTGTTTTCGATGCTACCGACAGCGTGGAGTGTTCAAATGTCCTCATGCTTCTCCACAGCCAATCACTTGCGCCAAAGACAGGGCGCGCCTGGCCTGGGGTGATGGACAAGGAGGCGAACAGGTGGCGGGTTCCCAGGTCGCGCCTGCTTGCTTGCTCGCTTCGTTCCCTTTTGTGCTTCTATTGAAGAGGAAACTGCAAAGGAACAAGCAACGTTTTTCTCAGGTACTTTATAGGCCGATCCCGAAAAGAACCCAGACAAGCTGGCAAGCTAGGTCACGCCAACCCCTGCCATCCGAGACGCCGTCCAGTCCCAATTCTTGGCTCGTCACAGACGAATCCAAAGATGGAGCCATTGATCTTTGTATTATCCTTGTGGTTTTTCCGTCTTCTAGAGTCTCTTATGCCGCGGTACTGAAAAAGGGATTTCCCAGCCACAAATCGATTAGGCGTCAAGTGTATCTGAAAGCCAGTCCCAGTGGAAAGGGAAGGGACAATTGCCGGAAGTCGCGACCCCGTCCAAAGCTTTCGTTCCAGTTAGTAAAGGTACCCGTAGATACACTTCGGACCCGTGCTACGTGCAGATTGTGCCTTCCAAGTGCAGGAAGCATGTGTCAACTAGGTCCCGCTTGCCGGGTTCAGTTCAGTGCAAGTACGACATCTCGTGTATTCCATCTTTGGGGGTTTCCCTCTGCTTGACCCTTGACAAACCCCTCCAACACGCATGGATCCAAGGATCGGCTCTGGCCATGCCTCGTCCAACTCTTGACCCAACAGGAACCTTGCCAGACCCGTCAACTGAGCTGCCTCACTGGTCGACTACCCCTCAAGGTCCCCTCCTCTCCACGCCTATCGCAGGACCACGCACATGTGCTGGTTTGTAGCTTGGTTTGTCGTTCGTCTTACCCAAAGAGAAATACGTAAAGTCAGGGTCCAAAGGCCCGTACCATGCACCTTCTTTTTTTCTACCATCATTCTCTTCGTACTCTGAAAACAGCCGCCGTCTGTCCGAGCCGCGACGAGAGGGGCAAAGCGGTTGGCTGCCACCGAGCAGATCGGCTTGTACGAGGCGAATCGGTATTTTGGACTTGCCCACAGATGATTCGAAGGCATCCATCCGACTCAGTCTTTCCGTTACCCGTTACCCGTTACCCGAGACCTAGACCTTTGATGGTCTGCGCTCCCCCACCGCCTTGTTCGGTATCTCAATGATCCAGAGGCTGGCTGGAACCGAGATGGTGCATCCGAGATGCAGGAAGGGTCTTTTGGGAAATGGCCCCCGTTATCGACTGCTCGCGTTTGTGTCTGTCAGGATCGACAGCCCTAGCCCTGCGCTCATCGCAACCAACATTCACCGAATACCCATCGCCTTTGCATGCCTTTTCAAAGGCCTAGTAGTCTGCAAATGCCGCCACTAGTCACATGGCCCGTTCCTTGCCGGATAGGGCCGTGGCACCGGCAAGCAAAAGCTTGCCACCAAGACACAACCCCCGGGGGAGATGAGAAGGATTTCTGACCGGCCTCGGAGGTAGTTTGTTTGTGACTGTCCAGGCCCGGGGCGCCACCAGAAGTACCTCTTCCAGCAAGCAAAAACGCCGGCGAACAAGGAGACTGGTGCGCTTCACGCGGGTCGGGGATCTTAAACGTATCATCTTGGCCGCCCATGGCCTTCAATTGGTCCCCCAAGCCTCTGCGTGCAGATATACAACATGGGGCCAAGCGAGAATGGCCCGATATCTTCTCCAGCTGAAGCTTCCAGACTCTTTTTCTTCCGCCATGAGTGATAGCCACGTATCTTGCGCGCTATGTCTTTGTTTTGAAAGCACTGTCCATATAAGTACGTGTCGAGCCGAAACCTTCCGAAATGCCTTCTTTAGGTTCCCGCCCGAGTATTGGTCACGAGATGTTTGAGACTCATGTTCCCCTTCCCCGTGCCTCTATTCAGGGAAATTTGAAGAGTCAAAGGTTTGTATGGCCGATGGCACTCTTTGAGAAAGCTAGGAAGGCGCCGAGGTCCCCAGTAAGCAGGGCATATTCCATAGACGTGGAGCCGGGCCTGCAGAGGGATTGCATCAAGTTTTTGTTTGCCCGAATGCAGGGAGATGAATGAAGTCAAGCGTGCAGCCGGGACAAAAGAGTCTCCTCACACCCAGATGCAAGCCGAGCCTCCATAGCCATTGCCGGTGGGGAAACGTGAGCATTGATAGTATGAGTGGCAGACGCCTTGGCGATGGGGGGCCAGAAAAGCTCACATGCCTATAGCCGATCATCAATTGAGGGCACGAAAGGGCCGCCTCATCCTTCTGCTCGGCCCGGCGGTTTTTCGCAAGCTGTCCTGGCAGTTCTTGCTTCTTGTGTAATCCACCCGTGTCCTCTCACAAGTAGAAATCAGCGCCAATGCTCGGTCAGGTATGCTTACAGGGCGAGATTCCATGGAAGGTGGAAGAGGTTTATTGAGAGATAGCCGCGGACGAGGGTTGGGGGATATCAACTTTAGTGGCCATGTGTGACTATCCCGCGATTCACCACGGGCTTATACGGCCCTGGGGCAGGGAGCATTGGTACTGGTGTCGCCATAAGAAACACGTCTCTGGTCATCGATTCATCGTACTACCAGTACCATCATGATGGTCCTAGAATTTGTGCAGTTCTTAGTCACAGTGTTATATCGTCAAGGGGAAGCCAAACTATTCCAATATCGACACGGGCCAGCCATCCTGAGAGAGATGGGCTATCAGCAGACCCTTCCTTGCGGCTATCCGTAGAAACGAGGGGGTCGGGCAGATGGGAGAACAAGGCAAGTTTTGCGAGATCGAACAAGTCCTCGAAACGAGGCCGTAGTGATTGGGCTCACTTTCACCGAATCCTTGCCGAGCCATCGTTGAGACCGTCATGTCGTCACTTAGACCTGGAGTAACCAATGCCCATGCACTCCCGAGATCTCGGTCGGCGTCGGTGAAGCTACTCTTTTGTTTCTCATGAGACACGGGAGGCTGAAAGAGGGAGGGTTGAATGAATGGTGGAACCTTGAAAAAGAGAGCAAGATTCAACGTCCTCCGCTAGGAGGACGAAGGTCAGGCGCATGCTCGGGGATAGCTTCCTCTCTATTCTCATGAAGGTGGAACCCTTCCCTAAGAGCCTAGTCTTCGCTGGGCAACGAAAAGAAGAGGTACTGACACGCCCTTACGATCGATAGATAACGCAAAGCGAGACGGTTTGCTACTCTGGCCAATTCCGAAGCCTACCATTCCCTTTTCCGTCCCCTAGGTCATTCTAGAGTCATCATAGAACTATCGCCAGTGCCAGGATTGGGCGAAGGACGACGAGAAGAGTTTGAAACGAAAGGTAATGGTGTGATGGCATGGACAAGAGCCTATTTCTTACGTACTCGAAAGGCGGTGCAAATGGAGAGCGGGTGTATCACACAGATGAAAGGGGAGGGGGAAAAAGGGGGGAGGCGGCTCATTGAGCCTTTTAGCGATGTGAAGATGCTTCGGGACAAGAGCCATCTGCCGGCATCGAGAGGTGGAAAGAGCAGTGTTCGTTTCCCCAGGCCCAAAAAAAAAAAGGAGAAGGGATCTACCACTGCGTTTCACACGAAGCCACGACGGAATGTGTGTGGGGGCTGTAGTTATCCATGGCAGGGGATTCATTTTGCCTCTTCTTCTCTCATTTCCTTTCGTTTCGAAATCCCTCTTCAATCCCGAGAAGAACAGTGATGTTAACGGAAGGAGAGCAATAGAGAAGAGATTCCGTCCGTCTACTGCACATGAGTCTCTATGGAGATCTCTCGTACCTAAAAGCAGAACCAAAGGCCAAACTCTCCTAAGAAAAAGCGGGATCGACGCTATCAAGATTGCCTCCCGAGACAGTTGGCCATCATAACCGTTGCAAGGTCGAACCGGCTCTCCGAGATTGCGATATCACGGATGCTTTGTTCCTTGCTACCGGCATTGCCCCCCCGTCTTGTTTGCCCTTGGAGGCGGGGCCAAGGTAGGGCATCCTCACACGGGGCTGCTGTGGTTGTTCTATTTGTTCCTGTCCCTGCTTCACAATTCTCGTG